TAGTAGTAAGAACTATAAAATATATAAACTTGCTATAAAATCATTTTTTGTAATATTATGCTTGTATTTTAAATACACTTCATCTATTAGGAATCCTTAAAAGCGTAGGCGTCGCATTGAGCACCACCAACTTGTTTAAAGCTAAAATGGTTCTATCTAAATTCTCATGTAAAGCTAACATTGGAGATAAATTACCATACACACACCAAGACACCAACATTGTTAGCGAACTAATCACTTGGCCCCAATAACTCGAGTTGTTGGGAAGGGATAGTTAAGCCTTTTAACTTCTAATACGCCCCCTCAAACGGAAGTCGATGCTGAATTGTGGATTTTTTACGGTTTGCACAGGTTGAACCCTTGTGCTGCCAAACCACGAGCCTTTAGTTTGCACAGGTTGGACATACCATCCCTTGTGCTAAACGAATTGGCATCAAATGAGGGTCGTTATGAGGATTTGAAACCATGTCCTTTCGGTTATAGGCTCTGATACCATAAGAGAAGCGGAAGAGGACCTGAGATTCGGGTGGAGGAGCAGCAGAAAAACTAATGTCCTCTCTTTAGGGTTTTGTAATTTATATTGGTGCACAACGGCTAATACACAGTATTAACGATCATACGAAATCCATTAACCAAAGCTTAACACGTGTCAGGTTTGGATTCGTTATTAACAAACAGACTGCACTAAACAATCGCAACGAATAAAGAACGAAACGGCAGCGCATGTGAAAGTTCGATATCAATTCCAAACTTCCATTCTTCTCCATTTGAGTCCTTCGTTCTGGTGTTGAGACTGAATCCTTGTCTGATCAGGATTGCAGTGCAGAACTGCAGTGGCTGCTGTCCTTCTTGTGTCAGCTCCTTGCTGACCCTCCAATAAACATCATGAACAATTTGGTTCTCTATGTATGTACTCTTCCTTTGTGGTTGGTTCTCTGTGTTATTTTAAGGGTAATGTCTATTTTTTATCCAAACCTTTTTCAGATTCTTTTATATTATCCAAACCTATCGAAATACTAAAAATTAGCCAAATGTTAACTCCCAATTAGAAATTCTGTTAGTAATATTGACTTGGCAACATGATATTGACTTGGAAGAGACTCATGAAGGTCAACATTCTAAAATTTAAGTATTTTAACTAAGAAAAGAGTTACAAAATTATTAACGATAACGTAAAAATGACTAATATTTTGATACATTACGAAATATTTGGATAATAAATAGAATTTTAATAGGTTTGGATATTATAAAAGAATCTGAAAAAGATTTAGATAAAAAATAGACATTACCTTTTTTTAATTCCGAAGTTACACTATGTTCTGTGCCTCACTATTCAGGGCAGGACACGCAACGGTAGCTAGGGGTGGGCATTGGGTGGGTCGGGTGGATTTTGACCATAAAATATACCCACCCGCGCTTAAACGGATTGATAATTTTTAACCCACCACCCACCCACATTTAGTTTCGGGTTGGGTCGGGCGGATGGTGGATGATGCGGGTGGGTTTGTGGGTTCACCCAGTGGCGGATACATGGGCCTTTAGGGGTGTCCCGGGACACCCCTAAAATTTGGGAAAATGATTATCCAACCATCGGTAATAGTTTCGTATGGATAAAAAAACTATAATTGGTAATCCGGGATACCCTTAATAATTGAAAAACGATTATCCTGTCCTCAGTAGTAGTTTGCGTATAATTAAAAATATATAAGTAGTATTCTGTGTTATTCAAACCTAGGAACACTACTATTATTAAACATACTCTCTAGATTGCAACTCATTTGTTGTTTTATTTTAAACACTATGTTATAGTAAAAACACTATTCTTTATTCCCAATTATTTTCAAAACTTAACAATTAAACTCATTCGAGCTATCCTTAATTTGAATTGATTTTATAGGAATAGGGCAAGAGTTTAAAGAGTCTTTCAAGTTTGAGTTACATCAGGAACAAGGTTAGAAATCGAATATGCGATCAGTTCGGGAATTATTGTCTAATATGGTATATTTGCACTAGTCATATATCTTTTTGATTTATGAATTATTTAATTAAATTTTTAATTAAATTTATTTTTTGAAAGAGGACACCCCTATAAAAATTTCCTGGATCCGCCACTGGGTTCACCCACATCACAACGTATATAATATAAAGGAGTCAACTTGACATGATAATAGGTGAAGAGAATCATCGAGGGAAACAAGAAGTTGAAATAGGGCGAAAAATATCTAATTAGTTCTTAAATTGGATAGAAATTCTATTATGAAAGAGTTTTCTACAGATTGAGACGATTATTAGGTGCAAGGAACTAAGGAAAATAATTCCACAAAGGAAAGAGCGGTGATCTAGGCACAAGAATTAGAGGAAAAAGTAAAGGGAATAAGAGGGGATCTCTATTTGGAAGGTTGGCTTTGAGGTTCAAACTCCAGGAGCAGTCCGAGTTTATATCTAACGTCTCCACTCTCCTCTCGCTAGCGCCAACGACTTTGATCTTTTTGTTGTTGAGTTGAGCGGGTCACCCGCACACTCACCCACAACCCACCCACCACCCGACGGATGGCTCCCAGCGCAACCCGTCACCCACCCACAGACCCACCCACTTAACGAAATTCGGGTCAAATGCAGGTGGGTCGGCCCAAACCCGCGGATGATGCGCCCGCATGCCCAGCGCTCACGGTAGCTAGGATTTTGGTGCAACACAGAAATACAGAATAGAATGGAGGGCACCCGACAGAAAATCCCAACACATGAATCCACACGAACACCAAAATCATTATCCAATCATTCTGGCATGACATCCACATGTGCAAGACCGTAAACCTTTTATTATAGACCAGAAAGCTATGGCTAAGCACCCATATTTGAAGGTGAGGCCGTAAGTGTACGTTGAATACATGCTCGGGGTGTCTTTTTTTCGAGGCCGATCGAAATGCAAGGCATCGATCCATTATACTTTCGTTCTGAGGAATCGGTAGTGTTTCGACCTTTCAAATATCGACCTCGAAGAATCACAATAGGACACCACCAATTTACTCTAACAATTTCCCTTAATTATTACTCTAGAATGTAAGTAAGTGGTTAAGTATTTACCTATTCCAACAACTCGAGTTATTGGAACCAACTGGTTTATGACATGATATCAGAACTTGGTTTGTCATTGAGATCACGTCTTCAAATCCTCGTGACCCCCAATATTAATCGTTGTCTTTCAAACACATGATATGGCGGGACTGTGCAAACTTCAAGCCCCATGAGTTGGCTTTCGTTTGAGGGGGCATGTGATGAAGTGGTTAAGTACTATACATGGACCTCTCCCAACAACCCCCAATTAGTGGGACCAATATAATGCTCGTGTAAATTACTTTGTAATGTAATGATGAAAAAGAGTAATGGTTAATTTTCATCATTAATTGGTGTGTTTATATACAATGTTGGTATTATACTATTTAGTTCATAAATATTAACTAGTTTATATCATATTAATTAAAAGAAATCAGGACGTAATTAATCTACAATACAATATTTATGTTTCAAATTACAAATGAAATATATTTTCTCACTTATTCAAAGCCTTAAATCATCATACGTGGCTTGATATATAACATAATGAATAAATATTAACAAACCACCATAAGCAATAGATCAACTCCCTGATAAACTGCAAGTCGTGTTGGCTCGCCAGCCATCAAGCCAACTCAACTCACCAGTTCAGCTTAACAAACCACCAAGTTGAACTAACTGACAAACCTCGCAAGCTAAACAAGATTTAGCTCAAAAACAACTCATCAATAATAAATAAGTCAAGTGTTAAATGAGTTTTTCCAGAGTGGAAAAGCCCCACCAGACTCATTTATATCCATACAAAAAAGTCAAAACTATAAACATTTATGTATTTCTTTTTCGTGTTTCCCAAAAAAAATACAAGGAAAATTATGGCGCAAAAATTAGCGCATATTTAGTAGGGAAAAGGAATTTTTAGATAGATCACAAAGGAATCCAAGGTTTCACCCACTCTAGCAAACATAAGACACGTGTCCGATGCAGACGTAATTAACTCCACGCCATTGACTGGTCGCAATTTGATTATTTTAGAAAAAGAAACGACCGGATCTAAGCATCCCTAGGCGAATCCAAGCCCCCGGTAAAACAGGCAAGGTTAAATTCGTTTAGAATTTAGGAAAACAAGGGCAGATTAGACATTCACGTCAGCTTCTGAAAAGTCCAATTTAACGATCGTGATGACGGAATTGAAGATCCCCGGGTCAACCTTTCAACGCCAAAGACAGCCACGTAACCGCACCGCCAGGAAGACGGCCCCACGAGAATAGCCACTTGGGCAAAGTGGTAGGAAGACAAGGTCCAGCGCGAATTCCGGGGGAGAGGGATGCCACGCTAGCAACAGGAAGTTGATCCTACGAGACGTTAACTAACTTTAGACATGACATTTTCCGTCCCATGCAATTGGCATGCCTCCTTAATTTTTTTTTCTTACCCTCCTACTTCCTCGTATCCTCGTTTCCCTAGTTTCACGGCGGCATGGAATTTAACCATTTTACCTCATTTTTTTTACCTTTACAAAAGCTACCAAATTGCCTCCTTTTCTTTTTTCAACACAAAACACATTTCAAACCACCTTATTCTAGTTAATCAATTTCAACTCCACTTCCATCTTTTGTTCTTCCTGTTTCTTTGTTCGTTAGCCTTTTATTTTCCCGTTCGGTTGTTTGATAATCTTTTTATAAATCGTATTGCGTGTTTACATCAGTCTAGTAATTTGTTATATTGTTGAAACCTGGAATTGTTAGAGAAGACGAGGGTGCCAAACGAATGCGAGTCATCACAGTTGGGTGTTAGCTGGCACACGCGGATTAATCCGTTGATTTACTCTATACACCATCTCTATTTCGATATAAAGAGTGTAAAAAATAATCAGAAGAGATCAAAGTAATCAATCAGCGCAATAAGAAGATCGAGTTTCGGAAGAAATCATCATTCTTTCCCCCGCACGCACATTCCTATACAGAATGTTGCAAGACGTGATTCACCAGACGTCGTCGGAGCAGCTTCCACTCGTAAGTTTCTTCCTCCCCCTTTCTCTATACCATATGATTGCATTTGTGGTCCGTCTCCGTTTAGGGTTTCTTTCAGTTTTTTTCCATCGTCTCATATGATTCTGTCAACCTGTTTTCATCATCATTGTCATCAACATTTCTGTGATTTTCCAAATTCTCGCCATCCTGCAAACTTTGTTTTGATATTTATAAAGTTTCAATTTTTCTCCTTCGTGGAAAGCCATGCATGCACGAGATGAGTAGTTCTAAAGTTTTGAGATCCCCAAATATAGGTAGAGAAATAAATTTCCCATGACTATAAATTAATTTCCCATGACTCTGTTTCCAAACAGAAACAGGGGCATGCATCATTCTCCAATGATGCAGTTATAGCAGTAGCATATCAATTCTTCTACTTTGCTTCAACATTAGGAAAAATCAGCTACCTTTTCCTCTACCTCCTTTCTACTCCCTTTTATCAACAGTGGAATAATAGTTCTTCACTTCAAGAACACCATGTTTTCCTCTTTTTCTTTCTGCAGGTAGACTAGTGATTCTTTGATCTTCTTGTAACTTTGAGATTGGATGGGAAATGACCCAAATGACAATACCCACTCAAACCCATAATCCCCAACTCTCTCTTGTTTCCATTTCTGGTCTGCACAATCACAACTGCACTTCCTTTGTTACAAAAAAAAAAGTGACTTGTCCTACATTGTCACATGGGGAGCATATTCTTCATTTCCTGCTTTAGTGAAAACATCCACTACTCATGTTCTTGTCATTCTCTATACAACTTCCTCTGTGTTCTTTCACCAAATATGGATCAGTGGAATTCAGGAATCTCTACAAACCCCATTTCATTCAATTCTCTCTCCTTCCATGTATATATATGCATAAGGGTCTCTGTTTGAACCCTAGGTTAACTAATTTCCCAACCAAAGAACCAAGCTTTGTGGTTGCGAATTGCGAACATGGTACACCGATCGATATTTTCGTTACAACGAATTGGTCCTCTCGCGCGGTAACACGATCTTCTTGACTGTGATGGAATTACTCGCTTTTGCAGGACGATGTGTCGAGCCCGATCAACGCTCAGCTCCTGGAGTTCTGCGAATCGGACTTCTTCCAGGAGACAATGCAGAACTCGGATGGTACATCGAGCTCCAATAACGGCTGCTACGACGAGAATTCTCCATACACAACAAACCTATCCTTGCCTCCTGATTTGGAGAAGTACAACAACAACATCAACAACAACACTGGGCAAGACACCAATATTGGCAACACAACAACAACACCCACTAGCACTAACAACAACAACAACAATAACAACAACAACAACAATGGTTCAACGAGTAGCAACACAAGCACCACCAGCGCCGGCACAGCGCCAAACACCACCAACAACAGCAGCAACCTCTCCTCCATACTGTTCGACCCGCAAGACGAGCTCGACAACGACATCTCTGCCTCCATCGACTTCTCCTCTTCCCCTGCAGCCTTCTCTGTCCCTCCATTCTCCCACCACAACAACAACTTCGACTTCACATCCATTCACCCACAGCACCACGCCTTCAATCACCATAGCCATAACCCCCAACTCCTGATCCCCTCGCTCTTCGAAGAAGATTGCTTGTCCTCTGTCCCATCCTACGCCCAATTCAATCCGGCTTCCCCTTCTTCCTCGTTCTTGGCGACTAACTTCACCACCTTCATGCCTTCAGCCGCCGACAACACCGGGAACATTTTCGCTAGCGGGATTTACATGGGCAGCGATCAGTTGTTGCAGACTCAGGAGCTAGATTACCAAGGGGACAATGGTGGTGGAATCTACTGCCCATCCGACTCTCGCGTTTTCAACACAGCCGACCTTCAGGTACACACGAAAACAGAGCAATCCCACTTCTCTACGCCATTGGCGACGGAGTTGGCGAGTTTGGAGGATTCGAGCTTCAAAGTAGGGAAGCTATCGGTGGAGCAGAGGAAGGAGAAGATTCATAGGTACATGAAGAAGAGGAACGAGAGGAACTTCAGCAAGAAAATCAAGGTCTGTTCTCTGTCTGTCTGTCTGTCTGTCTGTCTGTCATCCAATATTCCCCTGCATCTCCTCTGTTTTTCTCCCCTGTTCCCAATTTGGAAAAAAAGCTCGCGACTTTATCATAAAATGGTGTAAATTAAATATGGGTTTTTGCTGTTGTGTTGCAGTATGCTTGCCGGAAGACGCTGGCAGACAGCAGGCCGCGAGTCAGGGGAAGGTTCGCGAAGAACGACGATTTCGGAGAAACCAACAGAGCTGCCTGCAGCAACCATGAAGAAGAAGAGGACGATGAAGTAAGAGTAATGAACTGCTTCTTCTTCCCTGTCCTCCATTTTCAGAGTTGAATTTGAGAGCTTATCTAACAGTAATCCTGCTTTGGTTTGAAACTCTGTAGCAGGTAGTAGCAGTGAAAGAAGAGGAAGAGATGGTGGACTCCATGTTTGCACACATCAATGAAATGAACTCCTTCAACAAATGCAACTACTCGATCCAATCATTGATATAACAACAACACAGTTCATCAGTTTACATAAACCCTAATGCAAATTTTTGAGGACCCTTTTCCATCATCAGCCAGGGGAAGACAGTACAGGATTTTCAGTAGCTGGGGGGGAGGAGATATTGTAATTTGAGTTTAAGGAGATGTGATTAAGCTCTCCCCTCCTCTGGCTTTGAACTGAAAGTATAGGGTCAGTAATTAATTATACTTTTTAACTTTAATTAATATACAAAGAGATTAAGTCAGGGTGTAGCAAAGTTGGAATAAAGACTGTAATTTTTGTAGATATGTGTCTTTGTCATTGTAATTTTTTTTTTTACCGTGGTGGGTTTCATTTCACCCATCTTCTTCAGCTTCGTGATTTCAAGTCCTTTTTTGTGTTGTCAGAATTTGCTTTGCTGAATAAGATAATGTGTAATTACTAATTTTGTTTGGAGTATATATACAAGAAATAAAAGAATAGATTATTAGATTATTACTTTGTTCTCTATTTAATTTGCAAAGAATGGAGGTTTTTTCATCAACCCAAGTGCGCTCAAGTATGTTGTCTAGTTTAACTATGGGGATCGCTGTGATTGTTACATGTTCTGGTTTAGTTTTTACCAAATGTTTTGGAAGAAGTTGAGTGGATTTCATAATAAAATAGGCCAAAGGCATGTAATGAGAAACACTCTAGGACTACATATTTCGCTTTCACAAGTGAGATTTTTCCATCGAAAAAAACTGATCATGGTTGATTTTTACCCAAAATTGTTGTTTACAAACCCCCTTTTATAGATATATTCATATATACAACGGATATAAAAGCCAAGTACAGCGAAATCGACACACTCTATTTCGGTTTCGGTCATGTACTTATTCATATCTGACTTATTCCATTCCGGAATTCTTTGGGGAAAAAAAATCGACACACTCTGGGACGAACCCGACAACCAAAAGCCGTTTCCCTCTTTATTGGGCCTCAAAGGGAGTGGCCTGATAATTTGGCCGTGGCCTTCGATTCATTCCCTGGCCCAGTCACAACTTGCGTGGGCTGGATGTCTAATTATCCTGTTGCATCCCGTATTCAAGCAACAAGCAGCCCACGGCCCACCAAAAACCAGACCAAGCACATCTAAACTAAGGCCAATACTATGGTGCCGCTGTAAAAAGTGCGGCACCGGTAACGTAATCTCTGATTGGTACACGTGGACTGTTCCGTGGCATGGTTGGATTTATCAAATCTTATCCAACCAATCCGGCCCATGAGAAGTGGCTCAAACCGTTTCCATCAAAGTTGACGGAGAACCAAACCACCCGTCACCGTATTTTATCTTTTATTTTATTATAAATTATGATTAAGCTCATAAGAAAACAGAAAACAGGTGAAGTCGGAGAGAACAGAAAACAGAGATCAATCAAACAAACCAAAAAAAAACTTCATCGATCTCCCTCTCCCGACGGTTTCTCGATAATCACTCCGAGCGAATTGTCCTTCGTCGATCCCATCTTCACGGTCTACATTTGTTTCCTCCTACACTTATTCTGATTTGATCGGGGTGAAGGTATCTGCCGTCGTCGCAAACCTCTGTCTCCCGCCGGCAAGGTAGCAGACAACTCACAAGTCAGAGAAGAGTAGAGTCGCCTTTTACTGTGGTTCTCCATCCTCGTATCACGCCTCCTTGTTGCAATATTGGAAATCAAGTTCTAGGCGGTGCCGAGTTGTCGCCGTCGGTGACCTCCCGCTGGCTCTCTCACTTTCCGTCAAATAGATACCTAAGGTACCACACTCGCTCGCTAGCTACGGTCAGTTTTCAGTTTAAAGGTTTAAGAGGTTTCTCTTTGTATTTTTTGGTTTAAAGAGCAGCAGGTGATTCTATGTTCCTGCACTTTTCTGTTCTTGGACTATCCATCCTTCCATCTCATCTTGGTTCCTTTTTATTGCTTTCCGTTGCATGAAAATGGAAACTGAGGTTTTTTGTGTGCTGGTTTATTTGTTTTAAAATAGGGACCTCGTAGGATGCTTTTGGTGCATAAGGATTCTATCGCCTCAAGAAGTTCAACAAATGAGCGAGGAAGGGATGAATCTTCTATATACATCAGGGGACCAGCATTGATTCTTCTTCCATCATAAAAGGCTAATGCTGGCGGCTTGATAAATGAGAGAAGGATACAATGAATTCATGGTTTACAAGGGAGCAAAGGCGACTGATTGAACTTCGAGACCTGTTAGGAAGTGGATTCAGTACACCCATTACTCACCATATCAGCAGCAGTAGCTGCAGAAGCTGTAGGAAATCTAGGAGTACACATTGGGGAGCTTTTGATTCTTTGTCTGCCATCACCTTGTTAAGCATTTGTGTGTCTTTCCTCCTTGTATGTTATAAGTTGTAAGCTAATGGGATGCAGTTGGTTATGTATAAGAGTATCCAGGAAATGAAAATGAGAAGATTTTTAGCCTACAATTTGGTCAAGTCCCAGGCCCTGCCATGGGGGCAGAGTGCAAACCATCTAAAATTGAGAGTTGTGACCCTGATCGTCCGTGGCAATGCATTTCCAGTTGTGCATAACTCATGATATTGCGATTGGAGAGGTCAAAAGGCTGTTCTTTTATGTGAGATATAATATGGATTAAAATGAATTGGTATTGAAATCTTTGATGGAATAGCAAAAGAAAAGACCAGTGAATCTGAAAGCATGGTTCTCTTCTGTACTGGTAACAAGCATAATCAAGTCACAGCTGGGCAAAACTTCATGAATACATTATAAATTTCCCCGTACTCCTAATAATCATGAAAAAGAGTTATATAATCAAGTCAAACGTTTCCATATGGTCAATTGATCCACTTTCCATTCCATAGATCCACTTTTGCAGCTTCATATCATGACTCTTCAATCATTATGTACAGCAGTTTCTCTTTCCATATGGTCAAACGCCATTGAAAGAGACAATCTTCCTCTTGGAGGCTAGAGGACCTGCTTGCTGCGGCCGGAGGGACTACGGCGAGAAGAGGCCGATGTCGAACAGAATTTACGGATTGTGAACTACAATTGTGAAATGTCGAGGGAAAAAAACAACAGGACGTTAAGGTCTTGCATGGCTCTCCGTTAATTTAATAATTTGGGAGAGGCCGGTTTGGCCATTTCTAATGGGCCACCGAATTTGGACCATTGTTCATTAAACCAACCCAGCAGCCACATCAATTCTACGTGGACCAATCAGAGATTGCGTCACCGGTGCCGCACTTTTTATCGCGGCACCATAGTATTGGCCCTAAACTAATCGTGTACTAAAGAATGAGAGGAACAATTTGTACCGTTCATAGTTAGTGAAATACGGTACATGAAAGTTATATATAAAATACTTACGAGTATTTTACTTCGTCTCTAAGTTAATGTTACGTTTAATAGTACGGTAATAGTCATAAATATATAAAAGTAATTATTTTAAAAATAAATAAATAATAGTAAAGTTAATAATTAAATTCATTAATTATGGATATTAAACATGTTATACGGGTTTTATACGTGTTTAGTACGGGAGCCATCAAATGAACGGAAAGAAATGAAACGGGTTGACAATAATACGGATACAGAAGTTTTAAATGGATAAAATACGTACTAGTACATATACGTGTATTAAACAGAGTATTTACTAACTATGGTCAGCAAATAAATGACTGATAGTATATTGTGTGTTATAAAGGTTGAATTGTTCCCTTAAAAAAAAGGTTGAATTGTAAATAAAGGGTTAATTGCATGGTTGGTCACTGAGATTACAAAAAACATTCATGTTTGGTCACTGAAAATATTTAAATCCAATATTGGTCACTCAAATTAGTTAAATGGTTCAAGTTTGGTCCCTCTCCATTAAATTTGTCTGATGTGGCAGTCAACCCTCAAAGTTGACCGTTAACTCATTGACGTGGCAATTAAAAAATAATAAATAAAATAAATATGGATTAGGTCGGAAGGTTGTGATGAAACAATGAAGGATCGAGAGGCATTGGGTGAAAAGCTTACATGGCTATGATCGACAATGAAGCTAAAACAATGGCTGGAACTCTAGAAGGCTCTACAGTCTACAAGATTTGAACCTCAAGAACTTGAAATTCAAAAGAACAGAGATAGAGAGAACTTGGGCGTTGTCGCGTTGAGAGCAGCCAAACAAGTAACAAACAACCATGAAAAGCATATTAACATACTCTATTTTGACTTCAACATTCTCAGTAGCCATACAAGCACAAGAAGCGCACGTCTAACAAGAAATTACCGAGTTCCAATTCTTGGGCCATCCATGAACAGACAAACGAACGAACAGACAAACAAAGTGCGAGAAATCGGAAGAGCGGGGGAAGAGATAACAGGGGAAGTTACGTCGTTCCAGCGCAATTTCAGACTCGAGAGTCGAGAGATTACTGAGAGTAGTAGTAGGAAAGGCAGGTAAGTCTTGTGAGCGAAACTCCAATACTTGCTACCTCAATCACCGTCCCTTCCGAGAGGTAGTACTCATACAGGCTGATAGCTTCAACGCTGTCATCGTAAGTGGGCAATTCTGCACCAGCACACCGCAATTTGTAGTCGCTAATCTTGAATCGGTCAAACATTAGGTCCTCCAGGTCACGGACGGTGTCGATCTCCCGGAGATTGAAGGTGTCCTTCTCGACGCCGAACTTCACCACGAACGAGATCTTCTCTCCTCTCCTCTTCTTCGGCAGCGGAGGAGGAAGCCACCCTTTTCAATTTGTAATTATAATATTTTTTATTTTATTTATTTTACTTTATTGTGAAAATGAGTTGGAAATGGTAGAACATTAAAATTTATTTTATTTATTATTTTTTAATTGCCACGTCACTGAGTTAACGGTCAACTTTGAGGGTTGACTGCCACATCAGACAAATTTAACGGAGTTGGACGGAGAGTGACCAAACTTGAATCATTTAGCTAATTTGAGTGACCAATATTGAGATTTAACTATCACTCATTCTTTAGTGATAGTTTGTGCCACATCAAACAAACTTTTGAGATTTGTTTGTGCAAAAAAAAATTAAAAAAAATTAATTCATTGCAAACAATGTTTTGCAATGTATCTAGCATACCATATCAAAGGCAAGTTGCATAACAATTTTAATTGTTCAATTTGGATTTTTATGTGAATAATAATCAAATAGCTTATTAGCTTTATAATGTATATGTGTTAGCATCATAAATTGTTTAGACCTTATAAATATATCTCCGCTATTGTTTTATTTTTCAATAATCCGAGTGTTGTCTTTAGAGTTATTAGTTTTTGCTTTGATATATAGACAATTTAGTTAGTGTGTCATCATCGGTGTGCAATTTAACTCATCCTAAATCTTCACTAGGACCGATCCATAGTCAACCGCACTATTGTTTCATTTATTTTATCATTGGGTTTGGATTCTCAACTATCCAATCAGTAAATATGGGTCAGTTGATTAAGGTCTAAAATCGACCCACCTAATCCACGTACACTCCTAGAGACGAGGGTCATTAACTTTAGAGCACTTTAACGGTGTTGGCTTGAGGTATAAATATATCATAAGCCCTAACCAGTTGACCTCTTCATGGCACGCCCGACCGGTTCTTTTCCTTTGTCATTGTGGAGTCGCATTACAACAAAATAAGTGTACCGTTCGGTCGATCGTTTTCCTGAAGAAATCGACTATTTCCTAAAGTAATAGACCGTTTTATTCAAGTTAGGAGACTTGGCACATTCTTTGATTATGAACAAAATATTGTTAAATTTATCCCCTTCTTTGTCTTCCTATCTCAAAACTCCCTAACCCCAAATTTTTTCTTTCAATTTCCCCTAACCACTATATATATATATTTTGTTATCGATCTCATGTGAAAAAGTCCATTCTTCTATTAATGGAATCATAGTCTGGTTTTTGAAGAACGCCAAAGAAAACATGATAAAGTGTTATGATCGTATATATTCATCTATTTCATATCATAAACTACTTATCTCAATAATCCGAATTGTTAGTATATAATCAAACATGATATTTAATTATTTTCTTACACTTCAGTTGTGAAATGTCGTTTCAATTTTATTTGATGGTTCGAGCCGTGCTAAAAAGTGAACTGAGTTGGTTGAGCTCTAGATGAACCACCCGAATCAACCGAGTCCAAGTTTTCACTAAACCGGGCAGCATTGGCACAGTCCTATGTCCAAGTCGTGGTTCAACCGAGTTGACTCTGGTTTAATATATTCTTCTTGTTTCTGGATGGGACAGACAGTTCAGTATATTCTTGGAAAGAAGCTCAAGAAGGACCCTTTTCCTCTGCTACACGTACTGAGAGATATTCAACTCTGGCCTATACAGAAAAATAACCTGTCAGAAGCGAGAAGGACAACCTTCCCTCTGCTCTCTTTTGTGGAAACTCCCCTAGGGTTTTGGCTTACCAGGCAGAAACCAGATCTCCAGCTAGGAAAATCGAAACCAAGCTGCTGGTAAGTAACGTGAAACAACTCTTCATTTCTCGCTCTTTTTGCTTTTACTTCCACTTAAAGAAACCCATGGCGTTTTGATGCCCAAAGTTCAAGAACACCTTTCTGGCGAAATCCATCGATCGAAACCATTTCCCGCTTTTGAGGAAGCAAATGTGTAAACTTTAAAGGCTGTGGTTCCTGTTTCTGCGAGTTGAGTTTGATACTTCGATGAACCTTTTTGGGTTTGATCTTTCTAAAGTTCTAAGCTTTCTTGCGCTTCTACATTGTTTGTGTTTTCACTTTTCCTTCTTCTTTGCTCCTGTTTGATCTGCCGAGCTGGGAAAACTGGTTTTCAGACTCACATTGCCGGGTTGGACCTCATGGTTCTCTGTTCTCTGCCCTTCTCTTTCAATTTCGCTTATAAATCTCTCCTTCTTGACATTCTGTCGAGGAAAAGGTAGGGAAAGGACAAAGAGTAGGGAAATGTAGGTTTTAGAAACCCTGTTTTTCTTCTGGGAAAGGTAGGGAAACCATCTGGGAGCCCATGAATTTTAGCTCCAGGAGAGAAAAAGAAGTCAGCTGGAACCACGAAACTGATATGCGGATTTGAATTTTCAGGGGAAGAACAGGAGAAGCGACGTTCAAATTAAGAGTGAGAAGTGAGTGAAGTGAAGCATTGGAATGGCTCCTAAACTAACAAAAGCGGCAAGAACGGAGAAGGCCTGCCGGGCACTGAGAGATCTTCGCTTCCCTGTTGATATGATTAGGGCAAAGTTGGAGGAGCTACTTCGTGTCCACAGAAAGAACTGGAAGGCTATTGAAGACTCCAACTATTCACTTCTGATCGATGCTATATTGTCTGCAGAAGAGGAGAAACAGGTCTCCTTCATTCTAAACATTCCAAACTCTGCTACTTAACTGTTATAGTTTTCTGCCCATTTTGTGACACTAATCTTCTGTTGATGGACATCTTTTTGAAGCCTGAGAAGGTACCCACAGCAGCAGACCCAGAAGCAAAGGTGAGAGTCCTTTATCAGTTCTCTTCTCCTTTTCATGAACTTTCAAGTGGTTGATCTCACTGCTTTGCTATGATAGTTGTTATTCAATTTAATGCTGTTGTTTCCTATGTTGCTGCATGATGGCTTGACCAGCAAGTAAAAAAGTCCAGCAAAGGTACATTGGCCCCTCCCCAAGGAACATCTGGACACGAGGCTAGACATGTTGGCTCAAGGTACGGGAAAGGGGAAGGGAAAGCTTCATCCTCGAGTCGATTGAAAAGGAAGAGGAGCAACAAGACTGAAGCTTCTTCAGATTCTGATGGTGATCTCTTACCTGGAGAGTTGGATTTAGAAGAAGTTTCAGGGAAAAGGTCATGCACAAGAAAGAAGAAAGTGGCCTCAAGTTCCAGTTCTAAAAAGGTGTCTGGAGCTCGGGGGAAGGACAAGATTCTGCCTGGACCATGTTCAGGGCTTGGTGCTGAATCTGAAGATTACAAGAGTCCAACTGTGAGTAAGCCTACAAACCAGGGAAGTGCAAGAGATGAGGATACCAAAATAAGGCTATACACAAGAAGGAAGAAAGCGGCTTCACTCTCAAGTCCTCAATACCATGAGAAGGTGAAAGGGTCTTGCCAAAAAACCGAGGTTAAGGTTGGACCAATTTCGAGGCCAGATCATAGAGAGATAGTAGCAAGGGGTGGCTGGGAAACACAAGTTAAGATTGTACCAAATTCAGGATCAGATGACGACTCTGAAGATGCTGAGACTCCACTGATTAGGCGGAGAACAAAACGCCAGAGAAGAGAGGATGTGGCAGATATACTTCCTGCTTCGGAGAATGAAACTGGCTTAATTTGCTATGAGAACCCACTTAATCTTCCTTCCATGGATTATGCGTTTGACATGTACCTCAATGATCCTCGAGATATGGTCACGGAGAGTCCATACACTATCAACAACCACCTCCAAGATGACATTCCTTTAGCCTTTATCCCTCCAGGTATATCTTAACAAGCATGCTGAGATAAAGGATTGGAATTGTGCTGAGGTACTTATAAACTATTTTGGAAAGTAAGGAAAGTAGTAAGTGGATGGTCCATCCCACATTTGAAACCAGTTCTTACCACTTGACCCTTATTGTTTCTATTGTAAGAACCTCATTGCCTTGTGGATGAGTGTTTTTTTCCCCCCTCTTCTTTTTAATTGATTCATGTCATTTTTTAGTAGTACAGTCAAACCTCATTATAGAACTTGGTAAGTAGTCAGCATATACAGAATTCACCTAAATTGGTTCATGACTTAGTTTGTGGTTCTGTGGTGATCAATTGATGGAGCTTTTTTAAGTTTGAAGAACCATTGTGATATGTAGTTCCAGATCTGTTCATGTTTGTTCTAGTGTCAACAAATTGATATGTGGACCCTCAGTCCACTTTCTTTTGTATCTTTGATGATTAAGGATTCTCAACTCTTTCCCTCGGCTTTGAAGTTTTGAGTTTGAAACTAACTGAAAGCCTTTTTCCAGCTAGAGAAATTGATCATACCCCAGCAGATGAAGTGAAGTTACTAGAGTACAAGTCTTCAGGTGTTATAGAAACAGGTAATGGGTGTCTGAAATCGATATGTTAGCTATTTCAAAGTAGTTGATACTCGATGCTTTAAGTTTGCGCCAACGCAATATGTTTAGACCTATCATGTTTGTTCTAGTTGTTATTACTAGTGTGGCTTGTAAGTAAGCCAACAAATTGATTTGGGTACACCTGCAAATCATTTCTCCCTTTTTCTTAATCTACATAGGTTAAGGGTTTCTGAAGTTCTCCCTTGTTTTTTGAAGCTTATTCAGATTTGCTTTGCAAAACCCTTGTGCCAGCTAAAGAAGTAGCTGATAACCCAGTAGGTAGCATGAAGTTGCTAGAATACACATCTCCAGATGCTGAGATTACTGGTAAGGGTCGGCGACATGTAATGGATTGATAGAAATGCATATCTACACTCAGAAGCAAGATAAGAAAACCAATTATAGTTGAGCTCACTCTTTGCATGTACACATACATATTGCTAAATGCTACTTTCTCATGCCAATTAAGTTCGTTCTAATTGCAAATCATTTTTACTTGGACCTTTTGGCCTTCTCCATCCCTTAGGTGCAGTGCAATCATCAATCAATGATGAAGCTCTTGTGAGTGAAGATGGCTTGACATTCATTGACCAAAAGGTTGTCTCCATGGAAGATGAAGGACATTGTTGTATAACAGAGGAGTACTGCGTTGCTTCATCTTCAACGGGAGGGATGAGACTATCCCTTGTTCGTGGCCCTTCCTTACCATCCACCATCTGCGTTCCAAATGAAGTCATAAAGGTGATGGAAGATAAATGCAAAAAATCTTACAAGATAACGGATCCTAGCTTCTCTTTCTTGAAGCTGATGAATGACTTCTGCAACATTGTCTGCTTAATGGATAGTACCATGGTTGATGCCCCCACAAGTTCCACATTTCATCCCTCTGATTCAAATCCCTCCGCTAGCAGCTACAAGGCCACAGTGTTTTGTGCCCCCAGAAATGATGCCCTTGATCCATGCCTTTTAGCATCATTCAGATTTCATAATCTCATTGAGGTCACTCCCCAAGTTCCTAAGCATATCAATCTTGTTGGGTTTGGTTTCCTTCAGTCTATCAAGGGCATTGAATTTGTGGGTAGTAAAACCAACAAAATGATCCCTAAGCTGCTAGGCCCTAAATGTTCAAGATCATTCATCGGCCAGGCCACACAGAGTAAGGGTTATGGTTATCTTGATGACATAAGCAAGGGTGAGGAAAATATGGAGATACCAGTCCTGAAGGGAAGCCGTGATAAAGATCTGAAGAGATTCAACTACATTGCACAAAACATGGTCCTCGGAGAAGCCAACATTGAAGTTAAACTTGGTGTTCCATCGAGCAAAGGATGTTGCTGTCCCGAGTGTTTTGGTGATTGCCAAACATCAAACCCACCGTGCAAGTGTGGTCAACTAAATGGTGGTGAGTTTGCATACACGCAGTCAGGTTTGGTAAAAGAGCAGCTTTTGAGGGAATGGTCATCTAGGAAGAACACTACCTTTTATGGGCATAACTTGTCTAGGCCCCATATGGAAAGTAATTTCATAAAGGAGTGCTGGTACAGCTGTGGATGCTTTAAGAAGTGTGGCAACAGAATCGTCCAGCGTGGCATAACGAGAAAACTGCAGGTTAGACTTTTCCCTTCTAGAAGCAACTTACCATATGCAAAAGATATGTGAACAGTGCACAGAGTGTTCACTTTTTTCTGCTGTTGTGGGTTTAGGTGTTCTGGACTCCTGAAGGGAAAGGCTGGGGAGTTCAAACTCTTGAGAGCTTGCCAAAGGGTGCTTTCGTGTGCGAATATGTTGGTGCAATACTAACCATGTCGGAGCTACACAGACAAGGTAGTAAAGGCATCACGGATGAAAAGAATGCATATATCGTTCTGCTTGATGCAGGCCGTTATATTTCTGAACCTGTCCTGAAGGATGATGGTAAAGAAGCACTATGTTTGGATGCTTCAGAGTATGGAAATGTTGCAAGGTTCATTAACCACAGGTATCTCATTTGTACTTTCAGAAAGTTCTGAGCTTTAAGTTTTGAAATTTTTTGGTTTAAATGGACATCAGCTTGAGTTATCAGACCAGTAAGGTACATGATTAGACTTACTTTTCTATCTTTCTACTCATTAGGTGTGGGGATGCAAACTTAGTGGGGATACCAGTTGAGGTGGAGACTGCAAGTCATCAATATTACCATGTATGGGTTATGCTTTCTCTTAAGTCTCCTCATTGCTAAGAGAAATAATTTACCAGCTAGATTCCCTTCTGAAGAACTGAACATTTGATTTGGATATTCATGCACTTCCACTTGCAGCTTGCTTTCTTCACTACAAGGGAGGTAGATGCCATGGAAGAGCTAACTCGGGTACGTGAAGCAAGCTGCTTTCTCTTTGTAAACTAAAAAGCTCAAATGCCTCTATAGATTGACATTTCTTGTTTTGCCAGGACTATGGCATCGGGCTCAATGACGACAGCCATACTGCGAAGCAATTCCAGTGCCTCTGTAGCAGCCCTTTCTGCCGTGACTCTCAGAAGGACCTTATAGTGATCGACTAAAATGGGATTGTAATGTTGTAGAAAGACTGGTAGAGGACAGGCATATATTTCGTACTAGGGTTGCTTAGCTGCCTGTATTAGTAATTGGGTTAGATTACCAATTCATTCAGATTCAAGTACATTATGACATGTAAAATGTTACAACTATGACACAACCTTCCACACAAATTTTACATGATGGAGTTCTACTAATGAATGTAATGGATGAAAAAAGTCGAAGCAGCTTCTCGAGTTGGTGACTATCTTCACAAGTTTCTTCATCCCAGTCTTCAAGTTGATCAAAATTCTCGATTACCTACAGATGTCCATGATTCTGTCTTCTACATCCAAGTTAAGAAAGTTACAAACTGTTTAGGAGTGATGCACAAGCACTCTTTGAATTTGTAATTTAACTTATATTACTTCAAAATGGAAGTTTTGCCTATGTTAGAATGTTAGTACAATCAAAGGTTGTGACCAAAATGGGAATTCCGTTAAGAGAGAAGAATGGAAACATCGCCCATGATGTTAGATTTTTTCCCCCACACAGTTTGGAACTAGTTGTTCATGAGCAGAAGCATTTACACTACTACAATTTCACTCTTCCTTAACTAGCAATTTCCTATTCCTACTACTACTAACGAAATGCATCATCATCGTATTGGTTCAGTTCGGCGCAGCACTCTCCGGCTGGGATCAGGAGTTCTGGACCTCTTACTACTGCACATAGATGATCTCAACCCTCCTTTCTTCTCTTCATTTGGGAGACCAATAGCAGCCATGAGCTGATTCCGTCTGGAAGAGGGCATCGTCTTGTTCATGTACCGAACAGCTTCACTTGTTTTTGGATCCTTGGCTCCCTTTTTCGATAATCTCTCCTCGGACACAAGACTTGCAGCCTTGCACTGCTGGTCTCTTGCATTCCGATACCTGGTTTCTGATAAAGGTTACAAAATATATTTCAGTTTATATCATAGGGAACCATATTGCATAACAGTCGGACAACATTGGTAGCAGAAATGGATTCACTGCCAAAATGGATTCTTTTCAGTTTCGGGGCCTTACCTGGTAGTCGAACAACATTGGTAGCACGACTTGAATGCGTGATAGGTGTGTGGGACTGGACAAGCAGACCACCATAATCCCTACCAGTATTCTGGCCAGTCTGACCACTGCCACTCGGACTGGGATGAAGCTGTGGACGCAAGTTTTCATCGCCAAAAGTGCCAAAGTCCTGAGGGTCTCTTTTTGCCTGGAGAATATCATCGTCAGCAGCAGCAGGAGGAGAAGACAATGGTTTCTCAGCACCTTTGGTCTCATCATCACGAAAACTCAGCCTTTCCTCAAGACCTTCCTCATTGTGCTGCTCAAAGGTCTCAACTTGTTCATCTTGCACTACTGTTTCGCAAGAGGAATCAATTTGGGGCTCAAGTATTCCTATGTCATCTCCAGTAAACACAGCAGCAGCAGTATCACAATTGTCACCATTTTCCTTACTGTTATTATCAGATGAAGTATATTCTTCCCTGTCCACAGTTTCTAGAACAGATTTTGGAGACGTGCTTGAAGTGCCCAAACCTTGATCAACCTTTTGCGAGTCCATTAAACTTGAAAACCAAGGCGTACCTTCTCTGGCATACAATAGAAGATATGCGACTTGAGATAATACAATTTCTTCGCGACATTCAGTGACCTGCAGAACAGAAATATGGGTAGAAATAAATGTCATCAGTGTATGTACAACAAAATCTAGTCATCAAGAAACAAGCATCTCTTGATTGAATATAGTAATCATTACCCTCGAGTCATCTAACTTGTGCCATTTCCCTGGTGATGACCTTATATAGCAAAAGTAGTGTCCAGAGGTAGGCGAAAAACCATTGTGCACCACAACTCCATATAGTTGATACTTCAAACCCTCCTGTTGCATAGATAAAGTAAGTGTTAGTGATATTTGAAAGACAGTCTAATGTCATGACATCTTGTGACATACCAGAACTATATAGTATCTTTTGCTCATCGCTGCTCGTTTAAAAGTTATTCGGAAGAGTAACAAAATTGTAATGCACAAACAGATTTGAACATAGGCATCATTTCGCTAGAAGAGACTAATCATCAGCTTACGTTGTCATTCTGGTCATGACTGGAGTAGGGCACTAAATCAAGCTCCAGAGGGAACTCAATGTGCTTGCCAATCTTCTCCACAGAGTGTCCGTCGGTCTTGAATCTCTTCAAATGCAAAGTAGTGACTAAAGGAGCCCTGTCCAACATAAGCTGCTTCTCCATCGTTACTTTTTCTTTGCAACTATCACACGTCAGCTTTGTCTCTGGATCTTCTATCTTCTCCACTTTAGTGAAAGATTCAAGTGCGTCATGCAGGCTATCCACCTCTTCAATCTCCAAGCTCAAGTCAATTAGAGGTTCATATTTGTCAGAGAAATGGCCACAGCTGCAACATTTTAGCTGTATTTCCAGCACAGTTAAAAAGATAAGATGATCATTTGTAGCTTAAAAAACAGGAAGAAGAGGTTTCAAAAGGCTGATTTCTCCTACCTTGCTCACAAGACGACCTCCAAAAATTTGATGCACGATATTTTCAGCTTCTGAAGATGAGGAACCTTCAGCTGCATTGGGATCTGAACAACATCTTTCCAGCCTATCCAACAAGCACTGCAGAAATTCATGTGCATCTTCCTGATGGTATTTTTGGAAAAGGGAAGAAATGCCTAATCTATGTTAAGGAGCACATTTAAGTAACCCTGTGGAAGACTGTCACAAGCAAATGAATTTACTACCCACAAACACTACCTAGTTCAAACTCATGTACCTCAGCAATATGATTAAGACTATCTGCTTAAGAGAACAAGGGAACCATGTACCATACTAACACTACAGACAACATCAAATTGATAATTCAATGCTTGCTTAATCATCAGCAATGAGATTGAGAACCATTTAACACAACCATGAAGCATAAAGGCAACAAAGGATACAACTCAAGTTGTCAAAAAGACTTCGGGGAGCAATAGTATCTCCAGAAGAGTTCAGGGAACATTCGATGTGATCACGAAGTGCATCAAGAACACAGAATCCATCACTACCTCCTGAAAGATTCAAAGTTTTAGTCAGCAAACACCAAAATGGTAAGTCCTTCCAAGTGGGTCAACCATAACAATCAAGGTATCGAGTCAAGCTTGCTATCTATCTGAGGATGGAAAACAATACGGAGTAGCAAAGGACTTACTGTCACAAGGTAATGAATGATTGTGGGATCGTAGAGCCTTCACCAGAGGGACAGTGTGTGTAAAGCATTGCAATATCGCATTGATGAAGCATGTGTTCCCGAGGTTTGTAAGTCCAGCACCCTGAAAAGCAACATTCATCATTGTGCACGATAAGAACATTGCATATGATCAATCATAGACGCATTCAAGCAGATGAACGAAACTAGACCATAGTTGCAGGCAACAACAGAAAGGACGGATACACATTCGAACAAGCAGTCTAATGTACAATTCCAATAATTCATCAGAAAGAAAACCCACTAGTCACGTACCATGCCAGTAGGAATTGGTTCCCTCCGGAACCAGAAAACTCCCCTGGACCTATCATCTTCAACAGGTTCTCTCCGGGGCTTGGAAAACCCCCTAGGCCTATTATCTTCATCTTCTGAATCAGAGCGGCTTCTATCCACCCAAGCCCGGCACTGGCACCACCCATGTCCATACCCCGCAGGACAACCGCGGCGATGAAATCCATCGGCTCCAAAACGAGGACGAGGACCGTAACCAACAACAAGGGGGCGCTGATGGTAGTACTCCGAGTCATCCTCATCACAATCAAGATCTACATCGCTGAGCTTCCCATTGGGTGAAGAAGGGGCACTGGTCCCAGCTTCCGTTTCCATAGGAGAACCAGGAGCCTGATAATCCCCACTATCATCCATCCCCAACTCTTCAACAGCTGATGACTCGCCTATTACAGCTTCCCCATCCGACGATTGTTGGGCGGCATTTCCAGACGAAGTCAAAGCAGACTTGAAATCGAAATCCACGACACCATCACCACCCACTTCTGGAAGATCCTCATCCCGACCACAATCACTCGTAGAAGCCTTGATTCCCGGAGGAGGCACGCCGGAGGAGGCGTCTAGGGTTAGCGCAGAATCAAGGTCGTCGTCGGCACCACCTGATATAACTATCCAGGGGGGTTGTTCTTCCGGGGGATCGGACAGCTGCAGCAGCTTTTCTACGTCTAGGGTTTCGGATATCGGACGGAGCGGCGCGGGACCGCCGGCGCCGTGGCTGGGTGGAGGAGAAGCATCACTCGCCGGCGCCGTCATCGAAGAAGAAGGACAGCGAAAATTGGGTTGACGGGTGATTTAAGAAACTGCTGACCACCAACGATTTGGAGGAGCTTCCGTTGGAAGACTTGGTGGCGGCTTTGATCCTGCGGCGGCGGGAGGGATGCAAACGAAATTTGAATTTCGACAGAGGGAAATTCGCAGGAAATTTAAAATGGAAAGAGTGGTGGTGAGAGAGTGGGATGATTAGAGAGTGGGATGATTAGAGTATATGGAAGAAGGGAGTGGGTTTTGGTTTAGGCGGGAATTTTCGAAAAGGGAGGGAAAATTAAGCGCCTATTATTTCGTTCTCATTTTTCTCCCGCTTCTTCATTTTGACATTATTCAACGCCGCCGCTCATTTGGTTTGGTATGAACTATGAAGTAGGGGTGGGCATCCGGTTCGGTAAACCCGGACCGAACCGGACCGAAACCGATTTGAACCGAACCGAAACCGAACTTTTCTTATTCGGTTCGGAATTCGGAACAGAAAACTGACTACTTCGGAAACCAAGGTTCTCTCCACCGAACCGATTTTCCGATTTTCGAACCGACAAACCGAAACATGGGCTGAATGCTGACTGAGCCCAGTACACTACCCAACCCAAACCCGCAGAGCCCAAAAAAACCTACTTTCCCAGAGCCCAGTTCTCCTCAAAAAGTCAAAACCCTAAGCCCATAGCCCAATTCCCCCCCACCCCACCAACATAGTCACAACCCTAAGCCCAAATCCTCTCTCGGCACTCACCTGTCACCTCCCACCACCACAAAAATTCACATCTCTAACCTAAAGAGACGGCAAGCAGCCACCATTGTCAATTCTCTGTCCCAAGCAGCCAATTTCAGATCCACCATGATTTAGATCCATGGCACATCTCGGCGCTCCTCGGCGGGTTAACAGACTGGGGCGGGCATCTCGGCGGCGGGGGGATCGGCAAGGAATGGAGGCGGGATCTGCAGGAGCGGCGGCGGGATCCGGGGCGACATGCTCGGCTTAACGAGCCCCTGCATGCTCTCTCCTGCCCTGTCTTTCGCCATCGCTTCCTCTTCTCAAAATGGATGAGTGGCGGACTTGGCAAGCTGGACCTGGGGAGAAGGCGAACTCGGCGGCGGACGGAGCTCAGTGCGGCATCGACGGCGAAGTGCTCGACCTAGCTGAGCGATGAACTGCTCGGAGAGGACGGGTCGGCGGCGTTTTGTCCCCTGCAGAGAGAGATGGAGAGGGTTTGATAGAGGCGCTGGTGGTGGAAGAAGAGTAGCAGAGATGGAGAGAGATGAAGAGGTGGAAGAGAGGAAGAGAAAGCGTATTTTTTGGGTAGAGAGAGGAAGTTGCGTACTGAAAAAGCGGGAGGCAGAGGAAGAAAAAAAGAAGGCAGGGGAAGGGTGTGGGAAATATCGGGTTTGTCGGGATCCCGAATCGAACCGAAATATAATTCGGTTCGGCTTGACCGAACCGAATTATATTTCGGTTCGGAATCGGTTTCATGTGTAGAGAGTTCGGGGGACCCGGTATACTCAATTTCGGTTCGGTCGAAACCGAACCGAACCGATGCCCACCCCTAGTATGAAGCCATGATCATAATATATCTCCAAACACCTGCATCATAATATTATCAGAAATTTACTTACAAATATATCCTATAAATTCGAGTGAAAGTAGGAATTATATTTTTATCTTTATAATTGATTATTTATTTCATATAAGAATGTTATTATGAGATTTGAATCTCGGTCTATTCAAACAAAGATAACAATCACACTAAACGAACTTTTTGTATGTTTTTTAATACAAAACATATATGAAGTGACACTCTGAAAATCATATAACTTTTTCATCATGATTAGCAAGCCAACTAATCAAGATTCATTATGAAAAGGTCCTCGATTCTAAAATCACTGCTTGATACTACAATTTTCATAGTAGAGTTTCATGTAGTTTCTCAATTCTAAAATCACTGCTCTCTCCTTAATTTTTGCTAAACGTAAATTGGTAGCTGATCAACATGGAAGAAACTAATTCTATTACTGCGTGTTATGTCCTTGCATTTTTTAATTTATATTTAAAATTATACTTTTTATCTTTGTTCTTATCTCTTTCTAACTTCCTCGAAAATTCCCTACATCGTGCAAAAATTTGCGCCCCTTTCACTTCACAATACAAGGTCGCCTTTGAAAATCAATCTTCCGATCTCTTGGCACTATGATTTTATTATTTGGAATTTAAACTCGGCAAGTAAAATATTTCAACTCCAATATCAATCCATGGCGAATATTATGGAGTTCAATAAATGGAGGTGCAAAAGGAGGACTAAATTTTGAATTTTTTGTTTAAATATACGCATTTTGAGATTGAAGATAAAGTGGATAATTATTTTATTGTACAACGGACAGTTGTGGTTATTGGATCTTTAGGTTTATGGTTTTTGAAGCTATCGCAACCTAATTCTATCTTAAAACGAGGAATCATCGATTGATTTACTGAAGTAGATCAGTCGATTCTTTATTCAACCTATTGGTATATTGGAGGTAACCCTATTTGGCGTTTATTACTTTGATCGAGTCTATTAGTATATTGGAGGTAACCCTATTTGGCGTTTGCTCTCAAGTTGTGATGGTCCCCTACAATCATGAGATCTCGTCAACCCTGGTTTGGGCGCGATTACTAGAGATCCCGATCCATTTTTTCCACAGGGATGCCGTGATGAAAATTGGTAGTCGAATAGGCAAACCGCTGCGGGTGGATCAAGCTACTGCAACAGGAGCTCGCCTGGACTATGCTAGGGTGTGTGTTCAGGTGGATCTGACTAAACCGCTGTTGTCACAGTTCAAAATCCACGGGGTTACATATTACGTCCAGTATGAGGGGCTCGAAAAAATTTGTCTTAACTGTGGCAAATATTTTGAGCGTTCCAAATGCTACTGCACGACACCCTCTGAGTCGATGGAAGCTGAAAATTCTATTCCTCAGGAAAACTCACAGCCCAAAGAGCCGGAGAAAACCTATGGGGAGTGGATGATTGCCAAATGCCAAGCGAAGACCAAGAACAATCCGCAAGGAGAATGCTCCGTTGGGAAAGGAACTAGCGCGAAACCAGAATAGACATCAATCGGAGAGTGGCTAGCGCTTCAATGTCCTTGCGGAAGAGGAGACAACAGAGGTCACAACCACGCCCGTCGCGGAGGAAAATGGCAGGAAGAGTGCAGTCCGAGCCCAACAGCCCCAAGAACCACAAAGGGAACCTGGCCGTAAGACACCGACAGAGACTGTTGTAGGGAGGGAGAAGGGTAAAGCCAAGGAGAGCATGCCAACTGGGCACCTGCATGGCAAGGCTCCACAAACCACCAATCACATGCATGTTGAAACCGGGGACTTCTTCCCACCACGACAGCAGACCATTTGCCGTGAGCTCGACGGGGGGGAGGGGGGGGGACAGAGAACACACCTGCCGCCTACGACGTCGTTTCCCATCTCTCCCTTAAGTGCATCGGCTGAGCAGAATGGAGTAATAGCACAGACAAGTGCTACCCTCGAGTCAGCTGCATGGGGTCGACCGCCTAATCTGAGGGAACAGAATTTGCACCCTGACGGGGCATCCCAACATCAATCGCCGACACAAAATGCGACCCCGACCTTGGATGGGACTACCACGCCAAGCGATTAATACCAGGGAGTTCTCCGTTTCACCCTTCCTCTCTTAATGGATACAAAATTATTTGTTTGGAACTGTAGGGGTGCGGGAAATAGAAAATTTCTCCGAGCTTTTAGAGAGTATAAGAGAAAGCATAGACCGAACATAGTTATAATAGTGGAGCCTCGTATAAGTGGTACAACTGCCCAGGATGTTATAAATGAAATGGGCTTTGATAAACAGCTTATAGTGGATGCTTCGGGCTTCTCGGGGGGCATTTGGGTTCTTTGGAATGCTGGCGAGATCACCATTACTCAGATAGACATTCACTCCCAATTTATTCATATGCAGGTGGCAACAACGGGGAGGCCGGGGGACAGATGGAGCCTCACATCAGTGTACGCCAGCCCCGTGCCAATGCATCGTAGACAACTCTGGGCGGCAATGAGGCATATTGCCGAGGAACAGGAGTTACCTTGGCTAATTACAGGAGATTTCAACTCCATTATGCACCCCTCGGAAAAATTAGGAGGAGCTCCTTTTGATGCCAGCCGGATTCGCGATTTTCAAGACTGCGTCAACGATGCGGGACTAGTGGATATGGGGTTCATTGGACCACCGTACACCTGGTTCAGAAATGGTGTTCGAGAGAGGTAGGATCGCGCCCTAGCTAGCAACGGTTGGCTGAGGGCATATCCGGAGACTACAGTTCGCCACCTGCCGAAGATTAAATCAGACCACAGGCCGCTGCTGGTCTCAACAAACCCACCCCATCAACCGGCAGGACTTGAGAAAGATTGAGAGACTGGAACACCGGGATGGCAACTCGAACTCTTCTACCCAACTCGAGGCGGCTAGAGAAGAACTCGAGATGGTGCTTTTCCAGGAAGAACTGTTTTGGTGCCAAAAGTCGCGTCTCGAGTGGATCGCTTCAAGAGATAAGAACACAGCATATTTCCACTCAAGAACTCTGAAGCGGCGGAAGAGGAACAGGGTCCTAGCGTTGCAAAACGCGGCAGGGGACTGGATTGATGAAGAATCTGAGCTTCAACAATTGGCAAGAGCTTTCTTTGAGTGGCTGTACACGGACGAGGGTGAGAATGCGATACCCCTGACTAGAGAATTCCCGGTGTTGGAAAATAGTCTTTGGCAGGGCCTGAACGTGCAACCATCAGCCGAGGACATTTTGTTCTCAATCCGCTCGATGGGAGCTTTAAAGGCGCCTGGCAATAGGGATGGCAATTTCGACCTGGCCCGTTTTACCCGACCTGTTTGACCTGTTTTGGGGCGGGTCCGACCCGCCCCGTAGGCGGGGCGGGGCGGGCATGGGTAGTCTTATCGACCCGACCTGCCCTGACCCGCCCCATTCTTGACCCGTTCTTATCTAAATTACATGAAATCTTAGTCAAATTACTTTGAATTTTCCTTTTATTGCATCATATTTTAGCTATAATAAAGTTGTAAATTAGTGAAAACCTCAATTTCTCCAATAATTTAACTACAATTGTCATAATATTGTTTGTTTTCTTAGTTTTATAATAAAAATAACGAATATTTCTAATGTTTTTCATATAAATTGCATACCCATTGGGTCGACCTGCCCCGACCCGTGACCCGTGATCAATTACCCGACCTGGACCCGCCCTGCCATGGGGCGGGTCTGGGTACCAAGAAACCCGCCCCGGACCTGCCCCATTGCCATTCCTACCTGGCAAGGACGGGTTAAACCCCCTTTTTCCAGAAGTGCTGGGAGACGATTGGGAACTCTATGACGGACTTGATCCGGAGCTGCTGGGATGAGCCGACAAGGATTCGGGATATCAACTCCACCATCCTCGTCCTAATCCCAAAAATCACTTCGCCGACGTCCATTGAGCAATTCCGCCCCATCAGTTTGTGCAATGTTGCATACAAAACCCTGACGAAGACTATTGCAGAGAAGCTGAAACCTCTTATGCCGAAGCTGGTGCACGAGACCCAAACAAGCTTCGTCCCTGGAAGACACATTACAGATAACATTTGTATCCTGCAGGAAGTGGTCCACTCTATGCGGGACAAGAAGGGTCAGAAAGGTTGGATGGTCCTAAAGATCGACCTGGCCAAGGCTTATGACAGAATTCGGTGAAAATTTGTACAGGATACCCTTGAGGCGATAGTCGCCCCCACGAAGCTGATTGAGGTAACCATGGCCTGCATCACGACGTCCACGATGGAAATCCAGTGGAATGGGGGCTTGACAAGCCCATTCGCCCCATCGCGAGGCCTTCGACAGGGATGTCCCCTATCACCCTATCTTTTTACGTTATGCATGGAAAGATTGAGTCATCTTATTAATAAATCTGTTAGGGACGGGAGTTGGCAGCCGATCCAGCTGACCAGATCAGGACCGGCCCTATCTCATTTATTTTTTGCAGATGATCTAATCTTGTTCGGCGAGGCGTCTTTGCAGCAAGCCCAGGTGATTTTGCAGTGTTTTGAGACCTTCGGAGCAGCCTCGGGACAAAGAGTAAGCAAACCGAAGTCGAGGGTCTTTTTCTCGGGGAATGTGACGGCTGAAACCAGAGCTTCCATAAGTACTGAGCTCGAAATACCGCAGACGGCGAACCTCGGCAGATACTTAGGAGTTCCGGTTATTCATGATCGTGTTTCCAATGCTACCTATATTGAACTGATAGACAAGGTGGATAAAAGGCTGGCAGGATGGAAAGCTGAAACCATGAGCTTGGCAGGGCGGATTACTCTTGCCCAGTCGGTCCTGTCATCCCTACCGTCGTACACCATGCAGACGTCCTTCCTGCCGGCTAGTGTCAGGGACTACATCGACAAAAAAATCAGAGCGTTCATATGGGGAAGTACGGATGGAGGGAGGAAAGTGCATCTAGTGGATTGGGATACGATTTGCAGACCGAAAGAGGAAGGGGGCCTTGGTATGCGTTCGGCTACCTGAACGAATGAGGCGTACATGCTGAAAATCGCTTGGCGTCTCATCACCCACCCGGAAGAGCTGTGGGCAAAGATCATCCTTCATAAATACACGCGAACTACGGAGGAAGGTCTGGTGCCGCGGCGAACTGGGAAGGTCTCGAACCTTTGGCGGGGAGTCCTGCGGGTTTGGCACAAAATGGAGGAAGCCTCGACTTGGAATATCCGCAATGGTCGCCTCGCCCGCTTCTGGAGTGACCGCTGGATCAATGATGACGAACCTCTAGCGACGTACTCCCAGGCAGTTCCCGAAGAAGCGAGAAATCTTCCAGTGGCGGACTTCGTGCTCAACGGTGAGTGGAATAGGGATTATATAAGCAATGTCTTACCTGTTGATGTGGCCTCGCAGGTTTACCTTCACCCGGTGCCGAAGGAGACAGAAGATGACGTGAGATGCTGGCGGTACACTCCGAATGGCGAGTTCTCGCTCAAGACGGCGTATGAGAAGCTGGGAGAGGAGGACAATCCACACCTGTATAGACACCCGACATGGAGAGCAACCTGGAAGATCCCGGTGATGCATCGGATGCGCTCCTTCATGTGGCTGGTCAACCATCGCAAGCTCCTCACCAACGTAGAACGGAAGCTTAGACACCTGACCGACGATGATGGCTGCAAAATTTGTGGTGGAGGCCCTGAAACTACCATCCACGTACTTCGAGATTGTCCCTATGCAAGAGCTACGTGGGCGGAAGCACTTCAAGACGAACCCGACCATGACTTTTTCGAGCCCAACATCGAGAGATGGCTCATGCATTACACGACGGGCCGTGGTCGCTCCATCGACAGCACCCTCTTCACGACTATGTGCTGGCTGCTGTGGAAAAATCGGAACAATTTCTGCTTTCAAGGTAAGTTGGACTCCTGTGCGCATATTCAGACTAGCTCGGTACACCTTCGGCTTCAAATCCTTAAAGCCTCGGAGAAGGAGCAACAGGTGTTCAGAGCCGGGGGACTCAGCACACCTACGATGATCCAGTGACAGCCACCTCAGCCTGGGTGGGCTTGCTTAAATACAGATGGCTCCGTGACTCTTTCCACTTCTAGCACGGCGGCCGGGGAGTCGTCAGGAGGGACGACGGCCGTTTTGTCACTGCGTTCTCCATGAACCTGGGAGGGGGTTCCATCACCAGTGCCGAGCTAGCCGGTATTGTGCATGGGTTACAGCTTACTTGGGAAGCAGGAATTCGGAAGGTTATTCTGCAGACAGACTCGACCACGGCTTTGTCACTCATCGATTCAGCAACGCCTCATCATTCACACTATTCCCAGGTGGCCGCAATCAGACGATGGCTCCAGCGAGATTGGCAGGTCCGGCCTCAGCATGTCTATAGAGAGGCGAACGTGGTTGTCGATTTCCTAGCAAACCGAGGTCACTCCTTGTCGGTTGGCATCCATCGGGTCACAGCCCTCGATAGTTCTCTTGCTTATTGGTTGTACCATGACTCTATTGGGGTTCAGACACCCCGTCTCATTATCGTATAAAGGTTGGGGCGCCCTTTAAGCGCTCCGTTTTCTCACAAAAAAAAAAATTTATGTAAGATTTTCAGGTTTAAGATTTAGTTTCAAACCATCTATGGTTTGAAACTTATCTAAAAATTTTATGTAAGAATTTCAATGAACTTTTATACTCTATCTTTCCTTACAATCAACTAATCAATAACATTTTACCGTTGACTTATTTATCATTATGAAAATGAGATCAATGATACATTTTTATATTTCTCCAAATGTTCGATCCATATATTCTTTCTTTAGGTATCATCTCGATCGAAGGATTGTCAATAAAAATAAACGGGTTGATATACTTAAACTTCACATGAAAATATAAACCATCAAATATGAATATTCCGGCCAACGAACCGGGTTATAAGCTAGCTACTTAATAAAGATCAATACATCCTTACATTAGTCGTACTATTAAGATTAAACACAAAATGATGTTGTTCTGCTTTCTGGGTGCAGGTCGGATGAAAAACATGTTGAGTTTTAGAAAAGCCAAATCCAACCTAACAATATTGAAAGCAAACAAAATCCGCAACCAACTCAAATTTGTCTACTGAAATTTACACAGTTTGATCTGATTCGGGTGGATACCAGGTTCAATTGCCATTCCTACTTTTAAACGAGGAAACCACCCGTCGTATAATCTTCTCTGTATCGTTCCAATTTTATCGGATGTCCCCGAAGGGACACCACCCGTCGTATTATGTAAGATACAAATTATGTTAGATACAAATTTCTACGCAATTCGAGCTAACTCGGCCCAATCGTTTCGCCTAAAATGTCAAGGCCTTAGCCCAGTGTCTTTACCGCCGACCACTACCAAAGCCCAACAGATGTAATGTGTTCGGCTAACAAAAACCCTAGGTCGGGCTGCTTTCTATTTAACTCCTCAGAACCCTAATTCACAGCTTCGTTTTCCCCCCGCAGCAGTCGAAGATGTCGAAGCGAGGTGTGTATTCTCTCCTCACTACTCTCCATTCTTCGTTAATCTTTCAGCTGCAATCCTTCGATTCAAGCTTTCGTCTGTTCGCCATGAAAATGTATTATGGAAAATGAAAATAATCTTAGATATACAATCTTATAGCCTTGCTGTAGAAGAATTGTATGCTTTAGTGACATCACGAGTTCGGCTGGTAGGGTGTATGATTTCGCTTAGCTAATCGTTCGATATTTGCCCAGGACGAGGAGGATCCGCTGGTAACAAGTTCAGGATGTCACTGGGTCTGCCAGTGGCAGCCACGGTCAACTGCGCAGACAACACAGGCGCCAAGAACCTGTACATCATCTCCGTGAAGGGGATCAAGGGTCGTTTGAACCGCTTGCCGTCTGCCTGCGTCGGTGATATGGTGATGGCCACTGTCAAGAAGGGAAAGCCTGATCTGAGGAAGAAGGTCATGCCTGCTGTCATCGTGAGGCAGCGCAAGCCGTGGCGCCGAAAGGATGGTGTCTTCATGTACTTCGAGGGTAAGCCATATGAGAATATATAACTTCTGTCTTGATATGCTTTTGGGATCGTAGCTGTTTGAATTGAGCAGTCGAAAGATTTCTCTTATAGTATGGAAGCTTGCTACCCATATACATGGTTTGGATTTAGGTTGCTTAATGATGTACTGTTGTGTATTGTGAGAACTTAGTTGTTCGTTTTAGTTGCTGCTCTGTGATGTGATAGGTTCATTGTAGAATCTGACTTTCTGCAATTTGATTGTTTTCTTGTTTCATCTTTTTCGTAATGGTAGTGTATGGTATCGTTTGTCTTGTTCATTTGCTGGTGATGTGGTGTAAGAATACTCTTTTAAGTTTCTCTGCACCTCCCATACCCAGCTAGAATGAATAGGCCAACCTTACCCCTAGACCGGATGTTAACTGCGCTGTGTTTATCATTCCTGTCGGGGTTGGGACACTGTGAATGTGGCTATCAATTATTATTACCAGACTAAGTCAGGTGTCCTCCTAAATACTTGGTTGATACAGTTACATGTCTGGGATACCAACTGCGTCCCTCGTTTCAGGTGTAGAGGTTTTTGTTCTTATCATCTGCTCCATTTGGACTCTACATGTACACTAATTTCCATTGTGCTTTTTTTTTTTTGGGTGTGTCGATCATGCAATCTGTAATTGTGGTTCATGGTTTATCATGTTCTTATATACCAGACTAAGTCAGGTAGCGTCCTAAATGATGATTGGTTGGTACAGTTACATGTCTGGGAAACCTAAGGTGTCCCTCGTTTCAGGTGTAGAGGTTATATTTATCTTCTCATCTGCTCCATTCGGACCCTATATATTCTTCTGATTTTGGGTTTGTTTAGTATCGTTCTTGAATTCATCCTCTGTTAACCAGACTAAGTCAGGTAGCCTCCTAAGATTTAAGTGGTTGATACAGTTACATGTCTGGGAAACAAAAGGTGTCCTTTCGTTACAGGTGTAGATGTTTAATCAGTCTTCTCATCTGCTCCATTTGGACCCTACATCTGAACCCTTGTAGCTAATATGTGCAATTCATTAGGTTCCTTGAATGCCTTTGTCACCTTGATTTCTGTTTTACTTGTACCTCTTTCTAAATTGAGATTTGCTATCATTTGCAGACAATGCTGGGGTCATTGTGAATCCGAAGGGAGAAATGAAAGGATCTGCTATTACCGGTCCCATTGGAAAGGAGTGTGCTGATTTATGGCCGAGGATTGCAAGTGCTGCCAATGCTATAGTTTAACCGTTTCTTGCTTATGTTCTTGGTCGATTTTGGAACCTTGTCTCTTCTATTTCCGAGCAGTAGGTGTGCTTGTGGAATTGGAAATTTGTTTCAAGCCCGATGATCAGAAGTACAATTAATTTTTGCATGGGGAAAGATGTTAAAAGAGTTTTGATGTTTGATGTTTGCCTTGTTAAATGTGCTTTCTTACCTTCAGATAGCATTAATCTGTCATCTCTTTCCTTTTGTTATTTGAATGTCTACTCCATACAGCAGCCCTTATTGCTCGTGCAAAGAAGCATTGCTACATTTCTTCTGTTTCTGTGTTGGTTTGGAAGTATTGATTACTGAGAATTGGGCGTAATCTGCCATCCCTCGGGCTGATGAACTCGACAATCGATCTAGCATTGTTGCCTGTAACCCAATGACAAGGGTGGAGATTCGAACAAGTTCTTATGCCCGATAGTCCGAGACTCTTATATGAAGAAGCAGTGTTCTTCTGTGTTGTTTTGAAGGTATCAATTACTGGGAATTGGCGATGTGTGTATAACGCAACTTGTCCTTCTGCTAATGAACTTGACCATGAATCTGGTTATAATTTGCGAATGGCGCTGCGCTGTAACTTGCAAACCAATGACGAGGGCTGAGACTAGAACAAGTTCTTATTCCATAAGGATGCATTCCAATTTCCAAACCAGAAAAGAACAACGAAGTCAATGCAGCAATACTATACTATTATCCAATCCAGGTATGCAATGTATATCCCATGACCTTGCGACAACCTTCCACCATGTTACTCTTTGCACAATGCTGTGTACACAGCCCATGTGATGCGATGCAACCTTCCACCATGTGACTCTTTGCGCAATGTTTTGTCCACAGCCCATGTGATCTAATGGTAAACGCTCTCCAACTGCTACTTAACAACCCCATTTCCCTACCCTCCCCGTCAAATCTCAAACGCAAACAGAAATGGCAAGCCTCACTGTCCCTCTGTCGCTTTGTTTCTGTGCTGTGTTTCTCAGTCCAGCAGTTGCAGACTGGAACATTCTTCACCAAAACGGGAAACACCACGCTGCATTGTCGTTGGCCCGAAGTAGGTTGCAGATCAGCTTGCAGAACTACTGCGAGAGCTGGAGGATGAACGTGGAGCTCCACAACATCCGCGACTTCAAGGTCGTCCCCGAAGAGTGCGTCCCCTACATTGGCAACTACGTGACGTCGGTCCAGTACCAGATCGACTCGCAGTTGACCGTAGAGGAGTGCATCGTCTACATCAGCACCACCTGCAGCTTCAGGAAAGATGGTAAAGATGCATGGCTGTTCGACGTGGACGACACCCTCCTCTCCACCATCCCCTACTTCAAGCAACACCAGTTTGGGTAAGCTGCAATTATCTCCAATGTTTCCCACATTTTGCACCTTCACAAGGCTGTATGTGATGCTATTTTTTCGTTTGGTCATGGAGGGGGGAGATGTTCAACGCGACCGCATTCGAGGAATGGGCGAGCAAAAGGAAGGCAACACCATTGGAACACACAATGAGGCTCTACAAAGTGTTGAAATCAATGGGAGTACAGATCTTCTTGGTCTCTAGCAGAAGTGAGAATCTCAGATCAGCCACAACTGACAACCTTGTTGATGTTGGCTACCATGGCTGGAAAAGTCTCTTCCTAAGGTATCTTTTAAACTTCCTGCAGATTCTCCTCTTCTGTTTACTGTCCAGAATCCTTCAATCCCCATAATAACACTTTTTTCATGTTAACGTGGCAGGGGAAATGATGAACTGAATGGTGGGGTGGCGCAGTACAAAGCTAACGTGAGGCAACAATTGATCAACGATGGCTACAGAATCTGGGGCACAGTTGGAGATCAGTTCAACAGCTTTGCAGGCCTCCCAAGTGCTGGCAGGACATTCAAGCTCCCTAATCCACTCTACTATGTCTATTAATAACACATCCTAATATTCCCTTCCTGCTAAACCAAGGAGATTTATCAACAACGATAAGAAAACTTCAAGAGCAATTTGTCTGCATCATTACATTCTTTTGAGAAAAGACAGGTTTTTTCATTACATTTACTGCTGCCTGGTTCGACGAGGACTAGAACATGGTTCTACATCTCTGATCTGTCTCATAGCTTCTGGGTTTTATTACACTGATCTCTAAAGATTAAAACACAGTTTTCCACCCTTAGTGCATCTTTAGATCACCTCCCATGTTCCTCTTAGCGCAGTACTCGAACAAGCTACCGTCGAAGCATCGCCTTATAGCCTCTTTCGAGAGGTACCCTTCATCGTCCCTTGCAAGGACGTACAGAATCCCCCACTCCACTTTGGAGGCAATCCTGCAAAAGAGAGGGTAGTAGCAAGTAACAAAGTTAGTTACTCTTCACCAGAAACATAAAATGGAGACTGCCAAAAGAACAGACATACACATTACATACCATCCGAAGAAGTCATAGGAAAGCCTGTTTCCCTCAGTCATGTCCCAAAGCTCCCCGAACGAGAGCCTATCAGGCTCCGTTCGCGCGTACTTGCTGAACACGTTCTCGAACTGAACGGGCAAGTACCTAGATCGTAAATCGAGCAAGCAAATGCAAGTAGCTCATCAGGTATTAAGATTTTACAATCATAAGTCAGGGGGGGAAATAAGCATAATCAGAATGAAACAACATTCGATTCTGCACATGTATACCTTCCTTCGGTGTCGTACGTGCCCGAATCACTGCCATGTTTGGCCTTGTGGATGTTGTAAATGTAGATTGGGAACAACAGTGACGGAAACCACGACTGTCAATGTAGACCCAAAAAACAGCACTCAATCATTGGGGTTACTATAAAGAGCATTTGACCATACACTACACCATTTCTACTATGTGCAGTACTCACAGGGAGAGTGGAATAGCTGAGAGCCACATTGATCGCGACCGCCATAATCAGAGAGAAAATCGGGTTGAAACCGATCTGTCGAAATCCTGTTCCCCAATTCCAGCCACAAAATGTGAAAAATTTGAGACTTAGACATTCCAATACACAAGCAATACAATTTCAACAAAGAGGGGTTAAAATTTATCTTACCACTGTAAGTCTCCCAAGGGTAAACGATGCCATTGTCGTCCTGATCGAAGAAGGCGACATGCTGTTGAAGCACACTCAAGCCATTATGCCTGTGGCCTGGCGTCCCATACGGGTGCTCTGCGTCCGGAGCTTCCAATGCTCTAGCCATATCTGATAAAAAATCCATTTCTCCATTGTTATATAATCATTACCATTGCAGCCAAAGTGTGGGAGTAAAAGCATTTTGATGAGCTAAAATCATAAAAATGCAAACTTTTAACCCTTAAGGTGCAGTTTTTTACTGCACTTACTAGTGAAAAGTGCGATTCCATATAGGAGTGTTTTGATGACCTAAAAGTGTCAAAATGCAAATTTTTAAATTTTAAAACACGATTTTGACTACATTAATCAATACCATAAGGGTTTGATTACCCTTATCACAGATCTAAACCAAACGCCGACAGCAACCAGTGGCGGAGGGAGGTAAGGAGGAGAGGGGTCCTAGGACCCCACTTGGCAAATAATTGGGCAACAAAACCCTTTAAATACATAGGTTTTAGTACGATAATTCAAGTTTAGGACCCCATACTCTCAACGATGTTAGCTCACCAAGGACCCCGGTTAACTCAAAATTCATTAGGTACACAAGCATTTATGTTAGTAAAATTTTAAGGACCCCAGTAGACTCGATGTCTGGCTACGCCACTGACAGCAACCCTCGACATAATCCATTGTCAGAGATCTCACAAAACCCTAATCACAGTGGGAAAACCCCTGAATTGAGAGCAAAAATGGACGAAATGAAGAGGGTAGGGGGAATCAAACTACTTACATGGCTTGGGCAGCCGATCTTCGAGGTCATCCCGAACATGTCTTTCGAAGGTGACAGGGGCAAGAGGCGCCTCCGTCGACATCCCATCCCTCCTCTCCAACTCCCTTGCCATTCTGTGTTTTTTGCTCTGTTTTGCTGTGTGTTCTTCTTCTTCTTCTTGTTGTTCTTCTTCTTCTTAGTTGTTAGGGAGGTGATACTACTTTGCTGGTTTTATTGCTGTGAAACGGACGGGTGAAGTGCACGATGTTGGTGCTGCGTGGCGGCCATGCAGAGAAAGTGTTTGTTTGGGCGTTGTGGCAGCTTGTGGAAGTACCGTGCGTGTCAATGTCATTGCCAAGCGGCTCTGCCCCCCAGCTCTCTGCCCTCTGTTTCTCACCCTTTTCTCGCCTTCCCTCCCGTTCCGCCCAATCCATGCAACGCGACCCGTCTTAAATAGAGTCCCATCCGGCGACTTTATTATAGTTAACACCGTGAAATCGTATTGTATTGGTGATTCAATTGTTAAATTGTACTATACAAGACGCGGTTTTAGAGTGTAATGGAAGAGTTCTTGTAACAGTTTCGAAGTTAAGAGTGTGTTTATTGTAAAGTAGTGCAAGGATGAGTGACTTCTTGGAAAGTCATCTTAATATGCAGCCAGTGACAACCCAGACTTTTAAACTCATTGGGGGTTCTTAAGAGAATTAATAACACTAAAGCCTGTGTATCTAATGAGTTTTTGAGCTGATTGGGGTCCTTGGTTAGAGCCCCTCTCTTCTCGTCTTCCCTCCACCACTGTATGCAGCCCAAGAAAAAAAAGTTGTGTTGGTTTATATCCAATGCGGACAATATTATGGTTGGAAAAAGGTTTGAGATGTTACAAGTGGTATTAGACTCTCTGCCTCCCTCTTGGGCGATGGCGGGGCAAGTGTCGACGAGGATGTTGAGTCCTAAAGAGGGGTGTATTTAACACATTAGACAAATCACATTGACAAAGTATGGAAGAGCAGTGGCGGAACAACCTTAAGCTTAGGGGAGCCTATAAAAATGTAAAATTACATGTAAATTTGGTACTAAATTTGAAAAATGTATTAGTTGGTAAGGCTTCAGCCCCCCTCAACAATTTAAATTCTCTGAACGTAGATTTTTAGCCCTCCCTCATTTAGATTTGTGGCTCTGCCACTATGGGAGAGATCCATGATTCATAAGACACGTTCAGTTTTAACTCACAAGACGCGGTTGGGGTGAAATTAAAGAGTTATTGTAAGAAGTTCGAAATTAAACGTGCTCATTGTGGGTTGTGGGAGAAAGCAAGCATGAGTGACATTTCGGAAAGTTACCTTGGTATGCAGCTCAAGGAAAAACCCGTGCAAGTCCAGACTCAAAGCAGACGATATTTTGGTTAAAAAAATAGGGATGACAAAAATAACCACATCCCTGTATATCTGTCAGAATATGACCTAATCAGATAAGGTAAAACTCGAACCCGACGGATTTTCGATGGGTTTGGATAAAACGCAAACCCAAATATCGCGGATAATTGATGATTATGATTTTCTTACCATCTAAGTTGAAAGAACTCGTCCGATTATTCCTGTGTATGTATTTTATCTAGAACTTCTCATTTTCACACATATATAATATTTTTATGAAATTATGATATCTTCCACTAATTTATTCATTCTAGTTTATTATTGTAATTTTCACTTATGAAGATTTTTTTTTTCAATAGATCACTCATTATAAAAGGAAATCGTTCAGATACATAGTAGCAAGAGGGTTCAAACATCCCTCGAACGAAGCCAAGAACAGAAGTCGAACCTCGAAAACAATTGAGGCGACATACTTAGAGCTTTACGGGCCACACAATGAGCCGCTCTGCTTCGAACTCTACCCAAGAACACAACCTGATACACATCAACGATTTCAAGAAGATGGAAGATTTCTTACAGGAGCACACCAATCTTGCTGTCAGCCGCGTCCCTAGCCAAACATTTGTCTATGATCAATTTCGCATCACCGCCAATGGATACCCCTTGCAGCCTCCTCCTGTAACAATCTGCCAAGCAATCCCTCATCCCCAAAGCTTCCAAGATGTAAGGATCTGCAATTCCATCATACCGCCCAGCAGCAGCCCCGATAGTCCCGCCTGAAGGATAAAAAAAAACATATCCTATTGTTCCATACCCTTGAGATGAAGTTGCAGCGTCAAATGTAGCCCGGATACCATGACTAGCACGAAAAGCCCGCAATGGATTGGTAACAGAAGGTTCTGTACGAGAGACATTGTTAGGAAGAAGTAAAGCTTGTTCCACTTCCTTAACCTGATGTAACCATTGATGTGCTAAAACATGCAACTGGAGTTGCTTTGCTTGGAACACCACCGAACACCTATTCTTCCACAACCGCCAAAGCAAGCAAACCACCTGCAGAATCAAAAAATCCTCATCTGGACCATGAACCTTACTGAGAGTGTACATAATGAAACCCTAAAACGTCCGCTTCTCAGCCTGTCTCCAAAATTCCTGCATACCAATCAATCTCCAAAATTTTCTAGCAACCAAACAGGAGAAGAACAAGTGTTCAACTGTTTCCTCTTTTCTACCACAAACCGGGCAAATGGAAATTAAATCCATACCTCGAATCGCCAATGCCTCCTTAGTTGGAAGAATACGATGCAATCCTTGCCACAAAAAGAATATCAACTTAGGTGGCACTTTCCTATTCCAAACCCATTGCCATAACATCCGATCCATAAATAAAACTTGATGTTTATTAGTGGAAGAAACAAGCTGCAAAGAAGAGAGGTATAGATATGCAGATTTAACAGAAAAAATTCCAGAGGATTCAAAATGCCAGACCAGCTTATCTCTGATCCGTTGCTGTGGGAGAGGAATTCCTTGTATCAAACGGACAGTAGCTTCATCAAAGTATAAATTGAGCATGCTTGAATTCCAAAGCTTGGTTCCTGGATCAATAAAAGCAGAAACGAAGGGAAAAGCAGTAGGAGCACCTGATCTGGTTTTAGGAGTGGATGGGGGAGTGGTAGGTAGCCATGGATCCAATAGAGCTCGAATAGTGAAGCCATCGCCAACCTGCCAACGAAGTCCCTGAGCAAGCAAGTCTCTACCAAACATAACACTTCGCCAGCCCCACGATGGATTGGAACCCAGAGATGCTTCAAGAATCGAAGACATAGAACTGAAGTAACGACCCCTATAAATGCGAGCCAAAAGAGAAGTGGGATCCGAAAGAACACGCCAAACGACCTTAGCTAGAAGGGCTTGGTTGAATTGACCAAACTCCCTGAATCCCAAACCACCAGCTTGCTTACTCGAGCATAGGAGTTTCCAATATCGCCAATGAATTCGCCTTTGTTCCTGAGTTGCTCCCCACCAAAAACGAGCCAAGTGAGCATTCAAGCGTCGTATCAACTCTGTTGGCAGCCGGAAACATGACATTATATAAATGGGTAGGGCAGCTGCTACAGATTTGATGAGAACCTCTTTGGCGGTAGTAGACAGACTTCGTTGTTTCCAACCTTGAAGAACATACAACAATTTTTCTTCCACAAAACGAAAAGTCTCCATCTTCGATCTCCCGAAAAGAGAGGGCAAACCTAAGTATCTATCTTGCAGACCAATCGTCCCAACTCCAAGAAAAAAACCCAGTTCTTCCTGTTCTGACTGTAGCATATTAGGACTGCAGTACACAGCAGATTTTTGGAGATTAACTCTTTGACCACTGATACTTTCATAATCTCGGAGGACCTGAAGAATAGGGATGGCAATTTCGACCTGACCCGATTTACCCGACCTGTTTGACCTGTTTTGGGGCGGGTCAAACCCGCCCCGTAGGCGGGGTGGGGCGGGCATGGGTACCTCTCATCTACCCGACCTGCCCTGACCCGCCCCATTCTCGACCCGTTCTTGCCTAAATTACATATAATCTTAGTGAAATTACTTAAGATTTTCCTCTTATTACATTATATTTTAGCTATAATAAAGTTGTAAATAAGTGAAAACCTCAATTTCTTCAATAATTTAACTAAATTTTATCATATTATGGTTTCTTTCTTGGTCTTTCAATGAAAAGAACGAATATTTCTAATGTTTTTCACATAAATTACATACCCAATGGGTCGACCTGCCCCGACCTGCGCCCCGTAATAAGTTACCCGACCTGCCATGGGGTGGGTATGGGTATCGAGATACCCGACCCGGACCTGCCCCATTGCCATTCCTACTGAAGAAGGAAAGAAGCATCCCTTTGCGAAGCCCGGAGAAATAGGAAAGAATCATCTGCGAACAAAAGATGGAAAACCGATGGACACCGAGCATTGATTCTAACCCCATGGATTTCATGCCTTGAAATAGCTCGTTTAATCATCGCAGTGAATCCTTTCGAGCATAGAGCAAACAATAACGAAGATAATGGGTCACCTTGACGTAAACCACGGGAGGAAGGGAAATAACCAGTCGGATAACCATTCACCATTACAGAGAAGGTAGCTGTTGTGATGCATTCCCTAATCCAGTGAATCCAATTGGAAGAGAAACCCAATTTCCTGAGGATGGAAAATAAATAAGGCCATTCGATTCTGTCATAAGCCTTCTCCATGTCCAGTTTCAGAGCCATAAACTTTTCCCGGCCCAGTCTTTTGTTTTTGATGAAATGAACCAGTTCATGAGCTACTAAAACATTATCAACAATCTGCCTTTCCTGAACAAAACCATTCTGCTTCGGGGAGATTAAATTAGGAAGAATAGAACCCAACCTGGTAGCGAGAATTTTCGTTATCACCTTGTACAAGAATTGGCAGAGACTGATAGGACGCAATTGAGAAGCTCTTTCAACCATATCAACTTTTGGAATAAGAGTAATCCAAGTGTGGTTCATATTCTTAAGAAGTTTACCAGACTGGAAAAAAGGATTTGACAGCCTTAATGACACTCTCACCCACAATTGGCCATAAAGACTTGAAGAAGCACCCAGTGAAACCATCTGATCCCGGAGAACTGAACTCTCCCAAAGTAAAGACAGAATTTTTAATTTCCTTTGCAGAAACTTCGGCTGTTAAAGTAAGGTTCATTGCAGAAGTGACTAAAGGAGGTAAGGGTAACTCATACACCCTTGAATCAACTCGAGCAGCAAACTTAGGATCAGTATGCTCTGAAGTGAATAGATTCTTATAAAAATCAACCATGACCTGCTGTTTTCCTGGCTCATCACTTACCCATTCGTCAGCTGAATTGTACAAACCATGAATCATGTTGCGACGTCGTCGTGCACGAGTAACATTGTGAAAGTAATTTGTGTTGCGATCTCCACCACGAAGGCAGTTCTGCCTTGATCTTTGTCGCCAATAGAGCTCTTCAGCAACCCAAGACTTGGCCAACTCGGATTCAATCCTACTAAGTTCAGTCCAGTCAACGGGATAAGAATTGCGGATATGAGATGACTCCCCACGCAAAGTCCTTATAGTTCATGCCGAATTAGTTGTTCCCTCCTTACACCATTGAAACAATCTATGACGAGCATGTTTCATCCAGCTCCATAGTTGAAAACACGGAGAACCAGAAACAGATGTAGCCCAAACTTCTTTCACAATGTTAATAGCTTCAGAATTTTCTTTCCAACGAGCATCAAACCTGAACAAAGGCTTACCTGGTAGGCGATCAGCAGTCCATTTGAACCACATAGCTCTGTGGTCACTTCCTTTATCTGAAAGATGTTGTACCGAGCAATGTGGCCAAGTGTCAAGCCAATTACCTGAAAACAAGAAACGATCTAATCGATTATATATAACAGAATCATCAGAATGACGATTGGACCAAGTGAACCGAGGACCAGTGAAACCTATATCCATTAAACCTAAATCATCCACAAATTTCCGGAAGGGCAAAGATCTGCTAATATCAAAAGCCTGCCTCCTATTTTCTCATTCGAATGTAAGAGATCATTAAAATCTCCAAACACCATATACGGAACAGCAAGAAGAGAACAATGATGGTAACTGGTAAGACTGAAATAACACACATGGGCCGAGATCATCCTTTATATGCTTGGGCCTTTAACCCATGAACATAATAGAATCGGAAGCCCACGGCATCAAAGGAAACCTTTGCCCAAAACCAAATTCTGCATCGTTCGTCTCATCTTTCTTTCCCAACATTCCTTTCGGACCTCTCTCCGCCCCAACAAAACCCATCGACTGCAAGATTGCTTTTGCGGAGGCACAGACGAATCGATGGCAACCAGCGACGTTACAGCGACCGAAGTAAGCGCCGCGGCGGCCGCCGCCACGGACGCACCGGCAGAGAAACCGCAGCCTCACCAGCTCGAGAGAAAGTGGACGTTCTGGTTCGATAACCAATCCAAGCCCAAACAGGGCGCCGCTTGGGGCAGCTCTCTCCGCCAAGCCTATACCTTTGATACCGTCGAAGAATTCTGGTGGTGAGTTCGCGTTTCCTCCCCTGCCCGCAAATCAGCTCTGCTTTAGCTGGATGCTTGAGTTTATCTTTAGTATGCAGGAGTTCGATTCGTGGGGTTTGTTGGTTTTAGATCTAAAAGTTTATGGATTGCTTGCTTGGTGTTTGGAACTTGTGATTTCTAGTGATTTCTGGTCATCATGAATTAAGAAGGGTTATAACTGGATGATTATAGAGTTTCTGGAGCTCGGTTTTGTCATTTGCACCGAGTTCTCCAGTGGTGACAACTGACAAGGCACCAAATATTGTGTTATTGTTGGTTGATTGAGAGTGGAAACTGATGGATAATAAGGGTTTTAACTTGGTAAAGGTTTGTTTTTTATGCAGTTTGTATGATCAGATATTCAGGCCTAGCAAGGTCACTGTAAACGCTGATTTCCATTTGTTTAGAGCTGGGGTTGAACCCAAGTGGGAAGATCCAGAGTGTGCTAATGGAGGAAAATGGAGTGTTGCTTGTGGCAGAAAGCCTCTCTTGGATACGATGTGGCTAGAAACTGTAAGTTGCGAACTATTCTTGCTCTTAGTATTGCTTATTTCTGTACCTGCTGTTAGGGTATTTGCTTCTTGTTTATTGCAAGTTGAAGCTGTCATCATGGTTACCCAACTGAATGGGATTTGAATGGTGCAGCTCATGGCTTTGATCGGAGAACAATTTGATGAATCCGAAGAGATTTGTGGGGTGGTTGCAAGCGTCCGCCAAAGGCAAGATAAACTTGCTCTATGGACTAAGACAGCAGCAAATGAATCTGTTCAGGTACTGATCGTCTCCTTCTCTTCGGGACTCACTTTGATGCTAGAGTAATTTGTTCCTTCTGACTGGTGTGAAGAAAATTGGAAAAGTTTGCTTCTAGTGTTCCTATTCCAGAACTTGCATTCAGATTGTGGCTGATAAGCCTTTGCAAGTTACTTCCTATGCAAATGGAAAACTGTCAATGACTTTCTTTCTGTCTCCTCCAAATTAATTTTGAAAATGTACAAGTGAGTTGGTTTTTTTGAATGGACCAATGCTTTATGATAGCAGAGGCATATGGTAACAATGGTTAATAGGTAACTTGCTGAAAGTGGAGCTTTATTCTTGTGAGCTTGTCTAGATTAGAAGGTGAAGAGGAAATAGTAAGCATAATGAGGGAATTTGTAGGGTTTTCTGTTATCATTGGGGATCTAACTTGTTGAGTTTATGCTGGCTGAGTAAAGTCCCTCCTAGACAAGCATTTATTGGCAGAGCATTGGAGAAATATGAATATCTCAATGGTATTATTCAGTTCGTATGTGAAGGGCGAAATATAGAGCTTCTTATTTTGTGGTTCCGTAGTTGCAATGCAGATTCCAATAAGTAGTCCTCTTTGTTTTCCACTTATTGTTGAATTCAAGGTACAAGATGTCAATTTCTGACTGTTCCTTTGTTTCACAGATGGGTATTGGAAGAAAGTGGAAGGACATCATTGATACTACCGACAAAATCACCTACAGTTTTCATGTAATACATTCATCCTGTATCTTTAGTCCTTGCCAGATGACTGAAATCGCCTACTAAATTTGGCTCCTTGGTGTTTGCAGGACGATTCACGCAAGGAAAGATCCGTCAAGGGCCGATACAGCGTGTGAGCTACGGACGGTTCCTTGGATCTGCACTGCATTCTAGTTTGGTGTCTTTGCATTATTCTGCCGAACCAATCTACATGTAATTTTAGACTTCAGATGTTGTATTGAAGGTCTAGCTAGCTAGTCCATAGTCTTTTAGCAGTCTGTATCATTTTGTGAGCCAGAGTGGCTATTGTGCCTGATAGACATGTCCTAAGAACATATGTTTCTTCATACTCCGAATTTTGCACCTTAATACTTCCTCACTCCATACAGAGATTGTTGGCTTAGTTTGTGCAAACACCAGATGATTGCTTTAAATTCCTAGCAGAGTTTCCAGTTTTCTTTCCTGTTTGGCTTTTAAGTCATAGCTAATCTATTCTTCATAGGAAAAAAACTCAGTTTTCAGGAACTACAGCTAAAATTGTGATGTCTAGATAGTGTCAAAACACAAGGGAACTATTACAGACAGCATTAAGAATGAGAGCAACAGTTACAGTTGTACAAATACTACAGCAGTGGTGGCGTTGGTTCTCTCAGGCAACTTTCCATCTCCTTTACAATGGAGTTCCAACACAAAATGGACCTGTATCTTTCTTTGCTTTGTCCTGTGTTTATCAAATCAAGCGAGGAAGCCAAGTTTTTCTCCATTCTTCTTGGCCAACCTAATCAGCCCTTGCCTTTGCTTTGCATCTGCTCCAATCGACTTGCAGAACTCGGTGATTACCTGCAACCACACATTTTAAGTACAATTCCTCAGAGAAACCCAGATAAGCAGTGAATACTGAATCCAAAATCAAGTCTTTTTTTGCATGCAGCAGGCCAAAAATTAAAATTAGCCGGAAAATAGCGAAATCAGAAAGGGACCGATACCTGTGAGTGCAAGGCGATAGCTTTGCCTCGAAGCTGATTAAACCTCTTCTTCCCAATGAGATTGCGAGCAACAACCACAGCTGGAGCAAAAAGACCCTTGCCTTCGTTAACGTTCTTCATCATGGGTGGCATCTTCACTGGCTTCCCGACTCTGACTTGGTTTGGAACTGACCTCGACAGCACGGTGTAATCCTCGCCAGCCATTGATGTCCCCCATTCCCCCATGAATGAGGTACCGAAACCTCCTTTAACCCCAGTTGCAGAAATTGAAGCAACAGCCATTATACACAGCAACTAGGAAGAGAAGAAATTTCTGTAAACCAGGCCAAGATTCTCTCTTTTCTAGGATGTGGGTTTTTTCTTCTTCCCAAGTTTCTGTGATATTCTTCTTCTGCTCTTTTTTTTTTTTTTCCTTCTGTGGCTTGAAGACTGGTGGGATCTTTTTGGGGGTACTTCTGTTGGTGATGATATAAGGCTGGGTGTGAGGAAGAGAGTGATGGAGCAATTAGAGCCACAACCGGAGGAGGTGGGCATGGAGTTGGATTTTAGCTTTGGTATTCAAACACGTAGTTCATTTTGCTTCTGATATTTGAACTCGCTACAGAAATTTCTTATGGTCCCCGTTGTGAGTTGGAAAAAGAGGTGAAAAATCTAGATCTAGAATTGTAGTCGCTCATTGTTTCATACATTCCAGTGTTGTTGATAAGAATATCCTAACCGTCCATTTTTTTTTGCTTCTGTGGCAGCAAATTACACACTAAGTCACCAACTTTACACAGGTTGTTTCATGTGGAGATTGTTCCAATCTGCAAGCTATTGAGTTGTGTGGAGATTGTGCTAGCTCTATGGAAACAGCAACGAAAGTGGTGTTTCAATGGTGAAAGTGAGCTACTCCAGCCTGCTGTACCCCCTTGAAGAAGAAAACTTTGGCAAGGTTAGCCATCGTCTGCGAAAGCGGTTGAATCCGTGGATTTTGATTCTGTAGCGAAGGCGTTTGATCTTGTTTACTATGTCACTGCATCTTCTTTTGAGTGTTTTAAACTTAGATAAGCTGACCAGTTTTCTGATGTATCTGCCTCCTCTTCTCCTTTTAACCTTGTTGTCTTCTTCCATAGCTCCTTTGTGCAGGACCTGCAAAATTGCGTGCCACCAGAAAAGTTAGTACTGTTCCTCTTTGCCAACTCCATTGCTCAAGTTTCTATGTTCCGTTACCTCAACCAGACTTTCCAACCGCTTTTGCATCCTCCTCTGTATCAAACCTCTGGTGCACTGTTCGAAAAGATGCCAACCAATGAATGTACAGTGGTCATTGTTGGTTTGGGATGTTGCTCTTCTTTTGTGAAACAGAATAAGGAGAAGGATGGAGGGAAAAGATTACGTCTTGATTACCTTAATGTGGTTTTTGACGAAGGCATAGAAGTTTAACAGGGTCCAGACAGTTTTCTCTAGCTTCTTGCCCTCAACATGGCGTGAACATATGTCTGGCAATGTGTAGATAGCTACTGTTAAAAAATGTTAAGCTGTATTGACTGGTAATGCTTCTATCATGTCGACTGTACAGGGAACTACCAAAACTGACGAAACCGCCGTTGGTGCTCAAATCTTCTATGGACTCTCCCCTCAGTTCTGGCGGCGGTATAGGCGCCCAGGTGCAGGTGGGTGTTTTGGCCCATTTTGCTGAACTTCCCACGTCCATAAGTTCCTGTTGCAGATTTCAGCATAGTGATGAATGTTAAGTGTACAAATCATGGCTAGTAGAAAGATGGACTTTAGGCCAGAACTTTTGTTGTGCAGTACCTGGAAGAATGCTGTTGCAATAACGACATCTGAATGTTCCTTAAATCGCATGGGGAATACTGCAGTGATTTTCTGCGGCTGTCAAAACATGAATTTGCTTACTTTCAACTTTCAAGGTGGCGTTCTATTGTTTCCTGCCTTAACAACATGAACTGCTGTTACCTGTCTGATTAGGTAGAAGGGCTCTCTTGGGTAATAAACAAGTTTGATGGGTTGAAACGTTCCATGGGAATCGACACCGCGAAATATTTCTTTCAGCTGTGAACTTATTATCACAGCTTGCACTGATGCAATTCGTCTCACCACTTTCTCTGATTCTGAAACATGAACAAAATGGATAGACATGGTAGTTAGGTCATATGAACAGCAACATCGAGACATGCCATAATTCCTAACCGCCTACCTTTGCTCTTGGGAATCATAGAAAAGTTCAGTTTTAGAGTGAGCTGGTATCCTTCTCTTGCAGGCTCCACAACCTCTGCAGATTCAGAACAAATATCTTTCACCATTTGGATAGTGTAGGGGGAGAGTGGACCATTGGATGGGATTTCTCCCTGGGAGAGCAGTGGAGTGAGCACTGACAAGAAGCTGTGGTGTGGATCAGCAGCTGAGGACTTTGACAAAAAGACATTGCACCAGAATCAGTAATGTCTCTACTCTCTGGAGACATTGATATGGACCTAGTGGAGCTTGGATGTTACCTGCACATAGTACTCCACTGACCCGAATTCATACAAGTGATGATCGATCTCCACTGGCTTTTCAGCACTGCAATGAAACATACGAAATCAGTAATCGATCGATAACTACATATCTATCGAGGCGGAGGGGATTAGGTAGAGAGCATCTGCTGTCTTACTGTAGCATGCTGATATATTATTATACTTACTGGTATAGTTTGAGGAGGATTTGCTTCAATGCAGGTGACTCCCTCTCAAAGCAGCATGGCATGTTGGAGCTTTTCCCCTTCATAGCTCCACACCACCATAGATTCATTCATTCATTCACCCCCAAGAGGGGCAGATATATAGCAAACTTGACAGTTAAAGAAGGGAAAAGGTTGAAAGAAAGAGATGGTAACTGGTGGGCAAGCAACTTCAAATTCAACTAACAAACACTTTGAGTGAGGTGGAAGTTGAAATGTTGCAATCATGTTTAGCAACATCCCAAGCAACTGCTGCACCAGCACTAGCTCTCAGTTTCCTTTTTACCCCCACGCCCACCAACTATAGTTTGGTGCATATTCTTATCACCATTTACTATATCTATCATAAAATTATAATCTACTTACACCTTTATTATAAGACAAGACAACTGCTCATCTTTCTCGATCACAATAAAACTGAGACACGACCCAGACTCTTAAGATTTAAGAAAGACTGGCACTCGTAACAATGATTTTAAATTTACTTAGAACTTAGCGGGTTTCCTCGGTTAAGAATGAGAGAAAAAGGTGCAATGATCTTCTCTTTCCCGCAAACTGATTGACCGAGTTTGAAAGAAGGACCAGTGGTGGGACGAATCCGCCTTCACTTGCCCCCTACGGACTCGGAGTTGGTCTGGAACCATAACCAACTTAACAATCTCCTTCGGGAGTGGGATTTCAAGCTCGCAATAAGCAGTATATTTGACGGGAACTCTCACTCATCCATTTGAGTAGGGTAAAAGCACTACTCGGACACAGGACCACTGCGGTCGACAGAAAGAAGACACCCGGTCGTTGGATATCATAAGACAACTATTCATCTCCTTAAATCACAATAAGACGTAGACATAGGGCCGCAGAGAAGCAGCGGCGGATCCAGGATTGGGTAGAGCACTGGGCCACATTGGAAAAAAGCAGAGAAGGCTGGACCGTAACACGACAAACACTAGAACGAACACCTAAACGAACACCAAAAATCAAAAATTTACACGTGCTATACTAGCTCTGGATCGAGAGAGGGCTGGGCCGCGGCCCGGGGGCGGCCCCCCCTAGATCCGCCGCTGCAGAGAAGTCGTGTCGAGTCGAGTTTTACCCCAGTTTGAGCTCGGCTCGTTTATTAACGAGTCGAGCTCGAGCTAGCTTGTTTACTAAAATCTTGACTTTTATTTGATACTTCATTTTGTATATCATGGATTCATGATACATATGATTTATTTTGTTAGCTAATCTCATATTATACTTTGTTGGTATCATATATTATTTAGTTAATAAATTTTAACTACTCCAAATCATGTTATTTCATAGTATCGAAGCAATCTATGATACATAATTTCTTTTTAAAGTAGAAAATAAGATATATTTGATCACATACTCAACGTGTTAAACTTTATATATGGTGAGATATATAATTTAACAACTATATGAATTAAAATCATAAGATATAGATTGATTCGTCCATAGGTCGGTAATCGAGTCGCCTCTCTAGCCACATGTTGAGACATATCACGAGCTCTAAACGAGCCAGTTCACGAGTTTAGCTCAATAAGCCACCGAGTCGAGCTAGCTCGCGAGCTTCACAAGCTGAACGAAACTTAGCTCATGTTCGGCTCGTTTATTAACGAGTCGAGTTTCGAACGAGTTTTTTTTCGAATCGAACACCAATTCGCTCGCGAACAGTTCGGCTCATTTGCACCCCTACTTAGACACAACCCAGATTGTTAAGAAAGACTGACATATCAATTCTGCGTTTAGTTAAAGACCTTAGTTAACTTTCTATTACTTAAAAAAAAGAAAAGGGCAATGTCTATTTTTTACCCAAACCTTTTTTAGATTCTTTTATTTTAACCAAACCTATTGAATTCCTAAAAATTATCCAAACGTTAATTCTCCGTCAACTTTTCTGTTAGTAATGCTGACTAAGTAGGACCATAATGAGTTGACTTCCTACGTGGCGGTCAGAATACCATCGTTTACTATTTTTAATAAAAAGATTATCAAAAAACAAAACAAAATCCCACCTCTCACGTGGACAAAATAAGTAACGGTAACAGAATGAATGCCCAGACTTTGATAAATTATAATACGTTTGGATAATAAATAGAATCTCTATAGGTTTGGTTAAAATAAAAGAATCTGAAAAAGGTTTGGGTAAAAAATAGACATTGCCCAAAAGAAAAATAGAGCATCCACATTTCATTACCCAAACTCTTTCTCAACTGTTACCCAACGGCAACCCTCCACGTGTACAACCCATAACATTAACGAGATTAACGACCGTCAGTGATCTGGCGGTGACAGCTCATTACAGCCGTCCGATCACCACCACCAACATAGTTAGAATAACCAGACCAGGTAAGCAGCAACCTTTTCAAAGATGTTTTTCTTCTTTCTCCTTCCTTTTGTATCCCATTACTAAGAAAATCAAAAAGATCCCATTTCCTGCCGAGTGCCGACTCTTCTCTTTGTCTGGCCTTTCCCTCCTCCGTCCCTGTTAGTGCTAGGGGTCATTTCACTATTATTCTCTTCACTTTTATCATTAGTTGCCTTTTCAGTTATTCTTCTCTCTGGCCTTCTTCACTCATCCTCCTTTCTCATCAATGGTATCCTTTCTTAGGTTACAAGATTTGCTCTTCTCCACCATTAATCTCATCGTCTCCACTTTAGCTTGCTTCTCCTTCTTCATTTACCTAACCGTTAGCTAGAGTAGATGCATCGTTTCCGCCTCAGCTGATTCTTACCCGTTTCTTTTACGTTTTCACTTCCTCTCTCAGTTTTCTTCTTCTTTTTCTCCGGTGGAAGTCAATGCTTTACCTTTCCTAGTTCCCGCTTCCTTTTCCTTAACCTCCCTGGTCGATTTAGTTCTGAGATTCGTCATTGGCCGGAGGAAAGCAGAGTCATTGACCTTTCTGCCCAGATTGTGAAAAGCCCATCTTTTGCAGCTCCCGCCTTGAATTCCTCCAATTCAGGGCTAGGGTTTGGTGGGTTCTCAATGTTTAGCCAATTGGGTAGATGGGATGTTTTGGGGGGAGGGGAAAGTCTCGAACTTTGCCTCTAGTCTTCGCTCTAGCCTGCTCTGTATTTTTGGGGGGCCGAAATTGAGGGTTTGAGAGTGTAGTATTATCCTGTTTTGTTTGGGTGCGTGTGATGTCGATGGATGACAAGGAGGAAAATGGATGCGATACCAAGCCTTTGATAAGTAAAGATGGCGATGAAGTTGAGAATCAAGGAGATGACGGGGAAGAGGAAGAGGGCGAGTCCAATTCTTTGTTGGCTCCGAGGAAAGGTGGGATGTCCAGAAAGTCGGGAAAGGTGCGGCGGAATGTTCAGTGGAACGATAAGAATGGGCGTAAGCTTGCAGAGATTCTGGTGTTTGAACCCAGGTAACAGCTAGCTTACTTCTCTCTTTTCTCTCTCTTTCTTATGTGAATTGTGTTGTGCTCATTGAATTCCCGGCATTTACTTTGTAATTCTAATCTCTGGTGTTCTGAAGTTGAAAGGCTTTGTCTTAGTAGCTTAGATATGAAACTTACTGGGTATCATTGATTTGAAGTTGCTCTTGAGGGCTTTTAGTAGTTGATCCTTTTCTGGTTTTTCTCTCTACTAGGCTGTTCCTCTTGAACTTTAGCCCTTTCTATGTCACTGCCTAGCCTAGCCTATATCTGTTGTTGCTGTTACATGAATGGAACCTATATTAGGTGGCTAGGGATTCGGCTCCTTTTGAGCTTGTTAGCTCGAGATGGTCTCAAACTGAAACCGGTGGAGTGTAGAAAGTAGAAACCTTATTTGCCGATTTCAGTTTGGCTGATTCGGGTTTTTGCTTTCCTACCATTTGAGGGCTGCATTCTGGAACAATGTTCACTGTTGTAGTCTTGTCAGTACCAGAGTGATGTCCATTGAGTTTGTGCTTCTAAATAAGTGTTGCAGGCATAGTTTGATGTGGCTGGCATTCAGTCGTGTACCGTGGTCAAGTTACTCTTCACTCCCTCTAATGAATGTTTCCTTTTGTTGCAGTACTGTATAAAGTATAAACTTGAAATAAGTGATCAGATGATTTGAATCTGAGTTTGTTAGGGTTTATGGTACTACTTACTAGTAAGAGCTCATTGAGGCCTCGGAGCCAAACTCATCTTCTCTGTTAATTTTAGACTCTTGCGTTCTTCAGTGAACCTCCAGCGTCTTTTAGTTTGAATTGCCATTATCAGGTTTTGACGGTAATTCACTATCATGCTCCTAAGTCTACCCTCTTGTTCGTATGTTTATGACTCCAGCGATGCTGACTCAGATGACGAGGATTCAGATGCTTGCATTTGTACCATAATGTAGATATTTCCATCATCATCACCAATTACAGCAGTACTCAGCAATCTGTAGATGACTGTCGACTACTAGAGAAGATCCCCAAACCACACTCTCCTGTGCAGCCACAATTTTGACACTTCTTTGGTGGAATCAAAGGTCCAAATTCTTGCCGTACAAGTCTACCATGATTCAAGCAGTTGATGGTGCTCATCCTGACAATAATAACAGAGCGGAATACCAGTACCGTGATGGAAGTACTCAAGAATTTTTTTCAGGCAGTGTCATTTGCTTGGATCTTATTACATGAGGGATTCAAAGCAGAAAGTCATACAACAACTCTGATCTGTCATTTAGGAGGGTAGCTATAGAAACTGAAAGTGAAAATTGCTTTCATATTTGCCAGTGTTTGTGCATATTCTGTACCAGCATCTATAGATCATTCAACAATTACTTCCCAAGTGTTCCTCTTGTCTCTTTAATAGAGTTCCTTTCCTACGAGTTACCTCCAAGTAGTATGGGATTCCTTCTGGAACCACATGTGCCAGAATCTTGTTTGCAGAATGATAATGTAAAATTTCATATCTTATCATGACAGAATGAGAATATTGGTATACTGTTGCCATCCATAATAACCCTACTTTACTTTGAATTAGATTCTCCACAAACAAACAATAATTCAGTCCAGAATGATGGTTCTGAGAACAAATGAAGGAGCACCAGTGACCAGACACACAAACAGAAGTGAAAAACAGCACAAGACAGACCTCCCATAACTTACAAAAGAATGATTCTACAAGACAAACAATCACAGTTCACAACAGCCAAATGAATCAAAGAATCTGGCAACATCATCATATCAAAACAACAACTGCATTGACCAAAGGCCTCTTAATTCACACTAAGCTTCATGTCGAATCCATCATGCCTAATGTTTCTCCAGTTCAGTTACTTAAGTTGGTGATATCGGTCATGCCTAATGATTCCTCTCTGCTTCTCCATGACCGAGCACAGCTTTTGTCAACCCCGGTTTTCGGCTGGCAATTTACTGGGGGAGAGGCTAACCAGTTTGACAAGCTGGAAGCCACAACGACCTTCTCAACTGGAAGAAGCATCGGTTCTGTGTTCTCCTTTTTCTGCTGCTGCTTCCCTCTAGCTTTGATTTCTTTCCACTGAGCCAGATTCTCAACTGGGTTCAGCACTGAATGTATGTACTGACTCCTCTCCCGGGCATTCTGGTCGTTCTTCTCTTGCCATTTCCCTGAATTTGAACTCGCTTGCAAAGAGCTGAATAAATGCTGCGGGACTTGTTCGTCTTGAATTGCTCTTGTTCTTCTTCTCACCTCTTCAATATCACCTAGTTGACCACCCACTACTTCCTCTTCCTCCTCCTCCTCGTAGTCCTCATCGGAATCCAAATCACTCTCGTCGTAAAACTCTTCTTCTTCGTCATCATCGTCATAGTTATCGATGCAGTCTCGATATCTGTAATTGGAGGGGTAAGACACCATTTTTGTTGCGGTTGGATCTTCTTCTGCAGGAGAAGGAGGTAGTTCTTCAAGCGTTGTCCCTCTTCTGTTGCCAATTTCCTCTGTTTTCCCATCTTCAGCTTCATCGTCTTGGGATGAAATCGGCTCGTACGCCATGACATTCAAATTGAAGCTCACTTTCTTCCTGATCTTTCCCTTCACTGGCTCCATCGCCTGCTTCCTGCGTTTCATGAACACAAAAGTGGATCAGAATCATCGCCCAAAATTAGAAACAAAGAAACTCAAACAGAGGAACCACCTGAGGTTAGAATCTTACTTCACCGTCTCCTCATTGAACTCGATATCAGCAGACGCAGAATTATCCAGCTGCTCGTAACTGCCGAATCCCTGCTGCCCAATTACCCACCACCGCAAAAAACACAATCAGAATCGAAAAGATGCCATCTTTATTGCAAAATCGATGGACATTGATGGCCACAATCTTACTTGGTCTCTGGGTAGGATTCGGCTGGGGGGTTTTCTGCGCTTGCGCTTGGAAGAGAGCCCGAAGCAGCCCAGCATGCAACCCATCTTCGGAGGTGGGAGATGGTCGAGTGGAAGGATTAGGTGGAGGAGTTCATGGTGTTTGGGTTGTTTGGTTCGTGTGAAGAAGAATGTCAGAGATGGAGAATGAAAGAGGGGATCTGATATGTTGCTGTTGCTGTGTTCTTTGGCTCCAACGGTTTTTGAAAAATAGGAACGTTGGGGAAGAAGGAAGAAGGGGAGATTAATGATGGCGCTGGGCTCAATTTTTCTCACACGCCAGTTTTGGATTACTTTTTGTTTCGTTCTCTCCCTTTTGTGCATTATTCAATTGCTCCATAGATCAATTGGGCTCGACTGTAGTTTTGAAACGAGAATGCGGCAGAATTGCTGAAACTACCCTTGCAAATGAATCAAGTAGCTAAAATGGTGTGTTTGGCAATTGGTTTGTTACCTAATGAGTTTCACTAACAACTAACAAGGTAAAGTCTGAGCTACGTTTTGTTTAATTAGTCATGTTATGTTTAAAAAAAGAAGATAAAGGGAAGCTGGGATGTAAAGATGGCAGAGGCTTTGGTGGCCGAGTTTGGACTCCGATTAGTGAGACAGTTTCAGTATGAGAATCTTGTTCTTGAGGTGGATTGTCTCCGCTTGATCTAGAAGCTGAACGAGGCAGACACAGTGCAAACGGAGGTTGGGATTATCTGTCGAAGTATTAGGCGATTGTTGGCAAGCTCTGAAACGGGAGTTTGGCAACACGTGAGGCGGCAGCAGAATGCAGCAGCACATGTGATGGCGCATAGCGAGACGAACTGGGACTCCACAGTGGTATGGGTAGATAGACTTCCGATTTTCCTGATGGATCAGCTCCGGCTGGATAATGTAATCAACCCTTCTCATTAATATAAGTTGAGCAGGTTCCCGTAAAAAAAAAAATCGCTCACATTTTTTTATACCATCAAATCTTCTATTTCTCTAGGAACCCTCTAAGTCTTCTCTAAAATTCCTCCTTCGATCTGTTTTATGATGATCCGGAAATGTTATAGCCCTCTTATATAGATGGGCTTGTTTGGAGATCTTGAATACAAATATTACTTCTTTGTGGTTTCTTCATCCATCGTTCGTTTCTTAGAAGGGGGTTTCGCTTGCCTATGTTTGTGGGAGATATAATTTTGGTGAATGGTACAGCGGGGATAGAACGGAGACGAACGATTGATATTAATCGCATTGTTTTCTTATCTTTCTCTCGTCATTTGTTTGGTTGGGTGATTTCCAGTGTTATCTCTTCCAATTTTTGCTTTCGAGATGGCTCTTCATGTGCCTTCCGTACTCCAGAGCCCTTGGAAGTTGGTGTCTGGTAGGAACTCCGACGTCATTGAATGACTCTTAGAATGCAAAATTCAACTAGGATTTCTCAAGATCTCTTTTGTTTATGTCTCGAATGTGGTATAAGTTTTTCCTCTTGTTTTAGGCTCGATGTGGCGAACTTCTCCCATTTACCATTGTTTAGTGCTCTTTTCATTTGCCTGGTCCCTAATTTGTTCACTCTTCAATTTTAATGAAATTATTTAGTAAAATTATTTAAAAAACTAAGTCGACCCATACACACACGATCAATATATCAAATAATTAGTTTCTTTATAATCGATTTATAGAGTATTAGGTTAATATTCATTGATTTCTTAAAACTAGTGCAATATATGTAGGCAATTTGAATATTGAATGGAGGACATATCCAAACTTATGGCGAACATTCATGCTTGAGGTTGCATAAACTACACAAATATTAGATCATTTAGATTTTTAGAACATATAGATTTGAGTAAATATAAAGCACTAGGAAAGCTAAGAGGACTACAAGTTATTGGAACATGCCATAAAATATGATAAACTTAGTAAACACTTAGATAATGTATGGTTAACGAATCTCAACAAAAACTTATATTTCTAGCTTAATAAATCTACCTTGCTCAATAAGTTTTGTTGGTTAAGTGTTATGCAAAAAGCTTGGTGTTTATTGTTTCCTAAGACAGGGGTGACTAAATTCAAAGGGGTTGATGTGTTACAATATTGGAATATCATTAGTAGCTCGAAACATGTGAAATGATCTCATCATCTAAGGATGCATCATAGGAACACATAAGTGTTATGAAGGTAAAACATCAAATAAGCAAAACACAGATGTTGTGCTTAGTTCGGGAACAATAGACTACGTCGTACTATATGGTTTGTTCTATTGTGAGGAAATGCGATCTCATGAGTTGTGGCGTTTTATGCTTGTATATGTAGTAGTGCGTGAATATGCAGTAGTGCATTCATCTAGTACTTAATATGTTAGAGCTTCATAGGTAATTTTTTTTGGGAGTCTTGTCTTTGGATTGCGTTGTGATGTTATACACCATAATCGAAAAAGGTAATGCAAGAGATAAGTGATGATTGATTACTCACCGCCACCAATAATCAACTAAAATTCCAGTCAAACAGTTTGATTGAATTCATGCGACGATGGTAACAACGCCACTCATTAAATGTTAAATATGGTAAGTGATCATTAAATAAAATAAATTTAATGAAGTGGAACGATACGATCGCCACTCATTAAATGTCCAAAATGACAATCGATAGTGAAATAGAATGAATTTAATAAAACAACGCGGAACAACCAGTAATAAAAATGACATAATGCATTATGCATTTTCCTAATGACCAACACAAAACAAATTGTGTATATTCATGGTGGCATTCTAATGATCAACATAAAACAAAATGTGAATTCATGGAGAAATTCTCCCATCATTGGAAGCACAAAATAATGCATAAGTTAATTTTGTATGAAGAAAACAATTGAAGAAGAAGTCCATTCTCACGTGCACACCACGTGATCCAGAGGCCGAACTGGCAAAGACGAAAGAAGGAAAAGAGATCTCACACTCTCGTCAGACTCCACCTCGCGACAAATAAATCTCCACCATTCATTTCCCTCACACCGAATCTCAACCGTTGAAACAGCATACTCTTCCTCATATTCCCTCCACACCAAGCTGCAGTCCTCCTCTCAGTTAATAATTCTTTCTTTCCTTCCCTTTCTCTCTCTCTCTCTGTAACCTCTTCGCTCCCTCGCGCCTCCCGAAACCCAGAAACCCTTCTTCCCCTCTTCTTCCATCCAGCCAGCAAATCCCACAAAACCCCCTTCCCAAAACCCGCCTCCTGACCCAGCGAGAGACTCGCCGCCCGATCTCGAATTCGAAGCTTCCTCGGTCGGAAGGTTGCAGTTCTACACATGGATTCAGATCAGGGGAAGCTTTTCATTGGCGGGATTTCATGGGAGACGTCGGAGGAGAAGCTCAAGGACCACTTCGGTCAATACGGCGACGTCCTGCAGACTGCGGTCATGCGGGACAAAACCACCGGCAGGCCCAGGGGGTTTGGGTTTGTCGTGTTCGCTGAGCCTTCCGTTCTCGATAGGGTTCTGCAGGATCAGCACACCATTGATGGTAGAACGGTGAGTCGTCGGGGGAGAAAAAACCCTTTTCAGAAAGTGAAAGAAAGTTCAGTTCTTGTATCTTGTGTTGAATTAAATTTGTTCTTCGTGGGTGTAGGGTTCTGCTACTGTGGGTTTGGGGTTTTAGGTTTGTGGGTGTTTGTTTTGTGTTCATAGTGTTGATTTTTGAAGGGTGTTATGCGATTTGATTAGTTTGGATGCTAATTCGAGTAGCTGTTTGCTCTGAATTGTTTGCTTGCTTGCTGACTTATTCGTGATGGTGTATTATGGCTTCGGTTGTTGGCAGCTCATTTGCGGTTGCAATTAAGTGGCTTAGTGCGTATACCATTTGCCTACACCTCTACGAAGTCCCTTTTTCGTTGTATAACTTGTGTGGGTATTTCTACGTGGAGGAATGGATGTGTTTGATTCATATATTTATTTATGATCCTTTCAGTTGGATTGTATGTAATTTTCCTCCTTCAATCATATTGTTTTGGCCATTAGGTTGAGGCAAAAAGGGCTCTCTCAAGAGAGGAGCAGCAAACCAATGTCAAAACTGGGAATTCAAATTCTGCTAGAAGCACCGGTGGTGGTGGCGGTGGATATGTTAGGACCAAAAAGATTTTTGTCGGCGGATTGCCTCCCTCATTGACCGAAGATGGCTTCCGCCAATATTTTGAATCTTATGGCCATGTGACTGATGTAGTAATCATGTATGACCAAAACACACAGCGGCCACGTGGGTTCGGATTTATTTCCTTTGAATCCGAGGATTCGGTCGATCGAGTTTTGCACAAAACATTTCATGATGTGAACGGGAAGCAAGTGGAAGTGAAGCGGGCTCTTCCTAAAGATGCCAATCCTGGTGGAGGCAGTCGCTCTTCCATGGGTGGTAGTGCTGGTGGTGGTAGTTATCAAAGCTATGGCGCTTCTGGTGGGAATGCAGTTGGCTCATATGATGGTAGAATGGATTCAATGAGGTATATGCAGCCCCAGGCAGCTGGAGGAGGATATCCTCCTTATGCATCATCTGGATACAGTGGACCTGGGTATGGTTACAGTGCTGCTGCAAGCACTGGAGTCGGGTATGGTGGCTATGGAGCCTATGGTGGTGCTATTGCTGGGTATGGGGCCCCAGCAGGCGCAGCTTATGGAAACCCCAATCTACCAAATGCTGGATATGGTAGTGGTCCACCTGGCGCTCCTAGAAGTTCATGGAATAATCAAGCTACCCCTGGTTATGGTGCTATGGGCTATGGAGGTGGTGCTGCTAGCGGTGGCCCAGGGTCGACTCCAACAGGCCAAACACCTACTGGACCTGGTGGGTATAATCAAGCATATGGATATGCTAGCTATGGGGCAAATGATGGGTCTTATGGGAATCCAGCTGGTTATGGTGCTGTTGGAGGAAGGTCAGGTGGTACTCCGACTAGTACTCCTGGAGAACTACAGGGTAATGGAGGAGGATATGGGGGCAGTGGTTATGGTGATGCAAATGGGAGTGCAGGATATGGTAATGCAGCATGGAGTTCCGAGTCATCACAAGGTTCTGGGAACTATGGATCACAAGCTAATGGTGGTGCTCACAGTAGTCAGGTTGCTTATGGTGGTGGTGGTGGCTATGGAAGTGCTCCGGCTCGACAAGGTCAACAACATTGATATTGTGGGTACATCTTCAACATCTAGTGCTCTGTGTGTGTTCCTGATGCGATGATGCTGGCTCAAAGTTGGATAGAGATTCACTCTGGGGACGCTGGTTGGATTGCTTAATCCCAGTAGTTTGCACTACCTATTTTGCTAGTAGTACATCTAATAAGTAGCTTTGTTATGACATTTTCGGATGCCCTTAATATTTTGTTTGCTGAGTGTAGCTTTAATTTGGCTTGCTTATATTATGTCTGCTATATTTGCTGTGGATTTTCTCTTTCTACCGTAGTGTTTGATTTAGTGTGCATGACTGCATGCAACCTTTCTTTCTTTAGTACACATTAACTCACTATCATCTTTGTGACTTCTAACTAGCAATTGCCATGAAACCTTTGCAAAACTGGAGGTTAGATATGCTTGATGCAGAATGAGATATAGAGATGAGTAGAAGACCCTTTGTTCTGTGATAGCACTGAAGCAAGGAGACGGGTTGGTAGACGGGTAGCGATAAAGATAGCTAGCGGTAGTTATCACTTTTGAGGATGGCATAATCATTTTCCCCCGCTCTATTTGTTGCACTTTGTGTTTGTACAGGAGGAGATGCTCGAGTTCAAAAGGTGGTGTCGAAAATGCCCACTCTTCGGCTGAACCCGAGCTTTCAAATTCATGTGGGGGTATATTCAGAGTTTGGGTGGTTTTTTGCCCCAGCAACCGAGTGGATGGAATTTGAGAGGAGTTTTTGGTTGAGATTGCAAGCTCAATTCCTTGGTGCAGATTCTTGGCATACCTGGTGGGCTGCTGCATATTTGTGAGGCAGAAAAAAAAGATTGTGGTACGCTGCCTTTAGCAGATGGCAGAGTTTTGTCTGAAGCTCATGCAATCTAATTGTTTAGGCTATACATTCATTAGTTGGTTACTAGAAGTGCAGTGGGGAATTGGAATGAAATCAATGAGTGGATTCTTGATGGTCCTGAGAAGTTTCTTATCCTATTCTCGCTGAAATGTTGGTCGAATCTATCTAACCAGTCATCTATTGAGTCACGTTTATCAGCATTATGCATCGTTGTGTCTGAATGTTCGTCTTTTGGGCATTAAGACGCGTGCAGTAGTAGTATGTGCTTATGGTTTATGCTTGCATTTGGTGTCTCGCATGAATACTGTATTTCTAGGAACCGACGCAGTATGATAAGTAGGAGATGTTGGAGTTGCGATATTGACGAGGGATTTGAGGCAATCGATTCAAGTTTACCTGATATTTGCCAGTCTAGAACCTAGCTGCACAGTTGAAGTAGTATACCCAGGTTCTGATGAACTTTTCGTCGAATCCCAGCCCCAGAATTTTGCTAGCAACAGAGAAACCAAGTACGTTAGAAGCTGAATTTAGCCAGTTTAGTGGAATCTGAGTTGAGTTTATGACTTTACTATCTGTTCTCCGAGGAACTTCTTCTCCAGCATCTCATGGTTTTGGTCATTTATTACTTGGAGAACGAGGAGACCGTCTTCTGCCAGCGCTGATTCGCAACAACCAAAGAATTCTTCCATGAATTCCTGCCCTACAGCTTCAATCATCTCACTGCCAGGAATGGGTGATGACAAAAGTTAGTAGCGTTGGAATAGGGCATGGTCTTGATATCGTTAAAAGAAGTGAATAGACAAACTCAACCAGGATGTGATCTTGTCAAACTTGTAGTGTTTGGGAGTTGGCGATAGTCGCAAAGAAGAAACTTGATTTGATCCTGGTCAAGCATACTTTAGGGTTAAACCTTATTTTGGTCTGAACTATGACCATGTAATCAATTTTGGTCCGTGTTTTCAGAAATTAACATCCTGGTCTGAACTATGTAACACATAGACTTAATTGGTCAGACACATGGTTTGACCTTCAATTTGGACAGTCAACACGCCATGTCATTGCCTCGTCAGCCTAAAAATCATTACAAAATTCAAATTCAAATTATTTTCCTAATTTCTATTATTTTATCATTATCAAATTAACCAAAAAATAAAATTATATAATAAAATATATTTTTTGGGTAATTTGAAAATGATAAATTTTATAAATTAACAAAAACCTTATCAAATTATTTTAAGATTTTATTTTTTGTTTAATTTAAAAATGATAAATAATAGAAATTAGAAAATTAATTTGAATTTGAATTTTTTTTATAATTTTTAGGCTTACATGTCGTGTTGACTAACGGTCAATTGTGTTGACCGTCCAAATTGACGGTCAAACCATGTGTCAGACCAATCGAGATCATATGTTTCACAGTTGAGGTCAGGATATTAATTTCTGAAACCACGGGCAAAAGTTGATTATATGGTCATAGTTTAAGCCAAAATAAGGTATTAACCCATCATTTTATAATATTTTCTTAAGACATTGCTCTACCATTATTAAAAGTGTTTGAATTTTTTAGTCGTCGTTGAACTGTTAAAAGTTCATGTAATATACTTCATCAATTTAATTTTTCTTTTGTCTCACACATAGTGAATTCATAGTATTTTTCTGCCATCTCGTAAAATAGTGATGAATTAATTAACTAGATCCCTAAAAGGTAAACCAATAAGCTGATATTATTTTTACAAGTATGAAGTTGCTCCAATAAAAGAAAAGAATAAAAAAATCTCTAGTGCAATCTTCACAAATATTTCTAAGCAAGCACATGGATTTTGAGTAAAACAAAATAATTTTTTTTTTGGAGCACATAAATGGAAGTGTTCATATTTAGACTAAAGTTTATCCAAAAAAGAAATGATAAAGGAGAAATCATCGGAAATTACCTAAATCAGCTGTCGTCCGACACACCGTCAAATCTTTCCTGCATTAATCTCCTCATTTTCCTCATCGCAACAATTTTTCCTCCTTTCCTAAACACCCAATTCGAGAATTCTAATAGCCTCTCCTTTTGCAACAAATTCTGTCTCCTGAAACATCGATCAAAATCAATCTCTTCTTCTCTTAATTCCTCTATTCCTCCAAAATCTCTTCTTTGAAATGGTTGCCTTCTCTCCCTTCTTTTCCCGGCCGGATACTTAAAAAAAAACACCCCATCCACCGCCGGCAGCCGCTTCCCACTCCCGCCTCATCAATATTTCCTAGGTCGTCGGCGGCTGCATGCTCTTTTGCTGCTAATTTGTAAAGAAAATTTAATACGATGGCGGGCCACCACGATCACCACCACCATGCAGATTCCTTCTCCGGGACCCTCCCCGCCATCGATGAGGACGTTGTCGCCGACCTCACCTGGCCTTTCGGAAACCTTGATGGTCTAGATGTCGACGACATCCGCGAGACTGCCTACGAGGTTTTCTTCACGGCATGTCGGTCGTCCCCTGGATTCGGTGGCGGGAGGAACGCCCTGTCATTTTACTCCACCCATAATAATCACCATGATAGTGGTGGTAGTGGCGGAGGCGGCGGAGGAGAAGGAGGAGGAGGAGGAGGAGGATTCGGGTCTTTGTCATTCGGGTCATCTTCGTCGGTAGGGAGATTGGGTGGTGGTGGTGGTGCTGTCGTGGTTACATCTCCGGTTAGTAAAATCAAGCGAGCTTTGGGTTTGAAAATGCTCAAGAGATCACCATCAAGGAGGATGTCGAGTCTCGGTGGCGGATTCAACAACGGAGGAGGAGGTGGCGGCGGTGCAGGTTCAGCGCCAAACTCTCCAAGCACTCCGCAACATCACACGGTGTTTAGTAGCCCCAACATTGGGTTCTCCACGTTGCAACCGGTGAGGGCGAGGCGACCATTAACATCGGCGGAGATAATGAGGCTTCAGATGAGAGTGACGGAACAGAGTGATAACCGGCTTCGCAAAACTCTAATGCGAACCCTTGTTGGCCAAGTACGTTCTGTTGTATATAATTTGTTTCATTAATTTTTCTCCCCGTTCAATTCCAATGCCACACTTCTATCATTATTCAAAATATCATAAAAACTTAATTAATTAATCATAAAATTTTGACCAATTGAATGGCGTGATTAGTTTATGGAATTGACTTGATAGCGTAAAAAAATGATCTATTATTTTATAAGGCTAATGAAAATACGTATAAAAAAAACTTGCATTAATATTTTTTGTTTTTTCTGGAAAATGGTCACAGCTAGGGAGACGAGCAGAGACAATAATATTACCACTAGAGCTTCTCCGCCATTTAAAGCCATCTGAGTTCAACGACGGCCCAGAGTACCACATATGGCAGAGACGACAACTCAAGGTGTTGGAAAACGGTCTTCTCATCCACCCTTCTGTCCCGCTAGACAAATCCAACACCCACGCCATTCGCCTTCGTGAGATTGTTCTTTCCAGTGAGACTCGGCCCGTGGACACTAGCAAGAACTCCGAGACCATGAGGGCCCTCTGCAACACTGTGGTTTCCCTTTCATGGCGGAGTAGCAACAGCAATGCCACCGATGTTTGCCACTGGGCCGATGGCTACCCTCTCAACATCAACATCTACATTGCCCTGCTTCGCTCCATCTTTGATATTCGCGAAGAAACAATGGTTCTTGACGAGGTCGATGAGCTGACGGAGCTTATGAAGAAGACATGGACGACACTAGGGATCAGCCGTCCAATTCACAACCTATGCTTCACGTGGGTGTTGTTCCAGCAGTACGTGTTGACTTCACAGACGGAGCCAGACTTGCTTTATGCAGCACACACCATGTTATCGACGGAAGTCGCCAATGACTCGAGGAGGCCGGATAGGGAGGCATTGTATGTGAAGTTGTTGTCTTTAATGCTAGAGTCGATGCAAGGGTGGGCTGAGAGGAGGTTGCTCCACTACCATGATTATTTCCAAAGAGGGACGGTTGTTTTGATTGAGAATTTGTTGCCCTTGGCTCTATCTGCGTCCAGGATTTTGGGAGAGGATGTTTCAATTGTTGAAGGGGTGGGAGGTAAAGAGAAGAAGAGAAACACTAGGATGGTAGCTAATTCGTCTGAGGATCGAGTTGATCTTTACATTCGAGCTTCAATCAAGAATGCTTTCGCCAAGGTAATGCTCCAATCTATATAATCTCCATCTCAAATCATTCCTTAGGGAAATCCATAATTCATTCATCGAAAGGGTTAATCTCATTTAGTGAATTCTCTCGTTGGTTTGAATATATGTGTCGGTAGATCATAGAAACTGGAAGCTACAAGAGCACTAGATTGGAAGTAAAGGATGAGGCGACTGAGGCACTACTTCAATTGGCTAAAGAGACGGAGGATTTAGCACTAAGAGAGAGGGAATGTTTTAGTTCCATTCTCAAAAAGTGGAACTCAAGTGCTGCGAGTATTGCATCAGTGACTCTACACCAATGTTATGGAGCAGTATTGAAGCAATATTTAGCTGGCGTGACTGTATTGAATCATGAAACAGTGGATGTTCTCCACAGGGCTGCCAAGCTTGAAAAAGCATTGGTTCAAATGGTTGTTGAGGACTCTGAGGAGTCCGAAGATGGAGGCAAGAACATTGTTAGAGAGATGGCTCCTTATGAGGTTGATTCAATCATACTCAAACTGGTGAAGCAATGGATTCAAGAGAGGTTGAAGATTGGGGGAGAATGTGTTCTTCGAGCAAAAGAGTCCGAGGTAAATAATTGTACAACTTACTTGAAGAAATTACAATCTGTAGAGGAAATTATATCTTAACATGTATATCGTTTGCAGACATGGAATCCCAAGTCCAAAAATGAGCCTTATGCTCAATCAGCTGTGGAACTCATCAAAATTGCCACAGAAACGGTAGAAGAGTTCTTTGAAACCCCCATTGGGATTACAGACGATCTCATTTGTGCCCTTGCAGAAGGTCTTGAGCAGTTGTTTCTAGAATATGCCAACTTTGTGACGGCTTGTGGTATGTATTCAAATCAATAACTCACTCAATATCTTACAATATTTGGAGTTGTTCTCACTGAATTCATGTACCACTTTGCAGGATCAAAACAAAGCTATCTTCCAACTCTTCCCCCACTAACCAGATGCAACCGAGACTCAAAATTCTTCAAAATTTGGAAAAAAGCAGCTCCTTGCACTGTGACAATAGAGGATCTTCACCAAAATGAGTTCAATGAAATTCATCATCCTCGAGCATCAACGAGCCGTGGGACACAACGTCTCTACATCCGACTCAACACATTGCATTACCTTGTTTCTCACCTGCACGCACTGGACAAGACCCTTGCCCTGGCTCCAAGGTCTAATTCGGCTCGAACACGTAATAGTCGTCGACAACACAGTATCTCCTCTTACTTTGAGCAAGCCCATGCATCCATCCAATCTGCATGTCAGCATGTATCAGAAGTGGCTGGTTATCGCTTGATATTCCTCGACTCGAGCTCGGTGATATATGAATCACTCTATGTCATCGATGTAGCCAATGCGAGGATCAAACCAGCACTCAGAATCCTCAAACAAAACATCACTCTCATGAGTGCAATCCTAACCGATCGAGCCCAATCCTTAGCCGTGAAAGAAGTAATGAAGGCCACATTCGAGGCCTTCCTCATGGTTTTGCTTGCCGGAGGGTGCTCCAGGGTGTTCTACAAAACTGATCATAACATGATTGAGGAAGATTTTCAAAGCTTGAAACGCATGTTCTGTACTTGTGGCGAAGGGCTGATGAATGAGGACCTCGTGGAAAGGGAAGGTGAGATTGTGGAAGGGGTGATTGCATTGATGGGTGAATCCACAGAGCAACTAATGGAATATTTCAGCAACGCTGCTTGCGAAACAAGCGGCATAGGAGCCTTGAGTTCAGGGCAGAAACTACCAATGCCACCAACTACAGGGAGATGGAATAGAGGGGATCCAAACACAATCTTGAGAGTTTTATGCCACAGGAATGATAGAGTAGCGAATCAATTCTTGAAGAAATCGTTCCAGTTAGCCAAAAGGAAGTGATGAGATGCGAAAACCAATTCGTGGATCTAGTCCCCTTTACATGATCTTCATTTCAGGAAGGCAAGGCAGCTACATAGATTTTTAATATTTAGTTGACCTTGATTACTAGAGTACATAAAAACAAGAGGAAAACAATGTAAAAGATGGCTCATTGTACTAATAGAAGTTAGAACAACTGACGGTTATTAGTACTAGGGAACTGATGTTAGAAACCTGTTTGGAAGAGGGTTTCTTTCTAGCACATAATCTTGGTCAATTCTACTTCTCCCTTTGAAAAGGGTTTTGAAATTTTCATGTCACTCATTATGTGATTGTTCGCTTATAAAAAGTTGTTTCTTTGACATTTGGGTGTTGTATAAACTATAAAGCATCAAAAAATCTGACATGGAAAGAAAGAACCTACAGGTGCAGATTTTGTTATGGTAGTTTAGAGCTGAAATGTTCAGCGGTAGCTAGTAGTCCAAGTCCATGCAAACACTACAAGTTAATCATTGAATGATTGTTCCCTTAATTGAGCATTCTCTTTCACTTATTTAGCGAGAATATGCATCGAATCTTAATCTTCAGCTTTGTAGACATAAAATCTAATCATGGCCAAGAAGAAGCTCAAGTTCAAGAAGTTGAGAACTGCCAATAAGGCATAGTAGTTGTCGAGATGAGAGGCAATCAAGTTGTTCATGATCCAACCTTCGTGTCTATGCCTCTTAGTGACATCAGAAATGGTTGACAAAAGGAATCTACTGGTATGATTGCTAATCCCTAGGCTAGTGGTGGATTAAGAAGTCCCCAAACTCGCGCTCTCTGGCGCCTGATCATAGAAGAAATCAATCTTGGCCACAAACACAAACTGAGGCAGCAAGACAAAGATGGACAGAGGAATTTGGCCTCCATTCTTGACCATACCATGCTTCTTCGCCTCACTTGGCATGTGCCTTGCTGTTAAGGAGGAATTTTACTTGGTGCTCAGGTTGAAAAAAATTACAATATAAACAGAACTTGTCCCTTTAACGTCACGACACAAATTAGGTTTGTACATATAAATTTTTTGTATAAATACATGGTACAAACTAAACTTGTACCTTTAACATTATGTTACAAGTTCAATGTACCTTGAAGCACCAATACATTAGAGCATAGTAGCAGGAGTACTCTTACATATTCCACTAGCATTATGACGATGTGGAACACGAGCCCAATTTTCATCATTCGGAGAAGCGTGATTCCTCGTGGGTTGTTGCCTTTTGTTACACTTCCTCACTAGTGGGATGAAAAACTTGTCGTATAGTATGAGGAAGATTAGCATTGACAAGGTGACAAATCCTGTGAGACTCACTAGAGGGATGTGGAAGTTTTCGATTTGGTGGTGCAGAGTGGTTCCTTGCTTGATGAACAAGGTATTGATTTTTGCAATAATCGTGATGGGTATGAAGGTTGCCACTAAGATTGTTATCATCCCCAACATATATTTTGTGTTTCTACTTGAGTCACCAGACAAAGTACCCATGGATCTTATCTGTCTCCGTTTAATCCATGGATTTTTATATGGATGTAGGTTGTCATTCACCACATCTTGATCACCCTTGCGCGTGCGTACAAGCCGATCTTTCAAATTGATAATCCTGGACAAAGAGCGTCTTGCATACAACTGTTTCAAGATTAACCACGCACTTCGAGAAGTAGAGGCTACAAAGACATATGGATAATTCGACTCAGATAAAGAGCATCAAAGAGTATGGAGAGTAAACTTATCTTGATGATACCACGTACGGTAAGCTGAATTGGGGATTCGGTGTCATTGACAAGGAGTATGTTTAGTGGAGCAGAACAATAATCATTGATATATCCGATAAGATCAAATCCCACTATGAATGATTCTATTTGAGATGTTGGAGGAGAAGTTCACTAGTGTGAGGTCGAGAGGGAGTTATGTGGCAGGATTGAACGTGATAAATACATCCTCTGTTGGGGATAGACTGCCGGAAGCGGGTGAATTGACTGTGGAGCTCATGATAAAAAAGGGCTTATACCACTGGAAAACCCGATCTATCAAAAAAAGTGTCACTTGTGTCATGAACTATTCAATATTCCATATATGTCTTAAACTATTTTTCCGTTAAAATTGACCTTCTTTGACCTTTAGTTTTAACAAAAAGTCTAGTCATCACTAATGTGGCTAGGGGTGGAAATATGTATGATATCGGTAGCCAATACCAAATCCCGAATACCAAATTACATCCTAAAATCAATCCCAATCTCATTTCCTAAATAATTTTGGTATCCCAATCCCTAAATATTTCGGTATCTCAATCCCTAAATATTTCGGTATCCCAATCGGTATTATCAAATACAAAATTAGTTAAATTTACAATTAATAAACAAATATATAAATTAAATTTGATTATTTAATTTAGAACAAAGAGACTAACCAAGTAGTTGGAGTTTGGCTAGAGCTAGGATATTTGATTGTTTAATATTAGCTGCTTTCCATATAACTTGCCGATCGGGATTTGGAGATGAGAAAACTAAAGCTATATGGGCAGGAATAATTTCTCCATTTCTTGACCTGTTTTTGATGGTTTTCGCTTGCTTGCTCTTCGCCGAATTGATTAGCAATTGTGAATTGAGAGAGGCGAACTGGGAGAAGATACTGACCTAGATTTTTTTTAGTGGAATGAGAGTAGGTGTGGCGCGTGGATTGGCCGCTAGCTGTCCCGTACTAGTCATATGAATTTTCAAAGTCGGAAAGAGTATGGTTGGCAAGGTTGTCAACCCGCGGGTTGACCCGCGGGTCGACCCAATTTGACCCTGACCCGGTGAGAAAAACGGGCCGCACGCACCCGCCGGGTCGACCGCTACAAGGTACCGTGTTGGAGGTCAAATTGTTTTAATTTTTTCTTTGATTTGCGAAATGCGCCTATTTTCCGATTTTTCTTTTCGCCTAACTCAATTTTTGAAATCCTAAGTTGAACATTTGAATATTTATGTTATATAAGTGTGTGTGAATTTTCACTATCTGTTGGATCTAAGTACGATATGTTATTTTGGTGTAATATTATATGTTATAACTCATATGTTAGATAAGATTTGATATAATTTATGAGGATAAGTACAATATAGTGACTCTTTCCATATTTCCGGGCCAAACCGGGCTAAAACGGTCGACCCATTAACCCTTGACCCACTAGCTCGACCGGGTCCGGGTCAACCCGCGAGTTGACAACCTTGATGGTTGGGCTTTGTAATATTGTATGGGTCATTTAAATTTGGTAATGGGTTATGCATATTTCAGTTGGCAATTAACGGCCGGTAAAAATGTGTGAGGACTGAGGAGAGATTAGCTTAAAGCTTAAATGCACCACTCTTTTATATTATTTTTTGGTACTATTCGGTATTTCGGTATATACCAACCCCAATCCAATAATCCCTAATACCAAATTACACTTGAAATTCAATCCCAATCCCATGAAAAAATTCATGTATTCGGTAATACCAAATATCGACAAATTCGGTTTATCAAATATGGATACCAAACTTCCAGTCCTAAATGTGGCATCTGACGTGGAATTTATAATATTAATTTATAATTATTTTCCATATAAAAGAATGTCTGGTTTTTATTTAATTTTGAATTAAAAATATGAGGTGTCAATGACGTGACATCCATGTGGCTGCCATGTTTTTGCCACATCATCAAAAGTCAATGTCAAGTTGAACACCGTCTGGTCAACCGTTATTTATAACGGTCAACGAAATCGCCAGGACATAAATGACACACAACCATAATAGGTTGGGACATTTTCGGAATATTAAATAGTTCGGGACATAAATGACACTTTCTTGATAATTTTGGTTTCCCAAATGTATTAGCGGTTGTCAACCCGCGGGTTGACCCGGACCCGGTTGAGCTAGTGGGTCAAGGGTTAATGGGTCAACCGTTTTAGCCCGGTTTGACCCGGAAATATAGAAAGAGTCATTATATTGCACTTATCCTCATAAATTATATCAAATCTTATCTAACATATGAGTTATAACATATAATATTACACCAAAATAACATATCGTACTTAGATCCAACATATAGTGAAAATTCACATACACTTTTATAACATAAATATTCAAATGTTCAACTTAGTATTCCAAAGATTGAGTTAGGCGAAAAGAAAAATTGGAAAATAGGCGCATTTCGTAAACTAAAGAAAAAAACGACACAATTTGACCTCCAACCCGGTACCTAATAGCGGTCAGCCCGCGGGTGCATGCGGCCCATTTTTTTCACCGGGTCAGGGTCAAATTGGGTCGACCCGTGGGTCAACCCGCGGGTTGACAGCCCTAACAAAACACAAACATGTGATTAGCAGTAAAGGAAAAAAGAGATCGTAACTGGAAGTTTCTCAAAAATGAAAAAAAAATGAATGGATCGGGTCAAGTTGAACGTTACTAGCTCTGATACCATAGTAAGGAATATATTTGCAGGAGTTAAACGTAATTTCCATTGATGTATCATGAGCTATTTATACACTGTACATAGAAGTTCATGACTGTACATAGGTTTACAAATCTGAATTGCTATTTGGTCACTTGGATTACTAAATCATGTCATGTTTAGTCACTAAAAAAAATTAATATCAAATTTGGTCACTCGAATTACTGAAACATGTCACATTTAGTCACTCCCCCTTAGTTTTCGTCCAACTCCATTAACGGAGTTGGACGGAGGCTAACGAAGAGTGACCAAATGTGACATGTTTCAGTAATTCGAGTGACATTCTAAAAAAAAGTAATTCTAGTGACCGCAGTTGGATGGAGGCTAATGAGAGAGTGACTAAATGTGACCTGCTTTAGTAATTCGAGTGACCAAAATTGTTATTAATTTTTTCTAATGACTAAACATGACACGATTTAGTAATCTCAATGACAAATGTGACATTTACCCATAGATAAATACGATAGGATATCAACACAAATGGAAAAAGAATAAAATTCTTTATTCCTTAGCCTTAATATGCTTATCCCAACTCATGGTTTGACATGAATCCATTGGAGACAATGAGTTACTTTAAGTGTTGGGGTGTAGTTATACTTGGTTACTAATACTTGTATGTTTTTCATGTATTTATGGTCTATCGATTGTGAATGGATTACATGTTCTGCATTTATGGTTTGCGTTGGGATCTTTTAAGTGCTGGGGCGTAGTTATTCTTGTTTACTAATACTGGTATATTTTCATGCATTTATGGTTTTATTGATTGTGAATGGATTACATATTCGACATGCTTTGTGAGGTGATTGTAAATGATGAGTTTGCATATTTGTATGTGTTGGGAGCCTTTTATGTTGCCATTTTGCTCTTCAAATTGGCTTAGCTTGTAGCTCCTTGTGTGTTTTAACTTATGTTTTCTTGATTGTTTAATGTTTGAGATGAGGAGAGTGTAGTGTTATGAGTGAATATACTTAAAGTTTAAATACTTAATCTTCAGATGTCTAGAGCAGTGTGCATGTTTAGTATGGTAGAGTGTATGTGTGCGAACCATTTGGTATGCAAGATCACCTTTGCCACCACATAGCATCATGAAGTGGCAAAGGTAGAGGAAACATTTCTTCGAGATGATTACATGCTTTGGCTATAAATAAAAGAGAGGGTCGATTAATGCAAGGTTCGCAAAACTACAACTTTGACATACATGTGAAGTTATTATCTTTTTGTGAAAATTAGCCATGTTAGTAGTTTCTGGAACTCTCGTTGCGCCTCTATAGATTTTAGGAGTAAGTGTAATTTGACGTAGATTGTCAAGGAACACAAATAAATAAATATCGAACATCCTTATGTGTTTGAAGATGTGTGAACTGTGTAATTAATCTTTGTTGAAAGAATTTAAAATTGTATTAATTGTGTACAAATTTCATTTTCTTTTAGGTAGTTGTCTTTTTTTTTTTGGTGTGAAAAAGGTAGTTGTCTATTTATTTTGAAGTGAATAATTTCTCCGAATAGTACCGTCTACTTCATGGTTGTCATGTAAGTTACATGCCAACTAGTAGCGGTTGCAGAACCGACTAGAATGTCCCCAATATTACAGTCATGACCGATTCCCGACCTTAAAACAAAAAGTTGTCCTTTCGAGAATTCAATTAACAAAAAGGAAATTTAATTTATTTCTTAAATTTAAAAGTTAAGTGTTGATGTTATTTGTACACTTTTAGATGTTGGCGTTAAATAATGAATTTAAATATTTTTTCATTTTGTTTGAAATGGTGTATTTTAGGAAGATTGTCTTCATATATGTTACTAGCTTTTTACCCGGCCCGTTGGCCAGAGAGTTTCATTTTATCGTTGACATTAATTCAATTTATCTATGTGTTTAAACTATTTTAGACCTTCTAAATTTATTATATTTTGTATTGATAAGTGAGTATGTGGTGTGTCTATATATTGAAAATTCTCAATAATTGGCACATTCACTTATAATGTTTGAATTCTCTAATCATAAACCATGTCACGAAGGTATACCACGTCCCATGTACAATTTTTTCTATCTTATATGAATCCACGTTGTTCAGATGAGGACATCTTAGTTAGAGTTTCTTTGCACATATACTTCATTATTGGATAAATTTCTTCATCCCAATTAAAAGTTGACACTTTGGATGTTCATGAAGTTTACTGTAAGATCTTATTTGTATTTAGTCTCTTATACAATATGTATCAATTGCTAATTTCTGAAATTTAATTTGGACTAACTGAGACTCATTGTCGTTGTTTATATGTTATTTTAGAATCTCAATCCAAGATACTCACATACGGATTTTGATCTTAATATGGTGTGTTAGTGTATAATTTTACAACTTGTAGAACCTTCGTTTTCTAAAATTCATTTATGTTTGGTATTTGTTTAGGAATAAAAATTTCATTACTTATACTAATATATGCATTTTTCTGTATGACCACATTTATTGTCAATATATAGCATATATATTAAAAAGAGTTTAATTATTTTTAAGTGTAATTAATACTTGTCTTTTACCGGGATTTGTAAAATGTTAAGAAAATAAGGGGAAATATGAACAATTGTAAAAGAAAATAAGGGATGAAAGTACACGTTATAAGTGAGAGAAAAATTATTCTTACTTATCATCTTCATTTATCAAATTATTTTATTCCGTAAATATATTATTAGTTATGCATGTGTTTTATTGCAAAAAAATGCATGTGTTTGCTAAGAAAGATCATACCGATGATCAACTTCTCTAATCTTGCATCATTTTCATGTGAATGTTCATGAAGTCTCCTAACGATCTTATGTTAACATATGTCTATCAAGAGACCCAAATTTAGTATATTATATAACAGAGTAAATACATTTTATTAACCAAATCTTTCAAAAAAAATTCAAAATACAAAGTATTAGCCAAACGTTAACTCCCCGTTAGCATTTTTGTTAGTAATGTTGACTCAACAACACGATGATGAGTTGGAAGAGACACGTGACGGTCTATAATCCAATTTAGTATTTTAATTAAAAAAGAGTTACAAAATTATTAATGATAACAAACAAATGGTTAATATTTTGATGTGATACAAAATATTTGGCTAATCATTTGTAGTTCGAAAGGTTTGGCTAATAATTAAAAAAAATGAAAGGTTTAGCTATTTAAATGTTATTTACTCAATATGTATCAATTGCTAAGTTGTCTCCTCCCACATTTTGTCACGCCCGCTACTGAAGTTCTATACCAGATCTGCTCTGTCCAATCCTCACCTTTGTCCACCAATTCATGGCCCATATAGTAACATCGTCAGCTGAATTTTAAATTGTCCTCCTGCATCATTTCTCACATGCGCCACCAAATTGTTGACATAGTTAGTTTCGTCTACCCGGGTATCTCCACTCCCTATTGCATTTAACACCCGTTATTTGATTTGTTTTTCTTCACTCAAAATTTCTTCTCCTAACGAAAAATCAAAAGGTAATGGCCTAACACCTACTTAGCATATGACGTAAACTGAAAATTCACTTAATAAGATTTATTCAAATATTTTTGTTTAAACAATCACGATGCATGTCAGCCTCCAAACATTAGTATACTGCTGCTACACATATATACTACAAAAGGTACAAATGAATTATTAAATAAAAACAAAAGGAAACATTAAATGAAGATAGAGATAGCTACATAAATTGAGCATTAACTTACTTTTGTGTTTGTAAAAAAAGTGTCAACCATGATAATTTGTAAATTCTTCAAGTGCTTATGTGGCAACAAACTATTGTTGAATTGCCATAGATAGATAGATAGACAAACAGATAGATTTTAAACCTTTATTTGATTAATGCATAGGTCAGTGGTTGATGAACAGATGATGTTTAACATACAGTTTAGCAAAGATTCATCTAATTTTCACATGTATCATTTTTAATGTATCTCGTGTCTCATCTTAAGATATGAAGTCAAGTTCATAAACAATCATACCGAAGTCATTTTGAAAATTTTGATTTATAATCCTTGAAAATTTATTACTCCAAGTTTGAAAATTAAATTTCTTAACATATGGCGTAAAACTTCAATAGAGTTTGCTCAATTAACACGATCTAGAGCAAAAATGCAAAATATTAGTAATTTGAACTTAGGATACATTGTACATTATTGCACCTATGATTCATATTTCTTCACTTAATTAGAATGAATAAGGTTTTTATTTAAGAAATAGATTTTATTGCTTGGTCAAGTTTCTATTCAAACGTTTCTTGTTTTCTCACATTAATTTCCATCTTTATTTTATCGCGGTAAAATGTTATTATGTATGTGTGTTTGTATAAATTGTTCATTAAAATGTAACATCTTTGTAAATTATTGTAAAAGTGAGTTAAAAATTTACTTAGTGAGCTTTAATAAGATATTTTTTTGGTTGAGAAAAAAGTTATATGTGTGACTCAAAGACATTAGTCTATTGTTGCGTACATCGATACAATGCAAAAGTAAAAACAAAAACATAAAGAAAGTATTGGAAAAGAAAAATAAATATTAAAAAAGTTAGAGATAATATATGACATTTTTCATACATTATTTATTATTGTGTACGTTGATATAATAAAAAAAAGGATAAAAGAGAAATGAAATATTAAATGAAGAGAGAGATGACTCCATAAACATATCAATACTATTTTTTTTTTGTAAAAATATTGTCCACCTTGGCAATTTGTGAACTCTCCAAGTGCTTAGGTGGCAAACAATTACTTTTGAATTGCCATAATATTATGTATAGATAGATAGATAGATAGATAGATAGATATGCCTAATTCATTTCTTGTTAATAATTTTTCTCTTTTCTACATGTTTACTAAAACCGACATGAAGTGATATAAATCGGTTTTTTCACCAATTGGATCATATAACTACTGGGAGTTGCTAAAGGTCGCCCTTAAAATTGCTAAAGGTCGCCCTAAAAAACATCAAAGTTACAAATTTAACCTTTTAGCTTCTTTACTCTTCCTTTAGCAAACAAACACAACTTAGTAAAGAAAATAAAACATTATTCAAAAGAGAGAATCCATCATCGTCATTCTGGAGTTGGAATCGTCGATATGATGTCTGGAGCATGACTAGCGACTCTGAATCGGTAAAGTTCACTAAAAAAATTGAAAAAAAAAAACAAAAAAAGGGAACCGTAGCTCATTTGCGGTTGCACCATGGACCAACCGTAAGTGAGTTGCGGTTGCACCATGGACCAACTGTAACTTGCCTTAGGTTGAGCATTTTTTTGGAAATTTCGTTAGAGAACGGGCGACGACGAACTGGTGCGTCAAGAGGGATTCGCGAAGAAGGCAGATGAGAGGTTCAGTTTGAGGGGTTAGGGATTGTTTAAATTTTGAAATTTTATTGGGGGTATATAAGTCATTTATCATTAGAGTTAGGGCGACCATTAGCAATTTTAAAGACGACATTTAGCGATTCAGTAACTAATCACTTGGCCAACTGGTTGAACGGTATTAACCGGTTTAGCAACGTTGGTCCACTGTGATTGCCTGATTGGAAAAAGAAGAAGAAAAGGGGAATTTGGAAAAAGACTGCGGAGTGCCGTAGTACTGTGAAATGTGAATACCTCTTTTCCCCTTCTACAGCTAGGTTAGGTTTCCTGGATTTCGACCCTACTGGACTTATCCTCCCTCCTCCATCCACACTTGCGAATTCCTGCTGCTGCTTTGGCCTCCCGCGTCCGCCATGCGATTGTACTGCCCTATCTCTGAGCAATTCCCAGGTAAAGCTTCCTCCTCCCGTTCAGCCTTTCCCCTTTCCAAGATTCTGCAGCTGTGGATTGATGATGCCATCAAGAATTGATTTTGATTCAAATCCCTTTTCCCTTTGCTTCTTAGTTTTGGGGGAGACTTCACTGCGGGTGTTTTCGATAATGTCACTGCTGGGCAGTGCCTGAATGGTTTTCGTGTTACTTTAGGAGGCTAGGAATTAGTATCAGTAGGCGCAATGAGTGGGCATGGTCGGCGTAAAGAAGATTATGGGGTGAGTAGTGAGAGCTCCCTGGGAAGCGATGGAGAGGAAACCTCTGCACGAACAAGACCGTTCAGCTTTGATGAGATAATGAACAGAAGAAAATTGAAAAAACTGGCCGAGACAGATGAAAGCGCAGAAGCTGTGGCACTTGTTTCTGGGGATCAATTGGAAAGGGTTAATGGGCATGGCAAGGCTTCATCGTCTGCTGTACCAGAGAGCTCAGTGGCTGAACATGTGAAGTCAAGCTCTTCGCCGAAAGAATTGAAGACTTTGGTTAAAGATGAGTGTCGAGTTGAAAGAAGGGATAGAGAAATCCAACCTGCAAGTGTCGGACGTAAGTTGATGTCCCAGATTAACAGAGATGTGGTGATGCCTGAAACCAGAAGCCAGGATGACAGAAAAACCCATCGCGGGAGAAAAGATGATGACCAGCGGCTGAGAGATTCGGTACAGGACAGATATGTTGATGGAAGGAGAGGACAATATCGAAGGGCGGATGATGCTGGCAGGAGGCAACCTCAGAAGCGCTCTTTTGATATTTCTGGGAATGAACCTGCTAAGAAGCATTCCGGGAACTTGGTGGAAATGAAGAGGCATGGGGATGTGAGTAGGGGTAGAGCTGAGAAGGCATCAGATATAACTCTTAGAAGCAGAGAACACGATCGGAGGTCTGGAAATGTTACGGAAAGTGAAGTGCGAAAGCATCATTCAAGAGATTATATGCAGAGGGACAAACATACAGATGAAAACAGGCGAAAGCTTGAAAACAGAAAGCCACAAAATGAGACGCAAGAACTTGTAAAGAAATATGACTCTGTCAAAGATCCTTCTGAGAGAGATGGTAGGAAGGAATTGTCAAAATCTCATTACAGAGAGTCGGGTTTTAAGCGAAGACGGTCTAGGAGTAGAGAACATGAGGAAACAAATCAGAGTTCTGCTTCTATCTCATTACGAAAGGAGAAGCGTGATTCTTACCATACAAGGGACCGTGATGGTCTGTCCTCTCATTCTAAGGGCAGGTCTGAGAGACAGCATCTTAATGATGAAGAGAGAAATATTGTTAATGGCAAACACAACGCTGCTAGTGGGCTTGGTGGCTATTCCCCAAGGAAAAGGAAAAGTGAGGCAGCTGTTAGAACTCCTTCCCCGACCAAGCGCTCTCCTGAAAAGAAAAGTGCTAGATGGGATCTTGCACCAAAAGTAAACAGTAAAACGTCATCTGTCTCTCTTCCTACTAACAATTTGCTATCTAGTCAGCAATTATCTTCGATTATGCGTGAACTAGTCAATACTGTTCCTAGTTCGTTAGATGCAGGAAAGGCCATCTCTGGGGCATCACCTAGCACTCTATTAACAAACAAGAATACTTCCATTGACTCTATTCAACTAACACAATCTACTCGTCCTATACGGAGACTTTATGTGGAAAATGTACCAGCCTCTGCCTCAGAGAAAGCTATTATGGACTTTCTTAGCAACTGTTTGATTTCTTATGGTGTTAATCATGTTCCCGGATCTCAACCATGTATCAGCTGCATTGTAAGTCACTTTACTTCTTGGTGAATAAAATAGATTAATTTTTCCAAGGATTTTTGTCTGAAATTTGCCGATATAAAATAATCTTTGCAGATCAATAAAGAAAAAGGTCAAGCACTTGTTGAATTTCTGACAGCTGAGGATGCTTCAGCAGCTCTTTCTTTCAATGGTAGCTATTTCTCTGGGTCTTCAATCAAAATCAGACGTCCCAAGGACTATGTTGAAGTGGCTGTAAGAAATACTATCTACTCCTTTGTTTATATTTTGTCGTAAGTTTAATTATTACTTTGGTGGTTAAATATAGTGAAGGCATGATAGACTTTGGAGAAAGGAATCCTCCAGTATAAGGGTCAAGAAATAGTTACTATTAGAAATCCAGATTAACATTAACAAAAATCTCTTGACCCTTGTACGGGGAACCACTTGTTCGGAATCAATCTTGCCTCAATTTGTTAAGCTTACTATTTTACATTATTCTTCATTTGTCTAATATGTATCTGCTCCGATCAGTCCATTAAAGTAATCACACCTAAAACAGCCTATAGTGGCATCTGTGTTTCTTTCTTGCCTAAGTCAACTCTTGTCAGGGGATCCATAAATCTTTGCTGGCTCATTTATTGTAAAGTGATATGGTTTAGCTTATTGTTGTTTTGATGGTATTTGCTTGAGTATAGTGTTACTTTGTAACATCATACCCTTTAATCCGTTGAAGCAATTGCAATCTTAGTTAATGGAAAGACTTGGTTAAGATGATAGAAATGCTAACCAAATGTCAGATATGCCAGTAATATAGCACTTGAACCCTATGAGCTGTTACAAAACCCTTGTTAAGATAGACCTGATGGCTTGATGCCAACAGTCAATGGGTGTCTTGGATAAGGGCTACTGTAGGATACTATTTAAGGTTAATTGTATCCCTCTCAGTATAATTCTGTGCTCAAGCTTTGCTAATATCTAATGGATCAAATGATAAGTGCCAAATTTGATACTACAACATGAGATGATAAACAAACACTTCATTGGTTGATATAAAGTGAATTAATGCTTTCAAGTAACTTAGATTGCTTTAGTGTTGAGTGCTTGGATTGCATATCTGATGTATTTTATGCTAATCGTGCCAAAAATCTATGGCATGCTGCTAAATTTTGCCATTAGATATGAAAATAGATACACCTAGTTTTGTTTGAAATTCTCAAGAAAAATATGCCAAAACTGCCTTTTATTTTGGAGTGCTCTCGAGTTGGAGAATTATGTCACAATTGCTTAATCCTTAGGATAAACGGAGGTATTGCCACACAGTTTGTTGGCACTATCACTTTTATGTGCTGGATTCTTTTCTTTTTCCTCTTCTTTTTCTTGCATTGATTCAGATTGTTTATTGATCTAACTGCTAAGGATTTTATGCTTTAAATATACAAACTTATCAAATCTCTGTTTGTCTAGTACGTGAGATTTATTCTGACTGTCATGTTGGAATCTCTTAAATAGGGTATTTATATTGCGTGTATCGTAATTCACGTACTGGCTGGTGATGAAGCTGTCTCCTAATAAGAGGATATCCAGGTGTAGTGAACAAGTTTGATGTCCATGGAGCTTCTTTTACTGGCATTCACTTTTGGTAACTGATCTAGGTATCCGGGACAGTAACATTGGCCTAGCAGAATGTGATGCAGCACTTTCATCATTTGATTCATGCTCAAAATATTGCTCGAAATATTGCATGTGTTGTTCCATTTTCAATCATCTGCATCTGAATTTTATTTACTTTCGATTTTCTTAAAAATATATGATCAACATCTGTTGCTGCTGATCTCATATGTTAGTTGTACCTTTGTGTCTTTTTTCATTTCCTAAATTCATGCATGTAGCTTTCTCTGAGTAAAGGGAATAGGAAATAGTTCGTTGATACTGTAATATGTTAAAACTGGCTATTAAGTTTCCTCTTGGTCACAGTTAATATTACATCAATTAAGATTCTTACATCTACCTGAATCTATGCAGTGTTGTCTTGGCTTAGGGAAGTTATCTTGGAACTAAAAGTAACACTTAGTGTGTTTTTCTTCCAAGTGTATGCAGCTTTGAGAAAAATGTTCAAAAACTGGAAATGTCCGTGCCAATTTAGTGAAGAGTTGCCTCTTTCCAGTCATACTGGAGTTTAGAACATAAAACTAGCTGTCCATCACTATGAATGTGAAATACAGTTAACAGTTACATTTGCAATGCACTGTCCTTTTTGTTTGATCGTATTACTTGCTTGCTTTGGGTGCCTATGGACCCTGTTCTTATCAACACATATGCATTTGCTGAAAATGTGTTTGTTCTTATTGTTGATAATGTTTTGAGTTAGTTGAAAAAGATAAAATGAAGGCTTCCTATTTTTTTCGTGTTCCTCCATTTCTTACTCCCAGTTGTCTGTTTGGCACCTCTCTGCTCGTGTGGCGATTAAGGCTTATGACATTATTGATCTTTCCTTTTCTCCTCTTATCAATGAACGGATAGCTTTTAGCTCTGATAAATATTCAGTTGTGAATAAGTATGAAAATCTGGTTGATCTCATTTGCTTTTGATTTACAGTGGAGCTATAATCCCTCCGAGGATTATTCAATTGCTGCATCCTCCTCTGAGATATACTGTGGTTACCGTCCATGTAGCGGGTTTTCAGTCGGTTGCTATTTTTATGCAGACTGTTGAAGCAAAAAAGTCGGTTGCCGTGGTTCAGGCAATAACTGATATTGTTAAGGATTCGCCCCACAAGGTTGTGTTCTTTCTCATTCATTGTTGTTTTATTGCTTCAGTTATATCACAAAGGGATCTGAAAGACCATTTTGTTGTCTTGATTATTCTTGACTGCGAGACGTCCGATTTGCTGTCAGGGTCTTTTTCAGTTAAACTCTGTCCAGTGCTACATGATTATTGTGTTCATGCAGAGAGCTTCCATTTGTTTTTGTTTCGATCGTTTCCCTGCTTTGAAAATTATTTGTAGAAATTGTTGATGCAGTCCTCCTGTCGATGAGTTACAAATTTTAATAAATAAATAAAGTACAGAGCCGTCATGTTAGTTCACTTACTTCCTTTGCGATAGTTGTGTAGGTGGTTCGCCAACTGTTTGGAAATTACTCTTTAAGGCCTATAAAGCTCATCGTTTTCTTCTTTTGAGTCATTGCAGATCTTCGTTGGTGGAATTTCAAGTGTCCTTTCCTCCAAAATGGTAATTTGCCTTCAAATGTGTAACATTGCAATTGCTCTTGGTCTCAAGAGTCAAGACTGACAACTGGGATGGTTCATCCCATGCCTAACATTCTCTTATTTTATTCTATTTCTGATGCCCTTTTTAGTTCTGCACTTCTGTGACTGTTCATTTAAAGTATTTGGTTTGCGTTCACAGCTTATGGAGATTGCTAGCGCCTTCGGACCTTTGAAGGGATTCCAGCTTCTCAACAATAAGGAACGTGATGGCCCACATGCTTTCCTTGAGGTAAGAAAACCATTTGTGCGGGTTGCTTTCATTCAGAGAGGCGCGTGGTTTCTTGTTGCCACTGAGGATTTCTATATGTACAAGTCCTGATCTTGATGCTGCTCATAAATACTTCTTAACTCTTGGTCGTAGCGGTAGTGAAGGGCTAATTTTTAACTTTAATATCAGTATGCAGACGAGACAGTCACTCTTAAAGCTTGTGCTGGTTTGAATGGTATGAAAATAGGAGGGCAAGTATTAACTGCGGTTCAAGCTGTGCAAGATCCTTCAGTCATGGTATTTCATTTGAAACCCTTTTCCTTTTCTTCTTTTTATTTGGAAAGGGAAGAGTGCTCTAATCGGGCGGATTGACTTGGTAGGCAAGCAATGGGAGTCCACCATTCCATGGGATCCCTGAACATGCAAAGTCACTTCTTGAGAAGCCTACAGAAGTTCTGAAACTTCTGAATGTGGTACACGTTCATGCACTTGAACTTTTTAGCTATTGTGATGCTTTTTATTTTGTGTAATTTGTTTTTTAAAATCTCATTCGAAACTTCTCAATGTCACTTGTCATAAAATATGGAACAGCTCCAACCAGAGGTCCTTCCCTCGATGTCCAGTGCAGAAATTGAGGAAGTATTAGAAGATGTACGACTAGAGTGCGCCAGGTATATAGAGGGGCGTTGCTTCTTTGTTTTAAAGCCTTTGCCTCGTAGCAACAGCTTAAGCATTGTTTGCTTTTCAAATTAAATTTACAGGTTTGGTGCTGTGAAGTCGATTAATGTTGTCAAGCATACTGCAATTCATTCCACCACCTTAGAAAAATCTTCCGCGCATGACAACAAGGTGTCAGCTGGTGGTGGTCAGCAGGACATGAACGGTGAAAAAATCCCAATAACTGAAACAGAACAACCAACTGGTTCAGTTGCTGCTGAAAGTCACATGAAGGAGACACCGATGGAAGATGAACCAATGGGCGAAGAGTTGTCGAGCATGGACGAAAGCAGAGGGATTGCAGAAACAAACAAGGAGAAGGCTTCTTCAGCAGCTTCTTGCAATGACACAACTTCCCCTACAGCTTCAGATTCTGGTGCCCAGGAGGGTGGCGACCAAACTGCAGCAGAGAAAGATGTTGAAACTGGAGGCAGTTTCGAGGCGGGTTGCGTGTTGGTGGAGTTTAGAAGGACGGAAGCCTCTTGCATGGCAGCACACTGCTTGCATGGCAGATCATTTGATGATCGCACCGTCACAGCAGAATATGTACCTCTTGATCTTTACAAGGCTAGGTTCCAGAATCAATAGGGATATGCTGTTAGATACCTCCCTGAGCGCCATTGGGCTGGCATTCTGAGCTGCTTCTGTTATAGAGAGATTGATGTTAGAGATAGGCACCAGGAACCCTTTTACCCCATAGAGAATGGGATCATTACTTCATTAGAGAGGAAAGATGGAATGTTTTTGCTGTGCGTGTCCATTGTTATGAAAATACTTATCACTAACTTCTGGTTCTGGAAAATTTTATGAGGAAATGTTCTACTTCGTGCTTGCTGTTGATTCCCTTGGTGGGTTAAAATAGGGGTCGAGGGAGCATTGTGGAATCTTATTGGAAGATTATATCTGAAAAGTCAATGTTTTTGTATTATTATTAATATTTGATTTTAGCGAACAAGAGTATGGTTTAGTGGTAGTAGGCTAGTAGCACTAATCTTGAATTTTGAGGTGTTGGGAACGAATTCCTCAAATAACAACAAATATGTATGTATACCCTTATCGAGAAAAAAAAACAAATATGTATGTATAATCCTTATAAAAAAAATAGCAAGTTGATGGTTATGTTTTCTTTTTCTTTCTAATAAGGGTGATAAATGATTTTGTTATTTTCGTCCATTTTTCCATTCAAACGTTCACACATCACCCAAATTTATAAATGAAATGTTGTAGATATGATATTGACAACCCAAACCAACCTTGAACCCATAAGAAGTTCCAAGATTTAGTGACCGTCTTGTTAGCACTCCAAATATAAGTGATCCTTTATGCTATTGACCAATTGTGATGGTTATTCAAGAAGCAAAGACGCATTAATTTCATTAAATAAATATATTGTCTATGAATGTCAACAACAATCAGAGTGGCGCAGCGGAAGCGTGGTGGGCCCATAACCCACAGGTCCCTGGATCGAAACCAGGCTCTGATAATTTTTTAGCCCTCTTCTTTTTCCCACTCGTTTTCACCAGACTTTCGCGGGCCGACGCAACATTTCAATAGGCCGAACCAAGCCCATAAAAGCTTTTCTCCGGCCCAATACGGTCATACTCGAAATCCCAGAATTCCATTATCCATTCCCACCACAGACGCCGTCCTCTGTTTCCAGAGATAGAACATTACCAGACGATGAGATAAGTTTTCCTTTTCTCCTTTCTCCGCATCTCCAACTAGAAAAACACTCCCAAATTCTCAAACAATGGCGACGGCGTCAGCAACAACAGGAGTTTTGCTGGGGAAAACCATGAATTTTCGCCTCTCCAGCAACAACGCCCGCTTCCCAAGGCCGCCGCTGCCCACTTCTTCCTTCTCCAATTCCGCCGCCGTTTCAGACCTCAGCTCCCTCACTTCCCAATTGAGCGGCATTCGCATCTCCTCCGAATCTCCCTGCTCCTTCCAACCCTTCAAGACGGCTCTCCAGCCCGTTGTCGCCCGTGAGTCTGCCATTCCTGCTTCGGTCTGAGTAGATTGGGGGAAATTGAAAATGGTCAATTGAATTCTGATTGATTCTTTGTTGGTTTTGGGTATTTTTTTTTTTTTTTTGCAGGGAGAATCTGTCCGTTCACAGGGAAGAAAGCGAACAGGGCGAACAAGGTGTCCTTCTCCAACCACAAGACCAAGACGCAGCAGTTCGTGAACTTGCAGTACAAGAGGGTTTGGTGGGAGGCAGGGAAGCGCTGGGTGAAGCTCCGTTTGTCCACCAAGGCTTTGAAGACCATCGAGAAGAATGGCCTCGACGCCGTCGCTAAGAAGGCCGGCATTGATCTTCGCAAGTTGTAATCCACTCAGAAAGCAAGTTTCTTTCTTTAAGCTTTTCAAGGTTGCCCATTACATTCAGCAGGTTTCGTACCTAGAAGACTCCAATGTACTGAAGTTCAAATTTATGTTTCTAGTCAGTTGCTGCTACTTTCCTTTTGGAGGCAAAATTGTTGTAATCCTTCTAATTGAGTGCAGAAGAGATCGATCGCCTTTGTTTTTGACGAGAGCTGTTTGCAATTTGATATCTAGGCGGAGGATGAACTATGGGGTTCTGTCATCCTCTGCAACACAGGTAGAGGTGACCCAGAAGCATGATCAGAAAAAAGACCATAAGAGATGATGAACAAGGTAAACTGTTGATAGTGTCAACTTACATATGTATTGGAAAAGATTGATGAGATGTGGTGGAACGCAATCGAAGGCAGGGGTTTACGATTTCGAGTACACGAGCACAGGAGCACTGCTATCGGGTGCTAGTCCTGTGGATTCTGGGGATTCTCGGAACTCAGATGGCGACTTGAGCTCATTCAAATGCACTGCTGGGTTTTCACTCTCAAACTCTGATGAAGTGGAGAATGGGTTCGAAGTGATTTACTCTTATCTTTTTATTACCTTGTGAGTGGCTGCAAGTCTCAAGTCTGCAACTACTATGAAATGGAATGCCATGAGGTTTCGCTGCAACTGCGAGAGCATGTTCATTGTTCAACGCGACTGTCCTATGATCCTGCCTTCACACTCAGTATGAGCTCCAACCACAACCTGCACCTCAAACAGGAAGCCTCTTTCTGAGTTTAAGCCAGTACTGCATCATATTTGAACAACTTGTGATCGATATAGTCAGTGCCTCACCATGATCGCTCCAGAAATCATGGCAGATACTGCTGAATCTGTTATCACAGTTTGTCCTAAAACATCAGGCAGTTAGATCTCAGCTGAGCAGGAGGATCCTTTGTTACCTAAGTGGTAGCCAAATTGTTAACGGATCAGTTGTGATGAACAATTACACAACTAAGAGGAGAAAAAAAGACATTGCGGAGTTAACAGCAGGGAGTTTCAGACTTTGGAGCTACTTCAGCGACAAAAACCCTGAAAAATCTGTTCTTTGCAGCACAAGAACAAAGGGTTATTTGTTAGAGTAACTCTCAAGTTAAAGAGTTATTATTAGTATTCAACGTTAGGGTGTTCTTGGGTTTGCTTGTGGTGGAATGAGTTGTTAGTACGGATCTGCCAGCAGCACCTTTGACTGTATTAATGTCTAGAGTGACGGTGTTAGCTTTACACCTTTAAATCAATGATTTATATTTTGAGAATGAAATTCAATTCTTTTTAAAAAAAATTAATTTCAAACTGGCTTCAAATACACTCTTCTTTCCTAATCTTATGATGTAAATGGAGGGTTAATTGCACCGGGTGCCATTTAACTTTTATAATTGGACGTCCTAACTTTTCTTAAAATTAAGAATTAAATGGGTTTACATTTTACAACCCCTAAAATTCAAACATAAGCAATTGGTTAAAGTTGCATCTAGATTGTCAACTATGGTGTGATTTGTAGTATAGATTCAATGAATCTATAGATTAAGCATAAAATTATGTTTTTTCCTGTGTTTTTTTATCGTGAATGTTATTTTTAGAGATTTCAAATATCCAAAGTCGATAAATATAAAACCACGCATAACCATATAGTTTTTTTTAATAGTAATATAGATTTTATATCTTGATTTGCGAGATATTTTTTCTATTTTACCCCTTTCTATTTTTATTCCTTTTTTTTTTTGACAAAAGGTAATCATATATTAGATCAAAAAGATAGTTACATCCTGGAGATCAGCCAGGTCTGATAATCAAAATGACGGTTCATAGCCGGGTACAGAGAGAGGGCCTTACGAGCCACTAAATGGGCTACCCTATTGGCACGCCGACCTATAAACCGAACAGAAAACCCTTGATTGCAGGACAAATAATGCAGCACCTCCTTCAGTATAGCTCCTATCCTGCCATCTCTATCATCCATCAGTTGGAGCTTCTCAATGACAACCTTGGCATCTCCCTCGAATCGCACACTAGAGAACCCATGTCCAATGCACCAGAGAATTGCTTCTCGCAAGACCAGCAGTTCCACCACCAGAGGATCATCAATGGCGGGAATCTGTAACCCAGTGGCCATTAGGAGGTCTCGGTTCGGGGTCAATAGCACCACACCTCCTGCTGAATGCGATCCTCTCCGAGTAGCCTCATCCCAACCACAGATATCCCCTGGCATCTCGTCCTGGTTCGAACGGTGGGCCGCCGCATCAGTAGGGACAACGCTAGATTTATCAACCGGGAGGCACATCCACTCCTCGTATTGCTGCATGAACTGGCGCATCAGTGCATCCACTCTATACTGCTGGCCTTCAAAGACCACCCAATTACGAGATCGCCAAATACGCCAGAGGACGGCCACAACAGCCATGAACAAAGCAGGGCACTGGATGAGAGCCATGACCTTCTTAAGAAACAAGGGAAAAGAATGGCGCGGCAGTCCCTCCCCGATATGCTCTAGACCCGCAGCACCCCATAGTGCTCTGGCTACCTGTCAATCCAAAAACAGGTGTTCCATAGTCTCTTTGTCTTCCCAACAAACCGGGCAGCGAGGATGGATCACGATCTTTCTTTCTAGCAAGGCCTCTGCTGTATGAAGGATTCGATGAAAAATCTGCTAGAGAAACACCTTTAATTTCGGCGGGATGTTAGCCTCCCAAAGGCGGATCCAGCTTTGTCGATCCATCCAGTCTACCCCAGCCCTCCAACGACCCCTGCGCCTGTCCAAGGCGACTGCCAGATGGTAAGCAGATTTCACCGAAAATTCACCATCTGCCGTGTCATGCCAGATGAGCCTATCCTCTACATTCGTACAAGGGAGAGGAATAGCCTTAATAATACGACAGGTAGCAGGGTCAAACCATTGGTTAAGCTTGAGGTCACACCAGCGACCTTCCCCTTGACAAATAAGCTCCGAAACTGGGGGATCCCCTCCTACTGGCAAGATTAGTGGGTTATATCGAAGAGGCTCAAACTGATTCTGGGGAACCCAAGTAGAGTACAACATGGATGCCGCACGACCATTCCCAATTTGCCATCGAAGCCCCATCTCTAAGAGTTTCCGCCCGTGTAGAATACTTTGCCAACCCCACGAGGGTCGCGAGCGAGCCTTCGCAGTGAGGAAATGGCCGTTAGGGAAGTATTTCCCTTTGTAAACTTGGGCAAGCAAGGAGTGGGGCTCCAGGAGGATACGCCAGCCAATCTTAGCCAAAAGGGCTTGATTGAAGTGTTCAAACCGTCGGAAGCCCATCCCCCCATCATGTTTACTCCGGCACATGTCCCGCCAAGATATCCATCGTACTTTCGAATGATTATCATCATCTCCCCACCAGAAGCGGGCAACATGCTTGTCCAGAAGGCGGCACAGGGCCAGAGGCAGCTTGAAATAGGACATCACATGAAGGGGTAAAGCCATTGCCACCGATTTTATCAAGGTCTCTTTAGCCGCCCAGGATAAAGTTCTCCGCTTCCATCCCTACAGGCGTTCCAGGAGTTTCTCCTCTAAATAACGGAAGGTTTCCATTTTCGATCTAGCTATCAGGGATGGGAGCCCAAGGTATTTATCATGGACCCCGACTGCCCCTACCCCCATAATCGCGGCTAGGAATTCCTGGTCCGGTATCGTAATATTTCGACTGAAGCACACCGCTGATTTTGCCAGGTTCACTCTTTGGCCACTCAGTTCCTCATATTCATTCAAAACTTCGATTAGATTTTCACATTCTTGGAGCGTTCCACGCAAGAATAAATATGAGTCATCAGCAAAGAATAAATGCGAGATCCTCGGGGCTCTGGGAGCCACCTTAATCCCCGCCAATTTCTTGTCTGAGATAGCCTTCTTCAGGAGAGCCGCAAACCCCTCTGTGCATAGCACAAATAAAAGGGGCGACAGGGGGTCACCCTGTCTAAGTCCCCTGGAGGGAGTGAAGTAGCCAGACGGAGTACCATTCATCATCACCGTAAAGGATGTAGACCGAAGACACTCCTGAATCCAACCCCTCCATACAGAATTAAAACCCATCTTTTCCAAAACCGTAAGGAGAAAAGTCCATTCGACTCTATTATAGGCCTTTTCCATGTCAACCTTTAGAGCCATGTACCCTTTCTTCCCACGTTTTTTGATTTTCAGGTAATGCATAAGTTCATGTCCGAGGAGGATATTTTCGACAATCTGTCTTTCTCGAATAAAAGCATTTTGACCAGCCGAGACAATCGTAGGTAAAATACAGGCCAGCCGCTCAGCCAGAATTTTGGTTATAATTTTGTACACAAATTGGCATAGGCTGATAGGACGCAAATGCCTCATTGATTCAACATTATCCACTTTTGGGATTAGAGTGAGCCAGGTATGATTGAAACTACGAAGCATCTTTCCCGTTGAGAAGAACGAGCAGACAGCTTCAATCACTGAAGGCCCCACAATATCCCAAAAGGATTTGAAGAATTTGCCCGTAAACCCATCCGATCCCGGCGCATGTTTTGATCCCATAGCAAAAACTGTCTTACGTACTTCCTCCGGGAGTATAGCCGCAGTTAAGGTATCATTCATAGCAGGAGTAACATTTTGGTCAATGGGCAGAGAAAAGACACGATCTCTCATATTAGGGACCTGCCACTAAATACCATTACTTATAAATTATCAATATTTCTTCAACCATCCTAATTTTTGGTTAAGGATAAACATGTCTATAATTTTTATTTTTCATTGAGGTAAACAATCATAGTTACCAAATGAAAATTTTAAAACCTTTTCCAACAATCAAAAGTTTAGACTTTTTTTAATCTAGAAATTCATACCACAATTCTCCAAACGAGCTCTAAAGGGAGGGTTGAAGAATTATGTTAGGGCTTTGGATGACTTTTTTCCCCGGATTGAGGACGAAGTATGAATTAGCACTTCAACGCACATACACTCGACCGTCATCTATATCGTAGCTGCATGTCAAATGCTTAATTTCGATTAAAAAATCATCTTTCAATCATGTTCAAAGAATTTGACTTTGTCGTATATCGAATTAACCCAGTCACGAAAGGAAGTGGGAAGAACTAATACCCCACTTAGAAAAATAAAGTTATGTATACATAGTTATCCATATTTGTATGAGTAAAATTTCCATGCTAGACCACATAAGTTAAAAACCTCAACTCAAGAGTTCAATACAAGCAAATAAGTGCAACTATTTGTCAACCTAACTGAAAACTCCTCAATTTCCCAATTCTTACTCAGTTAAGGAAAACTCTTGTTCTCATGCGGTCAAATATTCAAAAGCCTCCTCAGTCCATGTGATCAAAACACACTTATAAATTCTACTCGGGACCAATTTCTTGGATAAAAATAGATTTTAATCCTTCCTTTCATGCCGAATCATCCGAGGTTAAAAATTGAAAGAAATTGATGAGACATCCATAAAAAACAGTGGAGATAAATGGTATAAAATGTATTTATCTTCTATTTACTTCTACAACTAAAAGCTTTCTTATTGTCACCGCTAGTGATATAATGAGTAGAGTTGGGTCAGATTTCTCTAACTCAAATCCAATTTAGCGGGTGCATATAAAAACATTCCGTAATGGATTTTAGAAGAGAAACTCAACTCAATCCAATGGATACTAACAAATGCATGTGTACGTATGTGTTCACGAATATAATCCTACATTATTCTCATGAATATAATCCTATATTATAAAAAAATTCTACAAATATATTTGCATAAAGACTAATAATATTCATAAATAATTCATATTATTATGACTATATTTTCATAAAGACTAAAAAAACATCCATAAATTTATTCATAGTGTTAACGTTAGACACAAAATGATGTCATTGTGCTTTCTGGGTGGATCAGGTGAAAAACGGGTTGAGTTTTGAACAAAATATGTCTCAAATGCAATATTATACAATTTCTTAATCTATTATAATATTTTTTATTTTTTAAAGGGACTTCACTACTCAAATTCTTTTTTCTTTGGCAGTTGGGCTCAAAGTTCGAACTAATAGTGTGGTGGATGTTCTCATCCCAAATTACGAGTGGGCCAGTCCCTTGAGAAAAAAAAAATGCTATTATTGGAATTTGAATCCAGGTTACTCAAATGAAAAAAGAACACTATAACCAGCTAGTAGGGTTGAAAGTTTGGAACCGGTATATGGGATATACCGAATATCGTATCGAATTTGTCGATATTTGATATTACTGAATACACATATTATTTCTTGGGATTCAGATTGAATTTCAAGGGTTATTTGGTATTAGGAATTACGGGATTGTGATTTGTATTTACCGAAATACTGATCAATAGCGAAATATAAGCTTGTGTGTATTTTATCCCTTTGAACTAAACTATCTCACTCACTACTATCAGACCTTCAACCGCCAAGATGATCACTTTAATTTACATAGCTCATTCCCACACTATGTGACAACCAATACCAAGCTTTGTTAATTGTAGTACGTTTATGGGTTGCTTAGTCATCCCATGTGTCCAGTTTGTTAATGTGCTCTTAGGCATCACATTTTTCTAGTATGTTGTCATTATACTTGAGATTTATTATCATTTGTTTTGCAAGAGTGTTAGCACCACACCATTGTTGTTTTTATATATTTTGAGAATGAGTTATGGAGCTAGCATTTGCCTTTGTATATTGAATTCATAATTTTGAAGGAAATAAATTTTACATTTGGTATATACCGATAGCGAACAAAAATTTAGGGATTGGAATACCGAATTTATGGCACTATTTTGTATCTCGAGTTTTCGGTGTTTGATATTGCAATACCGATATCGTACTAATTTCCATTTTCCACCTTAAGCCCATACTTAAATGGACGACAGTCCATCCTACTCGCCAAAAAGTAGGCCTCCAATTTGTTGGGCCCAACATAACATAACGACGAAGAGGATAAGATTCTGAGGGCATATCCGTCATTTAACCCCACCAAGGACATGCTCGTCATTTCGCTCCTCAACTCCCAAATCCAATGGCATTCTCGTTATTCCTCAATCCAGCCGACCGTATATAAACCGCTCTCCCCTTCCCCAATTTTCTTTCGCCCCATTTTTCCTTTCCTCTGCGTTCTTCTTCCTCCTCCTCCTTGCGCCCACTCCAATCTCCTCTTCTTCCCCCTTCTCTCCCGCCCCAATTTCTCCCCGGCAATTCCAAGATTCCCGATTCGTTAGCTCCGACCGCCGCCGCCGGCGAGTTCCTCCGATTTGGTTCCCGTTTTTATTATTCTGCTCATAAATACCCTCTCTCTCTCTCTCTCTCTCTCCCCCTTCGCTTTCCAATTATACCGGTTTCTTGTTCTTTCCCCCCAGCCTACAAATCCGATCCTTAAGATGCTGCCACCTGGCGAGTCTAGGAAGCGAAAAGACAGAGAATCAACGCCAGCGTTTTATCCAGCTGCCAAACCATCGGCTCGGCTCGACTACCTCCACAAGCCGCCGCCGTCGACGATGCCGAATACTTCATCCAACAACAACGGGCTACTGGCCGGGTACTTTGCTTACGAGTTCCTAACGAGAGGGACGATTCTCGGGGAGAAGTTCGATCCGGCGAAGTCGACGGATGCGGCGGTGCCTCTCGCGCTGCCGTCGAGAATCAGGAAAGGCGGAGCAGTACCGGCCGCCGAGGAGGGGAGGAAGAAGAACAAGGAAGACGAGGAGAAGAGCTATGCGGAGGTGGCGAGCTTATTGAAGACGGAACGTGCCCACATTCCCGGGATTGTGAACCCTACTCAGCTTGCCCGCTGGATTCGGATGTGAAGAGAAACAGAGAAATGCTGGAGAGAAAATGGAATTGGGATTGAAGCCGAGTTCGTGTAAACTTGCTGTACAAGAAGGTTTGGTGGGAAGGAGACAGGGCAAGCTCGATTCCGTCAAGCTTCGACTCTCCACTAATGCTTTGAAGACCGTCGGGAAGAATGGAGTCGACGGCCGGCGTTGATCTTCGCAAGGTGTAAAGATCCCAATAAGAAAGTTCCTTTTCTTGAAAACTTTCAGTAGTAGATTCTTTCCATATTCTCTTCTGTATGAAATGTCAAGGTTTCCCATTACATTCAATATGTTTCTTGTCAACAAAATCCAATGTATCAAAGTTCATAACAGCCAAACTGTTCGGCATTGGTCCAATGTATTAAAGTTCTTGTTTCCAGTGAATTGAATCTAGGCGGCAAAACTGTTCTAATTCTTCAAATCGAGTGCAGAAGATCGATCGCCTTTGTTTCGACGGCTTGAGCTGTTGACAATTTACTAATTTTTCAGAGGATGAGATCCTCGGCAGAGTAGTAGTCAGCAATCAACCTGTACATGAACGACGGGTTGTGTCCGCCTCTGCAAACAAAATCAAAATCAGAAAAGACCATACGAGTAAAACTTAAAATGGGTGATTGAGGAACCAGGTAAATTATGGTCCTTTTGAACTTACATGTCTGTAATGAAAAGCTTGATGAGCTGTGGTGGAACGTAATCGAACGCAGGGTTTACGACGTTCAGCACACAAGCGCTGCTATCGGGTGCTAGTTCCATTCATTCTGAGAATTCTCCAAACTGGAGGAGATCAGATGGCGACTTGAGTTCATTCAACCGAACTACTGGGTTTTCTGGGTACAAAGGGCATAACCAACGGGGTGCAGAATCAAAACTCATAATCAGATGAAAATGGGAAATGAGTTCATTCCTCCTTTTTTTTTTGTTATTACCTTTGTGAGTGGCGGCAACTACAACGAATGGAACACCATGTTGTTTGGCTGCAAGTGCGAGCATGTTCAACCCAACTGGACCTATGATCCCACCATTGGCCATCACAGTATGAGCTCCGACCACAACCTGTTCCAGAAATAGTAAACATCTAAGTTCAAACCACTCATGCATTACATTTTACGACTTGTGATGGGAATAGATTAGTCGCTGCCTCACCATGTTCACCCGTGAAATCATGGCAAATACTGCAGAATCTGTGATCAAAGTGGTCTTAAAACCTTCTGCAGATAGATCCTTCGCAAAGCAGTGTCCTTGGTACCTAAGTGATTGCCAAAATTGTTAATGGATCAGTCCTGATAAAGAAATAACCAAGAGAAGATTAGAGAAAAAGAAAAAAGGCATTGCAAAGTAAACTGCTGGGAGTTTCAAACTTGGGAGCTCCTTCAGCAACGTAAACCCTGAATGATCTTTTCTTCTTCGCGGTACATAAAAACTCCACCACGGTTTTTGACTGTCCTAAAGTTAGTATCACCTCGCTGCAGAAAAACAAAGGGCTCTTGTCAGAGTAACTCTCATTGTTGTGTAGATACTATTCAAGCTAAGATTGTTAATTTGGTATTGAGTTTACTTGTGATGAATGAACTCTAATGCTCGCTCTGCAATCTGTTGGCGGCAACTACTTATCTCTTCAACAAGCTCATTAATTGTCTCCATCACGCTACGCTTCAACCTCCAGGCTTTTGCATTCCTATCAGCAGCTGCTGCAAACCATTTGGGCAAGGCTGAGAATCTTAAAACTATTCAACATAAAAGCATCTCGCTTGAAATACATAATCAGATATGATCATACCTTTCCTTTTGCCTTCCATATCGTCCATAGGTGCACGGTCAAGTAAACGGTGCAGTGAAGGAGCTTGCAATAACCTTCTAGTAGCCAAAACATCAGCACTTGAATCTTGACCATCCGTGTAATCAGCTGTCTCTTTGTTATCCCCATCGGATGGCAAACCATCTGTTACTCCAGACACGTCTTCATCTCTAATGATCCGCAACACCCTCCTTACAGTGTTCCCCACAGAAAGCTCTGAAGTACAAAAGTTCCCATTATAATTATGAACATTTGTAAAGACAACAAACACATACAGCTCCTGACAAGAGGGATTTTCAATAGCTCACAGTTTCACAGTAACGACAAATCACTTGGAATTCTAACTAAAACGCAAGTCTCCTAAAGATGAAGTGAAAAGGACTGAAAATTGTACCAACGGGATCAGCAGCAATTAACTCCTTGCCCAACTTTCTCACAGTTTCAACAAGAACATGAGCCTCAGCGGCCCTCAGTTGAGATATGGCAGTCCGAAGCAACTCTGCTGTTAGTTGAGCGGTCGCTTGCGAACCCTCCACTTCCCTGCGGAATGAAAACGTACCCAGAAAATGAATTAACCCATAAACCATGCCAATCGTACAATTCATTCAGTTGGATGCCCAGGATCACGAGAGTAGCTCGTTCAGGAAAAAAGCCCATCTCCCCCAAGAACATGATCAGTGGTGGAAAAGCAACATAAGTAAAGGAATCGAAATTCCGTCGAGAAAAAAGGGTCAATTGCCGAAATGAGAAAGGAGGAAGCTGCTAACTCTTGTTAACCAGAGCAATTATGTGCAAAGAAACTCACCGTTTCCGAAGCTGGGAGACGAACTCGTCCACGAGAAGTTGAGGTTCTGGCATGCTGAATGAGAGTGATCAAACTTCAAACAAAGCAGTGGGCTTATAAGAGACAAGTAAAAAGTCCTAGTTTAGGAACTAAACTTCTACTTTGCGAAATAGAATTGCAACTTTTATTGATTCTATCCCCTTCACAAACCATGGAGATAACTCACTTCCGGGCACATATACTGATTGTACAATCCAACCCTTCGCCTAAAATGCTCAAAAAAGACCCAAACAATAACTAATCGAAGTTAAGTAGGTGAACATCTGACGGGCTGTTCTCCCTTATCTGTAATATGGATTGCCTCTGCAATCATCTTCGCACAACTACTATTAACAAATTCATAGCATTTGTAAAAGTTATGGAAGTTAACGATCCCATGCTTTGAACTTTATTACTTGAATAGAGTAACTACATATCAATTTGAAAGTTAACATATTCAGTCAACATAGACGTAAAAAGAGTAAGCTAACACTTTAGGGGATCTCGTCGTTTATGTCAAACTATCACTAACTGAATGCGGCCAATGGGCATATCCATGAAAGCATGCCAAAGTGGTAAATTGAACATGTGAGAAATATACTCTTGTAAGCCTACTACTCTTCTGCTTCTGCTAAGTACATAGGTCATCACTAAGCCTAAAAGAGCATCCTGAAACTAAGCAACTGCTATAGAAAAGGAAGCACCACCGTCAAAGCCACAACAAGGGTTTCAAATGATACAGCTTATAACACTCAATAGAATGCAATGCATGTAAGCGTGCAGCACAGCTTGCTAACCAATGACATGAGACGAAATTGAGAAAGTCCATTGACTTTCACTCAGATTTTAAAGACACTAAACATGTACTAAGAGCCAGGCTTCGTATTCAGATAAAAATTGGAGGCATTAGGCAATAGAGACAAATAGAACAAACTGATCAACAACAGAGCACCGGTTTTTGCACTGAAACCGCATAAATACCAATGAATATGCAGATAACCACTATGGTGACTAACAATGTTAACATGAAGGGAGGACACCGAAATTATATTCAATTATTAATATAACCAACAGTTACATCAGGCCACAGCATCATGACACGAGATGTTAAAGAAGAAAATTTCTCTTTGCTGATGTGTGCAAAGCAGGAGAAATAGAATCTGGAAGAATCCGACATTCGCAAAAAAGAATGGCCAATTAAATATACAATAATTCACTTTTTTGAGTTTGAATGGACAAAACAACTTGACAAAATTCCATAAAAGAGAGAAGCTGAAAATCAATAACAACTAACAAGACAACGGTTCTAGGCGAATGTACAAAATGACTCCTCAATCTTGAGAAAGCACTATGTAAAAGCCAATTTTTCTTATGGTGATATGGAGGGCAGAGAGATAATGGTTGAGACTGCACTCTTTGAACAAGAACCACAACAACAACAAAGCAGGCACTAGCTTACGATTCTCAGATTGTTATAGGATGAAAATGGGCGTAAAGGTGAAATCAATTGTACAATTGGTGTACCTGAATTATTCAGTCTTCATAACTAGCTGCTTCAACACACAGAACGTCAGTTCCAAGCTTCAATTGCAAATTGCAAGTTTCCCCGTTACTTCATCTGCAACCCCGTAGTCAAGACTTATCTCCCGTAAAGGAGGAATGTTCTCAGTTGCGAAAATCATAAGGTGGGGGAACATCAGATTATTATGATCATACAGCACAAACTGCACCATTACATTTGGAGTTGTGCTGTGGCTCATGTAGCAAGCAACATTTCTCATTCTAGACACATCCATTGCAAAATCCAAAGGCGGGAGAGCAGGGTATGTTGGACAAACATAGTCGGGATATATACGAGATAAATCTCCCCATTCTGTCCATCTATTTGAAAACCGACTTGGATAGATCAATGTATCACCACTCATTGCAAATATCTCAGCTTGCTCTCTCGTGAGTACAACACCTGTGTACTCACATACAAAAGAACCGGCATGTATCAAATCCAATGATCTAACTCCCCAGCCTGTTTGCCTGGATCTGAACACTTCCATTCTATTTCTCAAGCCTCTCTGGCTTACACGATTGCGGCAGCTGGGTGGGCATTTGCAAAAGCGTCCGCATTCAAATATCAAGGGCTTTCCCCTCACCAGAAATCCATTCTGGTCGTAAGCAAATTCACCACCATTCTTCATTGCACAAAAACAACCATCCACACAGCCCGAAACACATTCGCAACCAGTTCCGCTACCTCCACTGTTACACAAGTGAGGAGGAAAGACTGTCTTTGGAAGGTATTCATGGTACAAAGGATCTCCAAAATTATCAATATCATTAAACACCATGACAGGGACAATTTCTTTTCTATTCGAGATATCAAGATGTATATACCCAGTTGGCCTCACGCTCAACGGCCTAGCCCGCAAACTCCCTGCAAACTTCAGAATTGCACTACCCATTTCCTCCTGTCCTTCTATCCTAGACAGCTTGAACTTATAGACACCAAATCCCGATTTTCCCATATCAAACCAGTAGTGGTGAATCTTGTATAAACCATCATAGACATAAATCTTGCTACTAATACTTCCTTCATATTTAAACCCCCTGATAACTCTGACCTCAATTCCATAATGCATGCTACGCTCCATGGCCAAGTTCCCTCCTTCAAGCTTCTGATGAACACAATGCTTCCCAAACTTGTCCTGGCCTCCATGCCCAGTATAGGTTATCTCGTCTCCAGCGTCCTCGTCGTCCTCATAGCCCCCAGAAACAATTATACTGGTGGCGATTGGCTGTCCATTTGAACTCTGGCTCCCAGGTAGGTAGTCAATTCCTGCTTGAGCTTGGCCATGCATCCCAAGCACACACAATTCCATCCTGAAGAAGAAGACATCCCCAATTTCAATCCCAGGAATAGAACCCACGATTCGCTTATCACGATTAATCCAAAGCCCACGGTCCCTCATCACCGAGGCCGCCAGTAGATCCCCACGAGGCTTTCTGAAGTAGGGACCCATAGCGCTGAGGCGCTTCTGCTCCTCCGCGACGGCGAATACACGGAACGAGTCGAACAACAACCGAGTGCTGCGAACCATCTCCCTGAAGTACCGCTTATCCTCAATCTGAAGGTCCGTTACCCGGACGAGCTCCGACGAGCGTTTCGCGTACTTCCGCTGCGCCCGAGGCACCAGGATCGGGGCAACCTCGTTCTCGGTGTTGACGGGTACAATCGCACCAGCGTCCGGGTCCAACGCCGTGACATCGTCGCCAAACTGCTGCTGCTGCTGCTGCTCCTCCAGGCGTTTGGCGAAAGCTGCCCGGAAGATCTCCGAGATTCGGTTGTACTCCGAATACACATTGTCTTGTTCGGCGGAGACGATGGCGGACTGGGGGAGAGAGGTATTTTGGGGATCGGAATAGAAGTTGAGAGGAGCGGGGTCCTGGAAGTAAGCGTCGTCTTGTTCTTGGAGCGGCTGGGCATCAATTGGGCCCTCGTCCAGAGGCTCGAGTTTGGGCTCGATTTTGGGAACCTTCAGTATGCCTGTAGTTGAGGCCGCAGTGCCGGCGGAGGCGCTGGCGTTGCCGTTGCCGACGGCCGGGACCGGAGTGAGGTTGAGGTCTTGAAACGGGACGATCTCGCCCATTTCTTAACCGATGAGATTTTGTTACAGAATTCAATTCGCAAAAAAAGGGAAAGAGATGAAATGGGTTCTTCAGAGGGTATTCGTTTTCCTTGTTTGCTAGCAGAGTAAGAAAGGAACCAGAGAGATTATTTCACCATGGCGGAAGGCTGACGAAACGGAGTTAGAGAAATGGGGGAAGTGAGCTTTTCACAGAGATGAAATGCGGTCATCATTTCTTGAAAAGAAAATTAACTTCTTATTATTTTATTATGATTATTATTTTGAAAAATGAAAACAAAGACATCTGTAATGACGAAAACAACCTTGGGTTATGAAATGTCTTTAGCAGGTGGAAGGTCTTGCCACCGTTGGATTTGGTGGTGGTTGGGTGGAGAGGGTGACCTACTTTATTTATTTATTTATTTTTAATGGTTGAAAATGAATCTTGAAGTTGAAGAAAAAATTGGGATAAGTGCGTAGAAACTGGAATCAATAATATTTTCTTCACGCATTTAAATAATTATTATGTTCGACTTATTTAAATATTTTATAAATAAATTTTGGCATTCGATTCAATTAAGTATGTGAAATCGATTGATTTAGAGATAAATGCATGAACTATTATTCGTTTGCTGATGAAATCTTGAAAGTAAAGGAACATGAAGAGGTGCCAAGAAAAAGGATCAATAATATTTCTCAATTAAATAATATTCTTGTAATATATGTTTGTCTTATCTGAATATTTATTTAATAAATAATCGAATCAATCCAATTAAGTATGTTTAGTATTTAAATGGGTCGATTTCAGAATAAATATATGAATTGTTGTATAATTGTGATGTAATGTTCAAATACGCTTATCAATTTGATAAACATACAAAATGAAATAAAGAAAAGTGTCAATCTTCCATGAAATGTTTGCACAAATATGAGTATTCATATCCTCAACATAACCCAATTCATTTTCACTACATGTACTATCATGTCTCATCATATAATCACATCATGATTTTTTTCTTTCTATATTTTATCATCATTATTCTCTCTCTTCCATAATTTTCTTCCTTTCCTTTTCCCTGGACCACCCACTAGGCCATAATGAGTGGTAGTTAGGGGCCCAAAAAATTTGTATTTATCAATGTAGGCCCACAAGAAATAACAACAAATGTTTGACTTAGTGGTAATACCACATTTTAGAATTTGAAAGTCTCATGATCGAATCCCTTAAATAGTGCTTAATAAAAAAAATGTAAAACATATATCACTTTTATCCATAAAAGAAAAGTTGAAAGAGCAACCGAGTATGTTATGAAAAAAAAAGATAAAAGAAAAACAGGAAGAGAGATTGAGTATTTGGCAACGAGAAGATAAAAAGTGAGAAAGTGAATGGAAAGAAACAACCAAATGGCCCACTTATCACATGTGGATGTCTCACCATGGGTGATGGGAAATGACAAAAAATATGTACATCTTACTTTGGTGTTCACAACAGAAAATGACAAAAAAATTAAAAAAATAGACAAAACAAGTGAGTATGTTATCAAAATAATAAAAAGTGGGAAAAAGAAGTGAGTATTTGGTCTCGAAAAGATAAAAAGTGAGAAAGTGAACGGAAAGAAGACCGTCAAACGCGTCACTTATCACATGTGTTTGTCTGACCATTTTTTATTGTTTTATCTTATTTTGATTGTATTTTTTAGAATATTAATGCAACTAATATTTTTTTAGCCATAAGATGAGAAAATTCATTAGTGACACAACTCATTATGAATAAAGTTGAAATAACTGTTTATGACACAACTAATTCTATCAAACATGTGATTAATTTATGGCCATCTGACCAATTATTAGGTTTTATTCTTAATGATGTCATATTTAATTGTTGAAAAAAGTGTCAAAACAGAAAACAAATTACAATAAAATGTCCATCTTAATTAGGGATGACAATGGGTCGGGTCGGGGACGGATAGTGCATATCCGTTACCCTACCCAAAGTAGTTCGGATTTTACCCATACCCATACCCACATGTGAAATGGGTAGAAAATTAAAACCATGCCCATACCCGCTCGGGTTTCGGGTATCCACGGTTATCCATGGGTAATGATTTATCTTCATAACTCTAACCAGTATGTTAACATTCACACGTATTTTCACATTACGTAAGAGGAAAAGTATGACAATAATTCACTAGAATGAAGAAAATTAATTAAAACAACACAATTTTATGAAAATATTATATTTATATGCTAAATATAAAATATCTTAGAGAAAAATAATGATCATTTCTAGACAAAATACATATGTATGTGAATAATCGGACGGGTTCGGGTTGGATAGTGAGAAACCCATGCCCACCCATTACCCGTAATATTCGGGTTTGGGTTTTACCCATACCCACTAAATGTCCTTCGAGTTCGGATTTTACCCTACCCGATTAGGCCGGGTTCTGGCGGATATCCATGGTTACGGATATTTTTGCCATCCCTAATCTTAATTGATTATAGCTAATTATATAATGACTGAATTATCTAATAAGGGAACAAACTCAACACAAAATTGATTTCTTCCAAAATTACCTTTAAATTTTTCTCACTTTTCTCCTTCCCCTACTTTGGCTCTCCCTTTGTTGGGGCCAAAAGACCATCTCCAAAAATTTCCAGTTTACTCACCTCATATTATGGATGGTATTATCTATCTAGCTATCCATCATGTCTCACTAATTTGGTTACTATGCATATGTCCACTTTTTATAGGGGTGGGCATTCGTTCGAGAAACTGTAATCGAACCGGACCAAACCAACCTCTAACTAGGGTGTAATTACCGATTCGTTTGATTTCCAGGTCTGGCTGTATTTCAGGGTGTAATTACCCATTCGTTTCAATCAATATATGATTATCTTTTGTAAAAAAAAAACAACCTCTAACCTGTCCCAACTGAAATAACACTTGTTAGGCCAAAAATCGAAAGGCAGATGGATTGTTTCAAAATTCAACTCGGACCAAACCGAACCGATAACCCAAATTCAACATCCCCCATTAGTGAACTGCTATTTGCCGCCAACCAAATTGCTATTTGCCGCCAACAAAAAAAAAAAAAGTATATATGTACATCTTTTGTTTGGCGGCAAATAGCAAGCCCCCCCTTATCCCTCGACCTCTAGATAACCCCCAAAAATCAAAATCTGCTTCTCCTCTTGAGGGATCTGTGAGATTTCCCCTTCTTCACCACTTTAGTGATGGTCGGATATGGAAAGGATGAAGAGTTTCGCCTAAATTCCCCCTCCACTCTCTCGTCTTCTCTCCAAACTCTTAATTTTAAGACAATTAGACCAAATTGTCTCATTCAATTGCTGAAACCAAAAAATCCTATACGGAGAGTGAAAGTAGATGTTCTTTCTTGCAAAGCTTTCGTTAGCCTTTGTGGCTTGCGTGTTTATCCACACAATCGCATGGTCTCTGGTTCAAAGCCTCAGTGCTCTTTCTTTCTATCTCTCTCTTTGTCTACTCGAACTAGATAAAAAGGTGTTTTTATCATTCTACTTATTTATATTTTTACCATACATCGGGTTAGAGCATGCCACTTGGAGTGCTCTCTTCTTTTTAATCTCCTATCATTTATAAATGATTGTATCTTCTTCATTCCAACTTCAAACTTAGACATTATCGTACAAAAAATAAATTTTATGGCTTGTAAAAAAATGATATTCATTTTGTCATATTTTGAAACAAAAAATTGGTCCTTTTAAATATATAGCCACCATTACATGGTCTACCATAGCGTAGATCTAAGGGTCGTTTACTTCATAGATTTGAAAAATGAGAGTTTTGGTAAAACCTAGATTTTGAAAACCCTAACTTTAAGATGGACTTGTTCGCATTACAGGAATAATCTATTATTTGCTTGTTGGATTTTATTATGGATTTTGCTTGATTATATTTGTCGGTATTTTGGATTTTTAGCCTTCACCTTAATCCCACCGCCAATCATTTGATTTGCAAATTCGTGGAGGGTTCACAGATGTGGACTCTTAAAGTCCATGAACCCCACATATTTTATTCTTCTAATGTTTGCTTAGCAAACAATGGACTTCGAGACCTTAAAATGCATGGAACTCAAATTCCTCACCAAATCTATGAAAGCAACTGACTCAACACTTTTACGTTGTACAACCAACCAACCTCTTGTTCACCAAATTAATCTGCGCTTATTAATTAATTAATTAATTAATGAATTATGACTTACACCAAAAGATTATAAAGATCCCAAAATAAATTATACATTATGATGAATTGGTTAATATAAATGATAACCAAAATTCATCTGATCAACAAAATCCGTACAAAACTAATTATCCCACAATACCTACAAACAAGAGCCATCTCTTCCCCTTTCCCCATTCCAAAAAAGAACCAGAGGGGAAAAAATCCGAAAATGAGAGGAGCAGAGTTTGGGAATTGACCAAGTCAGGGAGGTCCAGCAGGTGGATTATGGAGCTCTGTTCTAACAACAAAGAAACTACCCTAAACCCAAATTTAGCTTCAACTAAAACTATTCCTCTGCATTTCTACCTGTCTCTCTTCCTTCAATCAAATTTGGGAGGAACAGTTTTTGTTAAGTTGCTAATTTTCCTCTCCTCTCTCCATTTTCTTGACTTGGGGACAGAAAACCCCCAAGAACCAACCAACAATAGCAAAAACAAACAGAAAAAAAAAAACGAAAGGAACCATCTTTGCCTGAAACAAGAAATCAATCCAATCCCTCTGGACCTCTGTTTTCCAGCAACAGAAGCCCTGCCTCGACCCCTGTTTTATCTGCACCTATGGGGGTTGACGGTGGCGATTGAAAGGAGGCGTCTGCAGCTGCGGCAGCTCGGCGAAAATGGGAAGCGACACGACGACGAGGAAAGTCATGGTGGTGGTCGACCCCAGCAGGGAAGCGGCCGGCGCCCTTCAGTACGCATTGTCCCACGTCGTCACCGAGAAGGACGAGCTGATCCTGGTCCACGTCGAGACCCAGAACTCCTGGAAGAACACCTTCTCCTTCTCCTTCCTCCGCCGGACCGGCATCTTGATCCCCGCCGTCAACAACAACAACAACAGCAGCAGCCTTAACAACGGCAACCAGTCCTCGTCGGGCGGGGAAGGGATGGTGGAGGGAGAGGTTGATTTCTTGGAGGCGATGAGGCAGCTGTGCGAGGCGGCCAGGCCGCGGCTGAAGGTGACGGTGGAGAGGCTGCAGATGGGTGCCAAGGACAAGGCCAGCGTCATCCTGTTCAAGAGCACCGCCATGGGCGTCGACCATCTCATCATCGGCCAGAAGAAGAGCCTCTCCAGCGTCTTGTTAGGGTGAGTTCATGACTTTCCTTGCTTCACAAGGAATCGTTGTTTTGCAGAGCCAATCCCATATGGATTTTTGCTTACTCTTGTGTGTTCGTCTGTGTGAAATCAGGAACACGAAATACAAGAAGCCAGGAGGGCTAGGGCCGAAGTCGATGGACACGGCGGAGTATTTGATCGAGTACAGCAAGTGCAATTGTGTGGCAGTGCAGAAGAAGGGACAGACTGGAGGATACCTGCTGAATACAAAGACCCAGAAGAACTTCTGGCTACTTGCATAACCTAAACCATAACCCAACCTCCTGTTAATTCATATACATAAATCATAATGTATGTTTTATTTTTGGAGGTATTCAAATCATCAATTTCCTGTTTGGTAATTGAAGTTTTTTCTTAAACCCTAAAAATTACGAATTGTTCGTTTTCGTTTCTCATCCGACTCGGTGAGTAAATATATTATTGTGTTTTGCCCAGAAACAACATGATCACAGGGGAGCATCTCCAATTTTTAGTTGATTCTCAAGCTTTGTTCAATACCTTGCAACAATCAATGAATCAATGGGGGTTATATAGATGTTTCTCATTCCTTTTCTTCCCCACTTCTTTTCCAAGTGAAAATGGGGGTTATATATATCCAACAGAGAAAGAGGAAACAGAAATGGGACTCTAACTTGCATAATCTTGTTGTATTTACTTCAATCCCGTTTTCCTTGTTCAGTAAGGATTTAGCAAATATGCATATATCAAACTCAAGACAAGAGTGATCTAAACGATTCAACCATACAGGAAACATTTACTGGTAAGGGTATGGCGAAAAAAATACAAGCCAAGGAAGAAATTAATAACCCTAGGAAGTCTAAAGTTCATCATGCATGGCATGCTTCAACAGACCTTGCGGATCAGCATTTTGGGGGATTCGAGCGAGATTCTTAATGCCTTCTTCAACTGCTTCACGCCCTCCTTTTCCAGCCATCCCTGCCTTAATTGCAGCAGTTACCGTTCTCTGCAGCCTGAGTAGCCCAATGCGCTTGGAGACCACATAAAGAACAGCACACGAGAACAAGAAGAACCCCACAGCAATCACCAATCTGTCCAAAGAAAAACCATCCAAGAACTATTAGTCCTGATGAAAGAGACAAACTGTTATCTGCCAAATATATGAATCCAGTTCTCTATCAGTACCTGTCGATAACATCATGTCGTTGCATAGTGGACAGTAGGTTTCTTGTTCGCATCAACAATGAGCGATGGCCCTTGTACTCACTTTCAGCCTTTCTCAACACCCCGGTAGATTCGTCTGCAAAACCCAAAGGGAATCAGTTGGTGGGATGGCCAACAGACAGGGGAGCATAAGGTCCTTTCATTTGCAATTTTACGTTCAAGATCACACTCCATGCAGTATTGGATGTAGCATTAATCATGTTGTGATTTCAAACACAATTGCTTAACAAGCTAAATGCATATCTGCACACAGAATGCCTTGGGTGAAAAGTCACAAGGAACGCTTCAGATGCGCTTAGTTTGACATCGACCATCATATTTCAAAACCAGGAAACAGCCACGGCTAACTACCACATGCCAGCATAACACAGAGGCTTTGAGATGTCATCCTTATAAAAAAAACAACCACAGAGGCTTCGTGCTTGCAGAAAATATGAAACAAAATAAAGCACAAAGAAGGAGCAAAGAGCAAAAGAAGAAAGCAAACACCTACCAAAAGTCATAAGTGTGTTAGAACTTCTTTCCACCTCCTGAAACAAGGAACAAGAAAGAAATTCAGACAGCAAGCTAGAGCTCCCACCACCAGCCCACCACTGCAAATCTTCACATGAGATTGGAAGTAGAATAAATGAAAAGGTAACTAACCTGAACCATTAGCTGCCGAGTGCGCCTAAGGCTTTCTGTAATGCTTTCTGCTGCAGATGTCATCCCAGCCTTTGTCCTAGAATACATTAATTATTATATCAGTCATCATTACCAATTTGGATGAACCAAAACATGACGAGGAATGAAAACTGCATCACTCAAGTGCCATCTCAGTTACATGTTACGTACTGTAGATTTCGCCTGCGAGCTGTGGACTCTTCTCCACCTCCCAAAAGCAATTTTCTCTGGGGATGCAGAGAACCATGTCAAATCAGACCTCAGCAAACTCATTTATGCCAGAATCAATCCCTACTCATGAAGGGTATATGTGGGTATTCTAACTATCTCAGATATAACAGAAATCAAGAGACAAGAGCAACAGGCCATTCATGGATTCTCCTATCAAGCAAAATCAGTTGAAAGTAAATGATGACTAGTACCTCATCCTGAGCAGCCTTCCTTAGGTTAGCCTTTGCTTGCAAATTGGCATTCCTCAAACTCAACCGCAAGCTGCGTAAGAGGTCAAATAAGAACCCCCCAATAATCAACGACTACCGTGATTTCTCACTTCATAATTCTACGGAAAGAACCAAAACCACAGAGAAAAAATTGGGGCACCTATGGGACTGTTTCTTCCAGGATTCGAGCAGCGACTGCGCCGATTTAACTTGATCGTCGGCGGGCAACTGGGGAGCCAAGAGATCGAGCTTGAATTCCAGCGACTGGAGCAGCGCCAATCCATCTTGCGCCAGGCCGTTCAATCTGGGAAGCGAATTCTTTTCCTGCGAGGACGCTCCTTCGATACCATCTCCGGATTTGCGATACTCTTCGATCGATTTTATGTGGATCTGCGTCTTAGCATAAGCTTCCTCCCATTCCTGTTTCGCCTTCTCTGCTGCCTCCACCACCTCGTCCATTACAGCAAATTCAAAGCTCAACTCTTCCCCTTGTTTGGGTTTCAGGGAAATTTGTCGGAAAGTAGATGTTAGAATTCTCGCGTCCAATCGAAGACGGAGATCGGCTGAGGAAAAAAAAAAAAAAAACAGTTCCCGTTCCGTACGAAGCCGTGTCATCAACGGTTTAGTCGCCGAAGATCTTTCTTGGGCTTTCTTGCTGTCCCTATAGGTCTGGCCCAACGAAGAAAATGGGTTTTTCTCTCCTTTGGCAAAAATACACGGCCCAATGCCCCAAACACTGTAATACCAAATCTTATGGCATATAGATGTTCCTATATGACATTTGTTACACAAACTAATGTTCAACTTTAATGACCTTTGCCATATGAAGCATTATTCGAACATCGAATCTGATGAAATCGGTAGACAACAGCGAAAGCCTATGAACGATTTACGTGTAAAATTACTACGAAACAGTGAATGTACAACTTCCATTAAGATCGAACGAAATCCGTTAGGACCAACAATCAAAGTAAACACTAGTTGCGGCTAGGTTTGGCACAGATGAGGCTACCTGAAGGTGGGAGAGGTGGCATTTACAAAATTGTCTTCACCTCATCTGACGGTTGAAGCTGTACATACAATACAACAGATGTACATGCAACAACGAAAGCAGTCAGCAGGGAGACAGCCACCACTATTGCTCAATGTTCCTCATCCCCATCCATGAACTCAGGAATACAATGTGAAAAGCAGAGAACTTCCGAGACAAAATTAGAGGATCAGCATTCTAGGGGGGGGCTATCAGTGGACTAAGGAACAGTCGCTTTCCAGAGACATGTTCGTCGTCCCAAAGTTCCGATGTTTGCCATCTGCAATGTTTGAAAGCTGGAAACCTCTGCTAGGGAGCTGGTTGATGAGGAGTGTTTCGAGTTGGCAGGCGATGCTCTTTCCCGGTACAACAAAGTAAAGAAATGAGGCACTCTGCAGGCCTTCCTTAGCACGATGGGCTCGTACTCGGCCTTCAAGATCGTCAGTCTGTTTTGCACGAATCAACAAAGAAAGCGAACTCAGGAGAGTCTGCATAGCAAAGAATTGAGAATGAACGAAGAAAGAACGGCAGTTGGAAAGGGGATTTACCACTCCGACGTATAGTTTCTTGTCTGGTCTCAACATCACATAGACTGCTGAAGAACCGATTGTTGATGGCGGTGGCTGCTCCCTAGCACCAATGGCTACACAACGAACCACTTCGATATCTGAAATGTCCCTCTGCTTGTAGAGCTCAATCAGCATCCTCTGACATATTATGGTGACTGCACTCTCAACATCTTTGTGGTTTATCGCACTCTTCTTGCTTGTTGAGTGGATTCCCTGATCAAGGCTTCCTGCTTTAGCTTCTCCCTTTGATGGACCATTGGCTTCATCAGGACCTTCCACATCTCTACCAGAAGAAACGTATCGTACTGAACTTGTTTCCTTTGATGGAGGAAGGTCTTTCGTATAAGCAGACAAGTACAAGCTTTCGGCTCTTTGGAGTACCGTGTCAGGGATTCCTTCATTCTTTGCGGTTTCGAAAGCAAGACTCTCTCTACATACCCCATCTATCAGCCTCCAGGTTGGTTTTGGTTGCCCATCGACATATTCAGTTCCCATTGCTTTATGAACTGTGTTCTTGGTATTTAGTGGCAAATCAAATATTCCATGGAGATGAGTGGAAACAATACCCAGACAACCAATGTTATCAAGTGTTTCAACAATGCTTCCAGCAATGCATGTTCCCTTGGCTGTTTCAGTCCCTCGGCATATTTCATCCACAAGCACAAGGCTTCTTGCTGTTGATCCACTCAGAATAGAACGGATTTCTGACATTTCTACCTGAAACATTAATCACGTGGCATAATGGCAGTTGTATACTAGAGATAAGATACAGAATACATGGTGAACGCAGATTTGTCATGAGAAGATGAAAAGTAAAAACTCAAGCAAAACAAAGATACCTGAAATGAACTTTTCCCATCAGCAGGACTGTCGTATGATTTCATGTGCAGCATAATAGAATCAAAGTGAGGAATCACTGCTGATTCTGCCGGCACCATAAATCCACATATGCCAAGCAAAGCAGAAGCGCAAATGGATCGAAGCAAGCTGGATTTACCGCCACCATTTGGCCCCGTCAAAAGAAACAAGGACTGCATGTCTACAGTATTGTACACAGCACCACCTTCCGCCACATCGAACCAGTATGGACTCAAACCAGATAATTTCATGTGGTGAGCACGTTCCGAAAGGATCGAATCCTGTTTGCAAAGATCAAGACGGAAATTTTACACTTGATAGAAAAAGGATATGAAAATTAAGAAGAGTAACTTGTCAGCAGAACAGAAATTTGAGGAAAAAAGAGGGTCATAACACAATGACAGTTCTAAACGAAGTTATAAAGTTGTCTCATTGAGGAAGTGGCTGCACATTACCTTAGGATTATCGAACCAAACAAGAGAAGGGAATGCCCATTTCCTGCGCCTCCCTTCACTGCGATTGATAATGGAAACAACATTTTATAAAATTATTGAAGAAAACAATGGACAAGGTTACATTGCAAACCACTAGAGCTCCTTCTGTAAAGTTCCCCAACCTCACATGAGCAAACAATGCCTTCGTGATAACAAGCAACATTGAAGCAAACACAAGGACATTGATTTTGGATTGAAGCTCAGCAGAAAGTTCCCTCAGCAGTTGCAAGACCCTTACTTTAGCCTTCTCACCTGCTTCATGATACCTGAAGTGATATACAAAAAAACAAACAGTTAATGTTGCGGATGATGTAAACAAGTGCAAAGAAAAATCAGTTGTCCCATAAAGCAGCTTACTTTGCCAAGGCATCTTCCACTTTCAAAGTAGTAAACCATTCCTCGCCAACTTTTCTTCCTTTAGAATCTATTGCAGCTTTAAGCTGTTTAATCTGTTCTTCCCCTGGAGTGCCAGCCCATACAGCTGGGGCAAACCTTTTCCCCTTAAACCAAACAGCTTCATGCTCTCGAGCATATACTATTTCCCCCTTTGGCCCACCAAGAGGGGCAGTGGTGGCTTTTATTCTTGATATGATGGGGAGGAAATCTTCATTGACCTACATGAATGTGAAAACCTACTCAGGTATCTAGCGAGGTATTGGAATTTGGGAACACAAAAAAGAACTATAAGCCAAGTAACTTACTGCCAAAGACAAGGCATGGGCCGCTCTTTCTACTTCAGCAAATTCCTCCTGTATGTGAACTCTCTTTATACGGCCTTTCCAAGAAGATTCCATATCCTCAAAGAATTCACTTGGGATCACAGAAGAGAAACTTATTTTGCAGTCATTTTCTCCATCCAGGCATATCATTTCACAAATTCTACCTGAAGCCAATTTGCATTCACTAACCTGGATTAACAAAGCCAAGCAGACATTTGACTCATATTTAAAAAAGATATGGAAACAATGGAAAATGGTGACCAGAAACTTCCTTCAATTCTATCATCACAAAGTGACGGGCATACAATATATGTTAGAAGCTACCAGTTTAGATCCTCAGGTTTTGGAGTTAAAAAAGCTGCGGAAATTCTGTAGATTGAAAAAGGAAGACATCATTTCAAATAGCATGTTTATTAGCTGGCCATTTTGATTGGTGTCTATTGCCAAGTACATAAAATTCCATGAAGAGGCACGTTCTCGCTTTACATATGAAAATACCACAAACAAAGAAACCCTTTGTACAAAAGAACTTGATGCAACAGTATATTGCTACTTACAAGAGTCTCAAAGTCAATCTTTAAACCAGTAGCCACCCATGTAGGATCCATCAGTGATTTCAGAATACCGTTAAGCTCAGGGTTGCTATACATTTGCAATACTTCCTCCAGTACATTTCTTATTCTGCAGAACTCTAAATGATTGGCTTCCCGCTGCTCAAGAAGCTTCACAATCTAAAATACAGAGAAACATAAGTTACTTATAAGTGCTCCTGAATTATAATCCAGTGGTAAACCAAGCATGCTGACAGAAGAGGGGAGCGAGAGGACGTTTGGTGGTGGTGGTGATGGGGGAGAGGGTGAGAGGCATCAGATAGAAACCTTGCAACAGAGAGAATGAATAGACAATTTAACTGCAGATAGGACAGACAAAATTCAAATAAAAATCCACCTAGAACTTAGGCCAAACAGTTCCTACTTACCAAAATCAAATTATATTGAAAGTACAATTTATTCATTAGAGAAAATAGATTTCCCACGTTCCAAAAGCTCTAGTGGGGAGAATACCTTTGCAGCTGAAATACAAGTGAAGTCTGGAATCGAGCATGTGACATTGCTCATGACTTTACACGTTGCTGCCAGATAAATAACAGAGTTTATAATGTTAGGCATGTACGGATGAACTAGTCTAATCAAAAGAGGTAAAAGTATAAAGAGCTCCAGCACCCTATCTCATGCATAACTCCTCCCACTGCAACCTCAAATCGAATCAAACAAAAATTGCTGCCAACAACGGCTTTAAAGTAACAGCTTAAAAGAAAACCACCAACAGTAAATTGCTCTAGACACAAGCGCAAGTGTGCAACCCAAAAAATGTTTTGATGAGCATTTCCATAGTAGTAGTGTCACTTTGCTGTTACCCTACCATTGCATTACGTTCCATTCACTATACTTTAAATTACTATGCATGATTCAACTGTATTTTGCCTTGACTGGGTAAGAAATTCTTTCAGATGCATACTCACAGCTGAACTTGGGCTAAAATTAAAAAGAAAAGAAGAACCCTGACCTTGGATTGTAGAGGCGATTTCATAAGGCGGAGGGTTGAGGAGAAGATCCCTGATGTATCTGCAAATTCAAAAGTATCAAATATACAAACTAAAAAGGAGAAAACCAAAGCATACAACATTAGGTAGAGAAATGTAGGCAGCATAACATATGAATAAGCAGGCATTAGGGAAAACTTTAGAGACTTTCAAGTTCACCTTTCCAAGGCAAGAACTAGTTCAAGACAAGACACAGCCACATTTGAACATGCAAATCATAGGAATCATATACATATAATTAACTGCCACTTTCGTCATCGTCACACACAGTCTACACGGACACAATTAAAAAGAATAAGGGAACTTGCTACA